ATCAGTCACAGCCTCTGAAAGAGCTAGATCTAAGGCTCTAGCTTAAGGCTAGTCTAAGTCCTATAGATCTAGTAGTCTAGGCCTAGAGTCATAGCTCAGGCATAGGCCCGTAAAAATGTAAAGAAATAAAGCTTACAGCATGTTCTATTTAAGTGAATTTGACTCATGTTATACATGTTCCGGGCCTATGCCTAGTATAGTCCCGCAGGACGAAGAAGATAGAATGTAAAAATCAAATTGAAAATCAAAATAATCGAACGAAAAAAAATTGAAAAAGTTGAAAATTCGATTTCGATTCAATTTGATTTTCTGCCATTATAAATGAAATACTGTACTTACCAACATGTTTCTCGGATATATATGTTGTTCTTACTTTATCTTCGCCGAAGATCGATGTTTATTTATATATAACAATCGAATAATCGACATAATTCAAACTCATCACTACGACACAAAAATATATCACTTTCGAAACCATGTAAACTGCTAAGATGACGTCATTTATATCCGGGATTGCTTTGCAAACTCCACATAACAGACTGTCCCATCTTTTCTCCTGCTTTCTCCCGATGCAATTCATACATTACTCGGAGATTACTGTCAAACGTTCCAAGTTTTACAATTTTAGCATGTTTATTACGATCTAATTCCTGCCAGTATCAATGAATAAATCTATTGACCAACAGATTGGAAATATGTATTCCAGCGATACCCTCATTTTGACGAAAGAATGGTACAAATATGTCCACTATTTATCGAGATATCGTGTAGAAAAATTGAAGAAAGACATCGCTTAAGAAATTTCTATTTCTAGACTGAACTGTTCACGCTCGCAAGTGGCATCTCCAACTCCATATATGGGCAAAAAGGTGGAGTTAACAATAAGCAATGCAGGGACTGACACGATTGACACGAAGAAGTCTCGATGAATCTCGCTTAAACTCCGCCCCTTCTTCGTGAAAAATCACGTGAATTCCGGCTTTTGCTGGGACATATCCGGGCATCTCGGCTTCGAACCCAATCAGAAGTTTCAATTTTGACTGGCGCCGCATACATTAGGCCTATCTCAAGTCTCACCCAATATTTTTATGTATACGTTAATTACACGAGGGGAAAGAGTACCCGTGTATATACAACCTACCGCCAAGCAAAGACCCGAAGATGTCTGAAAATGTAGGGGTTAAGTTATAAACTTTTGTTTATATCTTGAATTTCTCAATATGAGAAACAGATAAAACACAGAATTGTGTGAAACTGATAAAGTTATTGTTCCAGGCACTCATGTTTGCAAAATAATGAGTACTTAGCGCAATGTTTACTATCCAATCGCTAAATTCAACTTCTAAATATTTGAATGATGATTTACATCTTGAATAAGTAACAACCATGGCTGTCTTTACTTCATTCGATTCAAAGATAAAATAGGTGGAAATGTATCATATTTATTTCACTGCCATACGTTGCATATCATTGAAATCACCAGTGAAAGTTGAAAATGAAAGACCCGATTATGTCACGAGTACGATTATATAGGACCCGAATCTACCACCTGAGTATTCCGACTATACCGTGAGTAGAACCCGATGAGGTAGTGAGTAAGCTTTCGAATGAGCATATAATATCATGACGATATCGCAAATATTTCTGTTTATTTATCATATCGTACTCCTGGCACCGGAATATAATATAATATGATATAATTCCCGCAGCACTATACGTCAACGTCTGTTTCCGGCAAAGTTCTTTAAAACATTGAATTCATGCTTACACTTGAACCACCATAATTTCCTATGTGTCTGTGGTAAGAGTGCAACCCCAAAACATTTAATTCTGCATTGCAAGCGCCATTCTACTCAAAGAACACAACTTGAAGATTCCCTCGAACAGTACAACCTGTGGACCCCACTCAGTGGACAAGAAAAAATTGAATCTCTAATTTTTCAAAATTCCCTTTCACTTGGAAAGGATTCTGAATTAAAAGAAAAGTTTGTTGAATTCGTTTCTAGTAAAACTTAATTCACTTCTTCATGATTTACTGTTGGCATTAAAGCTTACTGGCACTTTCTCACTCGCCTTCTCTAATTTTTGTTTTATGTATAACTTGAAATGCTAGCTTATAATGCAAAATGCGCTAGGCAGCGACTACTGTAATTACTGTATACTTTTTAAATTGAATAAATGTATAATGAATGAATGAATATTTTCATTGTCGATGATCACTTCTATTCTATCTTATCATAGTCCAAAGATTTTGGTACGACATTTGGTCCTTTGCACTTTATTCAAAAATAAATTAATAATTAATTATTTACTCAAACTGAACAGGTGTTATACAAAATGACTGCATAAAACATTTAAATCATTTTAAAAAGCACATACTGCTTGGAACTATATTCTTTGCAGTTCAATGCAAAGAAGTTATTTGTCAAACCATTTATGGCGCTAAATTCAAAAACAATGAAAAAATAGTATCCATCAGATATACATATAGGGATTATGTTCCTCTCGAGGGCTCATAGGAACCAAGGGAACACATATTGTATATCCCAAAGAATATTTTAATACTCAGTAATGGATGGTGCTGACTGAAGTGGACCACAAAGTCATCCATCTCGTGTGATTTATAACTACAGTGGAAGCATTTGTACCGATGACCTGAAATACAATGTCTCGATATGCAGTGGTAAGTGGTGATGGCCATATTTTTCAGTTTCATTTATTGTTCACAACAAAATGATTCACATGAATGATGCAGATTTTGTGTTAATTATTTTTTCATCAGGACGTCATAAACTCGACGATATAATCGGATCTCAACAGATTTTACTCAAGTAATGTTCGGATTCTGAGATCCTAATTTACTCAAGATATTTTCGGATATTACTCGTCGATCACATCGGGTCCGATGTCCGATAACATCGGATCTTTTAGGACAAAGTTTAAGTGAAGATTTTGCTGTTCAAAAGTGCTATTTTGACCTAATATTTTGACACTTAATACATTATGCATATGCACATCCATTTACCGACCCAAGTATGTCTTATGTATGGCTCATTATCAATTAAAGCGAGTATGAATGAGAAAAACAAATCGAAACCCATTATACGTTTACCTTATCTCTTAATTTGGACATAAAAATATATTTCAACTATAATTCTAGACCAATTGCGCCTGCTAGAACATCTTAGTAACAATTCTAACCATCCAAAGGAATTGATAGTGACATTATATTACCTTTATTGTCCATTTTCCTACGAGATGACATTATCAAGCATTTGCTTGGCGGTATATGCGTGTCTTGCTCGGCGGTAGGTTGTATATACACGGGTACTCTTTCCCCTCGTGTATTATGTTAAAAAAATCATTTTCACTGCAGGAGTGGAGACGCGTAAAGAACTATACGTAGCTTTTGAAAAAGGTCTAGTTTTATTTTGTCGTCTGTGATCGTTTTTTGTACTTCCTCCTCTCCTGCCAATATGCTCATCGCGTTCCCAATACATCGGGGAAACATCTAGTTGTTATTAACTGACACCTGAAACTATTTATTTGTGACCATCCTTCTGTGTTTGCTAAAAAGAGTTACAGATAATGATGCCATCTATTTTTCAAACATAAATTCACACATAGTTTGGCCTGATATATCAAATTCTAACCAATCAGAACTCTTAATTTCAACCAATCACCCTCATAGATTTCATAATTTCAAGTTGGCAGTCGAATGAAGCCATATTAATAGTGCCATCAAGACAAGTACTTATGCAGGCCAAATGTCAAATGGTTTGTGTCGACCCAGTTTCGACCATTTGTCCGTCATACCCCTGGCAAAAAGAGTTTCCTTTAAAAATTCATTCTTTTAAGTGATGCTCTACAATGTGGGAAAATAATTTAAGCACGTGGCTCAATAAAGTGTGCGCACACGATCATTTAACACTATTCCACAACGAGTTACTTTGACGGAACGTCAATGCCCCATCAATGTAACAAAAGGGATAATTAATCTCGATTTAAACCTACTTATAAGTCAAGTTGCGGATTATAATTTGGCACAAAGCTAGAAAATATAGTCTAGCTTTAATAAGTTTCCTCGATTTGGAATTTGTTGTGTAAATGAAGTTGCAATTCATATATTTAGTCCCTCGCTTTTGTTACATTGACGAAAGTCCGTTATATTGCCAATGTATGTTTCTTTGACGACTTTCGTGAATGTTACAAAAGCGATGGTCTAAATACATGAATTACAGCTTCATTCAAAAAAATACATAAATCGAGAAAACAAAAAACTAGTATCCAGGAAGTTCATCCATTTTGTTACATTGACGTTCCGTCTGGGAAAGATAACTCAATCATTCTAGAATTACTTGAGTATTGGGGTTAAATATGTACTAAAACAGTTTACGTCAGTCTGTCCATTGTTACACCAACTAATAAAATTGAATAGATTTATTCATTGTCAACATTTATTGTTTGTTATTGTACAATTATCATTCACATACTTTTTCCAGTTTTTGCTATTTAGATGGAACATATTATTTATAACAGCAATTGCATTCAAAGAATTTTTGAAGCTCTATCATATCATTATTTACAATACAGAACAAGTAAACTATGCAAATAAACAACTACACATAGTACACACATGTTCATAAAAACGGTTGTTTTGCATTATAATAACTGTTTACGTCCCAAGTGAGACAACTATCAAAACATATAAATAAAATACGCAAAATGAAGGCGTGAATTATAGGAAAACTATACCAAGCAGTACAACAAGAATTATGTATATACAAGTAGAATACTAATACAAGAATGGAATTCTTTCAGTGAACTTGCAAACAATATTCGTTGTCTTTTAAATACACTTAAACAAAACTGGTGGACATTTTGGAAATAGAGCGTGCTGTCGAAAATGACAAAAACTGGCTTTCATTTAATCTATCAATTATTTGTTTAACTGGTTTCTATGAAAATGGTATCTAATTGCCCAACGCCCCTCTGCAATAGATAGTGGGGTCCCATTTCGTATCACAGAGTAAGATACGTTAAAAATATACTAATGTGTAGGCTACATCTTCGCTTTTAAGAAACCAGGTGTAAAAGGGTAGGCGGTCCTGTCATATTTTGGTCACTCTCTATTGATTTATATGGTGACCTAATTACAATTATTTTCCTTATTATTTGTACACAGTCAAGGCCAGTAAAGGCCGTAAGGAAAGGGGGCCATAATTCCCGGGGGACCATAATTTCTTTCACACCGGGTTAAGAAATCATAACGTAAGGTATACAGGGCTTTAACACTTTACACAGACTTGTATTGTGATTATGAAGAAGCTTTATGGGCATCCTGTATACATTCACCAATTCGATCAACGTTATAGAATCGTTGAGACTGGACAGGTTCTGACTCATCAGCTGTTTCAAGCTTTAAGCCTCAAGCTGTTTCAGATCCACCAAAGGCACTGTCTTCTTTTAGTTAGTGCCTTCTTTCCATGCCCTGGCCAGTCGTAAGCCAAGCCGTAAATCAGCTATTTTATTGGTTGCACTAATAATGTAACTAGCTATATAGTTCAATCATTTGTTGTTGAAAGTGTCCATCCATATTTTATGTAGTTTGAGAAGATACAACTTCAAAATAAAAGTCAAGTAGAATCTTGGTTCTTGTTTTGTGATTGCAATATCCAATTTGCAGCATCTGGAGATCTACGCCACGGAGGCAAAAGAGCCGACTGTTGCGCTGTAGTGAGATCATTGATTATGAAGAACCTCGAATCATTTAAGGTCTTGGAGGAATTATATTACATTTAGTTACTTTTATAGTAGTAAACGGTCATTGCAATATGTACAACAATAGTGTAACACAGTTAAAGTTGTTCATCTATGTCAAGTGACAGTGACGTACATGAGGGCGGTTGTGCAGACCATTTCCCAGTGGACAGACATTGGACTTGCATAGATGCCCTGTTTGCCCTCCATCCATGGCAACGGTATGTGATAATGGAACCCATAGAATAGTCCGTACCTTGTTTAATGACGTTTGGTGCCACCAAAGGGTCTTCACAATATACTTCTGAAAATAGATACAAAAAAAATACATATAAATAAAACTAGTATACTCAGACAAGTCAAAGATTAATAAAGAGATAATATACACGTACTTGAGAGAACGTGTATGTAAATTGTAAAATTATGGAAAACAATTTAACTTAGGTCCCTGAAAAATTAATTGAGTGTGAAGAGTAATCCCGTGGTTGCGTCAAGTACAAAGTCTCTTAAACATATTGTTAAACATGTCTCATACTCTAAATAACAACTAACCTTTCACGACAACATCCACAAAGTTAGCAGTGCTGTGGATAAAAGGGTTGTAACATCGATATCTTCCCACATCTGCTTCGCCAACAGAGGTCAAATAAAGTCTGTACTGAGAACCAGATTTCTGCCATTCTCCGGGTATTTCTATCTCTGAAGACGTCTGAATTGAGCTCTCGTAAAGGAAATTGTCATCAGGCCCATTCGCATTTCGCACCTCGTTGAATAAAACATCGTGAGACTGAACGTGGTGTGGTATATGTGCATGTGACATCGCATACCCACTCTCGGCCATCAAATCGCCCTTTTTCCAGACGGGAGTTCCAAATTCTCTAAGATACAGACAGTCAAGTGTTATATTGGCACCAGGGAAGACATAGAGAGTTAAGTTTTCCTCCATGAGATGCGTTCCTTGGATCTCTTCAACTTTCACCTCTGGTCTGAAGAGCTCTAAACAAACAACAGTCATGGTTTGTAAGTAACATCTCTGAGTTTAACATCTCTAATAAAAATTACTCGATAGCCAAAAAGTATAAGACACTCCGTTCTATTGTGTTATATCAACGTCATAAACATCACCTTACCATTCACAAAGTGACGGAATATCTGAGATGTTTAATAGAATACTGAAATGAAATATACAAGTGGACTATAGCTCCTTATTTGACAAGGCACACTCAAGATTGGTCTGATCCATTTTTGCTTCGGTACATTGACATTCTAATATGTACAGTCAACAAATGATATGACGGGCATTCCGTATCTTTAACCTCTATTCTCATGCTGGTCTATTCAAGACCAGCACTTGCACATAGAAGATTATAACTCCTCTGATACGCAAAATGTCAAAAAGTTTCCGTTTTGTGTTTTTAATATACGAGAGCCAATTGGAAGAGAAGCACCGATACATGGACAAAAGCACAAACAAAATCAAAAGTGCATTAAACTATACACTAACCCCCCTATCACACAAAACTAGTTCTTACCCGTTCTTGCCAGTCCTACGAAAACGTCGTAAAACGGACTCAATCTGGCTGTGGTCGGGAAATATCTCTAAAATAATTAGCTACTTCGTTCATAAACAGTCTCCAATACGTCCATCTCATTCGCAGTTCGTTCAGGTCGTACCACGATCGTTGTGCAACGTCGTATAACGCGTCCCTTCGTCTAGAAGGTCATCATGACCTGATTACAGAACGGTTTATGGTCGCCTACGAATTTTGAATCGATTCAAAATTCTAGAATCACCTTCCCGTCTGAGAACGTTCATGAAGTTCGTAATTAGACCTTAGAAAGTTGCAGCTACGTTCATTCCGTTCGCACACAGTTTAAAACCAGTTTTGAAGAACGCAGTGGCAACTTGTTTGGTGTGATAGCTATATTTTTGCTAACTCGTTCATAAGCAGTCTTTAATACGTTCTTACTCAGTTTAAACCCGTTTGCAATTGGTTCTGCCTCGTTCTCAATACGTCCTCAGACAGTTCAACTCGTTGTAAAAACGTCCCTAGTAGGGTTAAAGTACGACGGTTTCGTTCGTAGTACGTCCAGCTCATCGTTAGTACGTTGTCACTCGTTCTAATTGTAGAACGTGACGACATCGAGAACATTTTGAGCATGTTCTAAGTTCTAGAGGACCTACCCGTTCGAGTACGTTCGATGAAGTTTGTAAATAGACCCCAAACGATACTAAGTACGTCCAGTCCGTTCGTATACAGTTAAAGCCCGTTTTCGAGAACGTAGTGAGAACTAGTTTGGTGTGATAGTAGGGTAAGCATTCAACTTCTCAAATATGCCTGCTTTAAATTGTCAACTAGGCTAGAAATGAAATCTACAAAAACCAAAACACAAATTAATCCAGTGATTTAGGTTCTTCGATGCATGTCTACCCGAGCATCTACTAGCCAGGATCTTGTATTGTACCTCTCTTGGGTGCAGTGTAAACAGATCTCTTGTCCCTGTATGTCGAGTGTTCCTCACATGTTGGGAGACCTATAATTGAAAAATATTGGCAACATATAGCTTTACTATATCCACAACTAATACTTGGTTTAATTATATGTGCTCTTATTATATTGAAAATGCAAAATCTAGATGATAGTGGTAATGTGGTATCTACAATTTTCAGGGAAATGTGACATATTCAGTGCAGTGCGATTTCCAGGAAAATGTGACATATTGAGTGCAGTGCGATTTCCAGGAAAATGTGACATATTCAGTGCAGTGTGATTTTCAGGGAAATGTGACATAATCAGTGCAGTGCGATTTCCAGCAAATGTGACATATTAAGCGCAATGTGTATGAATAGTAATTACATACTCGTAGTATATTTTCATTTGCATTATATAAAGAAGGGAAATATAGACCATCGTATATATAGCAACCGCCCCTGTGTAGAATGTGTCAACGCCATGGACTCCATGGAGTACATCTTCATTAATTTTCTCATAAAATTCTGATAAACCATTGTAAGATTGCACATTGTAATTTCAGAAACCATTATTATAATAAACAATCGAAACTATATTCAGAAACAACATTATTCTACCTTGTTTGTGAGTCAACTTCTACGATGTATACTTACGTTCGGGACTCCACTGTCCATCTACACATGTTGCAGTCCCAGGTCCTTTTAGTATTTTGCCATTGTCGCATTGGTACTCAATTTGTTGATTTTGACCTACCCTCCTCACGTAAGACCTATATGCATATTTCCCATAAACCCCTACTAGAAACACCTTTCCGTTTTGGAGAAAACCCCTCCAAGGGCAATATACTACAATTGAAAATAGACAATGCTAGTAAATTCACATTAGTGAACACTTAAAGTAATATGAAATATATTGGAATTCGTACAAGGAAAGACATTCATGTCGAGCGTGAAATTTTCTTCCATTTGATGCATTACTTGAATTTTTCTTATATTTGAACCAGGAAAGACATATAGCGTAATTTTTTCCTTCATTAGATGTATTCTTTGGATATGATCTCTTTAACTTTTACTTCTGACCATAAGAGCTCTAAACAGACAAGAGTCATGGTTTGTGCATTTGAGTAAAACATCTCTAGTAGAAATTATTCGAAAGCCAAAAAAGTACAAAACTACAGTCATATTTTGTGTTATTATGTCTATTCCATAAATACTGTGAATCAAAGAGAGTGCTCCTTTGTTATCTAAACTACCACAAAATGTACCCATAAATTCAATTAACAACCCTTGGTTTCTTCCATACCTTACCATCCACAAAGTGATGGAATGTTGGAGATGTGCAACAGAAGACTGGAACGAAATATACAAGTTGATTATAGCGCCATATTCAAACATGACCGTGCTCTATTCGAATTTCTCAACCAATCAGAATGCAGCATAGCCAATATAGAACGTTCTCTAATTCTCCATAGATGCACGACCATGCTCTATTCAATCTGCAATTTGCATTGTTTTGAGTGACGTCACATCTCAGCTGCACATCTAGGGCTCTGTCCGGGGATAGCTGTTCTTTTTTACTCCCTCCGTAACTACTATAACTATATTTGATCAACACCCCATGTTTGCATACGACGTATAAAATCTAAAACGGGGAGTAAAATAGAACAGCCCAAACAAATTCTAAAATTTTTCCGGTCGACTTCAGAATCTTGACAGCATGCGTATTCTTCCTTCATGCCCGTTCCACAGACATGGCTTTTACTAATTTTTATGTTTGAATCGGAATAAATAATGATAGGCCATTCAATATGGTGAAATTCAGCACTCGTTGGACAGAATGTTAGTACAAATGCACTCACCTTCGGTTCGTGCTTTGTACAACATTCTGTCCAACTCGTGCTGAATTTCACCATATTGAATGGCCTATCATTATTTATTCCTTAATTAGACAATGCACACTCAAAATAGGTCTCCATCTCTTTTTGCTCCAGTACATTGACCCTCCAATATACAGTCAACAAATAATATGACAGGCATCCCGTATTTTTAACCTCTATTCTGATGCTTGTCTATACAGGAACACCATGTACATAGATGATTAACACTCCTCTGATCAGCATACTGTCAAAACGTTCCCGTTTTGTGTTTTTAATATTCGAAAACCACTGATACATGGAAAAAAGCACAAACAGAATCAAAAGTGCTGAAATTATATATAAGCATTTAACTTCTAAATATACCTACGTTAAATTGTTAACTATGCTAGAAATAAAATCTAGTATCTACGGGACCACAACACAAACTGTCCCAGATTTAGCTTCTCTCTAGAGCATCTCTACACAAGCGCAACGATTTGCCAATATCTTGTAATGTACCTCTCTTAGGTGCAGGATTAGCAGACCTCTTGCCCCTGTATGTCGAGATAGGCATTAAGCTATGGTAGTGCTCCTCACATGTTGGGAGACCTATAATTGATAATAAGTTTACCATACTTAAAGATAACAATAAGTGACGGTAATAATATAAGTATTAGTATGTTCACAATACGTAAAAATGCCAAATCTGTATAGTAGTGTGGTGTCTGCGATTTCCAGGGGAAATAATGTGACATATTCAGTGCAGAACAGTACAGCAGTATATATGAACAGTGATCACATACACCCAGTAAATATGCATTGCAATTAGCTCTGTATGGAATGTAATTGGTGATTTACTTTGAAATCGCTTTTTCAACTGAAGAAGATTATTGGAATGTGTCAAAGACTCAAAATCATTAAGTACATCTTTAGCCAAAATTTTTCTCAACGATTTTGATTAGGGATCCAACGATACAATAATTTAAAATTTGATACGAGCAAAGATATTTACCCCAGCCTCCAGCTGCAGGGTAAAATATGAACGAAACAACCAATGTTACACTTACGTTCAGGACTCCACTGTCCATCTACACATGTTGCAGCCCCTGGTCCTTTTAATATTTTGCCACTGTCGCATTGATATTCAATCTGTTCATTTTGACCTACCCTCCTCACGTAAGGCCTGTATGCATATTTCCCAATAACCCCTACTAGAAACACCTTTCCGTTTTGAAGGAAACCCCTCCATGGGCAATATACTACAATTGAAAATAGACAATGCTGATAGACAAGGCTTCATTTGAAGTAGAAGTTAGACAACCAAAAGTCCTAAACTTGAAGGCAAGTGGCAGGTTATCTATGAAACCATGATAATAATTTTTAGATGGGTAACGAATTTTCAGATGTAGTTGCAATTCTGTTTTCTTGGAATTCTGGAATTGCCCTCATGTACCCTCTGCTGTAGCTTCAGTCTTTTTGCATTTTACCGGTTGTGAGTCAATTTCAAGCTTAAGTTGCAGTTTTTGAAGGCACGGGTAAGTCAGTTGGATAGCATATAGGATAAAATCATCAAATAAACTTACAAGGTTTGCAATATGGCATTCTCGACCCCATAGGCTTCCATTCTCCATATAAACACTGTACATATTTGTTCTCTTTCAGCTCATATCCCGCGTCACACCTGTACTTCGCCCGAGCACCATGACGCACGCTATAGTACCTGGGTATACCATTCGGAATAGAGGTAGGTCTGTCTTGGCAAGATGCTGCAATAGTATAGTATTGTCAGGTTATTTTCGTAATCATTGTGCAGCGAAGACAGTAAGGAATCCTCCCTTGGGCGACAGGCATGTATATCGATATATATATATATTAAAACTGGTCCTCCGTACTTAAATCTTAAAAGAACACAACCACCATATAAATTTGCATTGGCTCTTATGTGCCGCTATTTCGCTTTTTATTGGCCTATGATAATATCGTACATACAAACTCCACATACACAATGACCCTTTGGGCAGCACCTCGGAGGTGTCCCGGACTTATGATCGGATCATAATCCTGGCATACAAAGCCATATATCATTAATATTCTGTAATCAACTTCTAAATCCCTCAGAGGTTAACGTTTTATATCAAATATTGTGCAGATGCCCCAGAGGCAAAATTCAATAATAGTCCAATGACATGATCTTAATCCCGGCATTTAAAGCCATATCATTAATATTATTTTCTAATTCTTCTAAAATGGATTATTCCTCAGAGGTAACCTTATAATATAAAACAATCCTTATCTACAGATGCCCCGGAGGCAAAATTCAATAACATTACACAATGACCCTTTGGGCAGCACCTCGGAGGTGTCCCGGACTTATGATCGGATCATAATCCTGGCATACAAAGCCATTATTATTATTATTATGTTTATTTTATCCATCAGTTTTGATGAGTACATAGTATGAGAGTACAATTTAGTACAACATTTGTACAATATTTTATGTAGTTTTGTAATTTACAGTTTTTATCTATATACAGTTAAGATGTCAGAAAGTTGCATTCATATATCATTAATATTCTGTAATCAACTTCTAAATCCCTCAGAGGTTAACGTTTTATATCAAATATATATCATATTTTCTAACTTCTAAAGTGGATTATTCCTCAGAGGTAAACGGTCATATAATATAAGAACAATATTTATCTACAGATGCCCCGGAGGCAAAATTCAATAATAGTCCAATGATCTTAATCCTGGCATATGAATCCATATTTTGTTAATATTATATTATCAACTTCTAAAGTACACATCCCTCGGAGGTAAACTTTTAATATTAAATATTACTTATGCACAGATGCCCCGATGGGCAAACTTAAATAATAGTTCAATTGATCTGATCATAATCCTGGCATACAAAACATTTTGTAAATATTATATTTTCAACTTCTAAAGTAGATTATTCCTCAGAGGTAAACTTTTAATATTAAACAATCCTTATCTACATATGCCCCGGAGGCAAAATTCAATAATAGTCCAATGATCTGATCATAATCCTGGCATATATTAAGATTCTATTAACTTCTAAAGTACGTGTTCTCCAGAGGTAAACTTATAATACCAAATATTCCTTATCTCCAGATGCTCCTGAGGCAAAAACTCCATAATAGTCCATTATTGATTCATGGGACTTAATTCTTTGACAAATTTCAAAATAAAATCATTATTTAGCCTCGGAGGCAAATATCTCAAATCTAAATTATAATGTATAAATAGTAATCTTTTATAGCTCCACAAACGTCTCAGAGACGAGTCTCGTCTGAAATTATAAATAATCAAATATATGGTCACTCCTTGCCCAAACATTAAACTCGTTCCATATGCCTCGGAGGCAAAGCTTTTTATCCAGCTTTTTATCTCAGTTATGAATTATTGTAAATAATTTACATTTTATATTCATGTGGTTTCGGAAACCTTGCTTACATACTCTGTATACAATTTCTTAGTATTATATTTACAGTACTTATGCCCTGTAGGCTAATAATTGAATTCTTTGATGCCAACCTCGCGGCGACCCCTTTTGCAAAGTGCGAAAGGTACCTTGTACATTTTGTTTTTTATATACAAGGAGGTCCACCTACCCCTAAGATGAAATTGGCGTTTGTAGGATTTAAGAATTCGAAACACACAATTTACTTAAAACAAAACTATTTCTAACTTTATATCAAAGTAAAAATACATTTGACAAAATATTTTAAAACAGTTAACCTTAAAGTTGTTTGGTAAATTTAGCAAATGCTGCCGTGTTAGCGTCACAAAGCCGAATGACTCAAAACCTATTTCCTAAACATAAATCACTCACAACTCATTCAATCAATACCACCGTTTGTCGTCACTTAAATAGAACAGAACATACTCAAATATACACCCCCGTAACAAACTATAGAACACATTCTCCAAATCTGATATCAAAACAGTGTGAAGTACCTGTATTAAATAATTTTCAAACTTATTCGCTACGCTCAATCGTTAGAAAATATCATTAAAACTGGTCCTCCGTACTTAAATCTTAAAAGAACACAACCACCATATAAATTTGCATTGGCTCTTATGTGCCGCTATTCCCGAAGAACAAAGATAAGGTAAGGTAAGAATAAGTTTAAAATCCCATTCAAATGAAGATAGTATATTCTTATTTAATATGAATAACGCAATAAACTTAATTAAGTCACCTATTATAAACCAAGATTGATAACTTTTGTGCCTTTCTTGAATGTTACTCTCCACATAACCATCTATAGAACAATCACTTTCCACCTCCTATGAGCCGAACAACCTACCGTTCACATCCACTGTTAGCACCTGTAGTAGCATCATCACTACGTTAACCATGTCAACCAAAGATGGTTGTTTCAACTCTTATATATTAGTACCCAAAAACATTTTTCTACAAGATGAGTAACACAATTTCTCCTCATACCTCAAAAACCTGCAAACCCCAAAACAACAAAATTTTAACCGTTCTGATCTCCTTGACACTAGCAGACGAATGACTCATTTTTAAAAAACAATATTCTTAATAATTTCATCTGTGATTGGAAATGCTTGATTAGCTGATAGACGACGTAAACTACTTTCGTTATTCCATTTTGAAAACTTATATGCATAATTTTCTATCGTCTTTGGTTCTCCAGACTTCGCCACAAAACCAGACATTTTCGTCTGATAGATATTTAGTTTTTCATTGTCTCTACCGATTTGGGTCTTCTTCCTGCCATACCACACTGGCGTTAACTGCATCTGTGTCATTTATACCCTGAAAACGTACAAACAACATCGTTACACAATGAAACTACCATACATCAAACAACAACAACAGTTCAATGCTTTTAATAATATATTTTTTATGCAATAAATATGCTCCTGAAGCAACCAATTCTGAATATTCATATGCTATATCTCTGAGTGCCGGGCACTAAATAATCACCACCGGGTGGGAATTATATGTTTTTAATACAACTCTGGTATCTTTTTCATTCACGTATTGACCAGTATACAGAAGACTGCCACTGTGGAAAAACCATTTATACTTTCGCTTGCAACCATCAGCCTGAAATATTTGCAATCAATACTACAGGTGTAACAACATAATTTATTTTACCACACCAGTCCTGAGAAAACGAATCGACAGTCTCCGTACCTACACAGTTATGCACATTAAGAATTAAATCTGTAACATTGCGTTCAATGTTGTCTGCGAATATGTCTAAAGTATACACTCCCCGTTTTGTATCTAAAAAGTTGAAGATATTCCAGTATATACCCCCAGTCATTATAATTTATCATTTTGCTGATGGCTCAGCATTTCGGGTTAGTTCCCGCGGAATCCATTCAGGCTTCAAAACCTCGATTCGCTGCAAACATATTCCACGAATATCAACGGCAAGTTTCTGAATTTCTTATATCATGCTACCCTTGTTTACTATATTCACTACACCAGTGTTGTCCGTGAATCAACAAACAATTCGACATTTTAAGTATCTAGACAAAGTAATCAACACCGCTTAAACTTTTTGTTCATAGAGCTTTTTGATTTCTAAGTTTCTGACCATTTTTGATAACATACATAATTCTCTATATTCCACTACATATTCTCCACAAGCCTTACTTGATGCATCCGAATAAACAACTCTGGAGTGTTCAGGACACGTTTTAAAAAACTTTCCATTCAATCTCTCAAGATTATTTTCACTTGAAACACAATTATTGCTTGGCTTGATCAGATATCTTGATAAGACATCCCAGTATAATCTAGGACAACTATTTTGTGAAACCCCCTTGTTTTGTGACTATATCACCTGTTGCACCCTGGCAGATTTTACTTTTCTAATTATGGAAGCCACAACCCTTGGAGTGATCACATAGCCTGTACTGTACGGAACTTTTTACGGTTTCACTTCCGGGATATAATTAATTTCCTTTTCAAATCCCGACCAAACCTTAGCCAAACCAAACCAAAACGAGTATTGAGTGAACTTCCAGATAGAAACAAATCCAGATCGAATCAAATCGGACCTTATAGTATTTATAATTTTCTCAGACATTTAAGTCCACTATTTCCGGTCCTGATTGCATCATCCAAGAATATTAAAATCTGAATCCAAAAGCCCTCCAATGTTTGACCAAGTATCTGACTTTATACGGTGATAGGATTGACAACCTTAGAAACTTCAACTGTTTAATATATACAACCCTGTTCAAACAACCGTTCTTTATTTTCCTCTACAAATTTTTTAATTTTAAAATGCAAATCTGTTGCTTTTTTATAATTCTAGGTCTTTGGTATGACTCAAACCGAATTTTCTAACCATTTTCAATAACATCAATTATGTAAAGATTAGCTCTTACTGATTTCCAAAACGCTACATTTTCTTTCAATTTTCCTTTTACAGTTTGGTTCTTTTACTATTTTGATTACATATATAGTTCAGATGTATACTTAACTTCCGGTTATTGTTGCTACTTTGAGCAGATGTCTCTTTGACAATCTCTGGACCAACACCTAGTCCTGTAGCAGCAGAAACAAATGAACCTCTGAACCGCCGTCCTGTTGTAGTTCTGATTGTTCTGAAGGAACCACGCCTATCGAGACCTCCGCCTGCTGTAGATGACAAACCACCTCCGCCTCTGAAACTGACTTTATTTTTAGGTACTTTGTTCTGATATGTTGAACTGATGATTTATCTCACTTCAAGAATGAGCTTGACGTAATAGCTTCTTGTCATCGTCGCTGAATCTGCAGTTTCTTAACGTTCATATTTTTCTACTACACACACTTATGGAGATTCATCAGCTATTTTAACCTATTCTATTTCATTAATTATTCAAAACCATACCTTCTGCCAGGACACTCGCTTCGCCCTGCACATCTCGGTCTCCACCATCTTCTAGACATTTGGAAGTATTTTATCCAATATCTCAGAGTTGTATTCATACCGTTTCTCTCGTCTTTTCTTCTGTAACTTTGTTTCTGTTTCCAACTTCCTCGCCAGTTTTGAACCATCTTTGAACAATTCACGTTTTCTTCGTTCTCCATTCTGAGTCTCAGTTGCGTATTTTAGTATATAGCAAAAGTCTCAATTGCAAGTTTCAATAAATTTAGCAAATGCTGCCGTGTTAGCGTCACAAAGCCGAATGACTCAAAACCTATTTCCTAAACATAAATCACTCACAACTCATTCAATCAATACCACCGTTTGTCGTCACTTAAATAGAACAGAACATACTCAAATATACACCCCCGTAACAAACTATAGAACACATTCTCCAAATCTGATATCAAAACAGTGTGAAGTACCTGTATTAAATAATTTTCAAACTTATTCGCTACGCTCAATCGTTAGAAAATATCATTATAGTTGCCTGACGAATTCGCTAATGGTGTTTTATTGCCCATTTAAAAGTTAAATCCACCACATATGAATTAAAATATTATAGTATAAAGATGTAATTGGGATTTGTCGATTCCCTCTTGTATTGTATTGTATTGTATATATTGTATTGTATTGTATTGTACATCTTTATTGCCCATATTTTAGTGGAAATACAAGTTATTATGTTTTGACAAAATAAAATAGAAAATAAGTGTTATTCTTAGACAAATTACTCTGCCATCTTTATGAGCGAAATGTTAAATATTTGCATAGAAAATAGTAGGGCGATTATAGAGAACTTGTATGTGAATTTGTAACATTATAATCCCTAGGGACTACTGTCCCCCACTCAATTTGTTTTTAAGGGCCCCAATTACAACATTTTCTTCATATCTTTATACAAGTAAATACAACGAATGAGGAATCGAAAGTCCAGAGGACTGTATATTCCTACTCGTCTATATAGCACGTTCACGTACACCTATAGCTTAACCCTAATGTGTCTCACATACCTGGGACACATTTGGGTAGACCAGGCCATGTTCCATTATAACAAGCCCTTGTAGAGGTACCATATCCACTTAACACGTGTGTCTTCTTTTTACATTGGAGCTGAATTGTAGTATTGTGTGGTACCCAATCACCGGGTGCATGCTCTCCTAATACTGTACCATTTATCATTATAGGCACCTTACATTGACCTAAAAGATTCAAAATTGCATATATTATTAATTAAATAAATGTTTTAAATACCTCTTCACTTAATGTACAAAGGTCCGGGGTCATTTTAAGGCTTGTCCCGCAAGTGACTCGAGTTCTTCTATGGGTATATAAATGGCTAAACGTTGAAAATTGCTATCCCCAATTCCCCATCTTCGTTCATTTGGCTCTCCTCGGTCGCAATGAAGACTGAGCTTGCAAAAATATGATATGCCTCCAATTTAGATTAGATCTTTGTTCGTAATCGTGGAATTTTCTTTGAATCTTCCATTTGAAGCGATGGCATGTCTAGATGGATAACATGGTTTTTCTGAATGTCAAACATTTTTGACGCAATGTCAGCACACAATGCTTTGCTGCTTTGAACATGTTCACTACGCAAGAATATTCAAGAAAAGTATAAAGGGATTCATTTTAGGGGTCACCGTGTACATCAAATAAAACTTTGAAGATGTTTGACCTTACTGTACATGGCTGTACTATAGAATGGTTGAGGACATAAGGATCTTTGTCTTACCCCAGCACGTTGGATTCGGATGTGTCCAATAGCCTCCTGCGTTTTCCCCTTTTCGTATTTCACATTTGGTGATGGTTGATATACCTTCGAAAGTGCTTCTTCCGAAACAACTAAAGACAAAACAACTTGCGTTTAATATTGATTGATTGTTGCCTTGGTCACCGATGTATCCATATTTTATATTGTTTGGTAACTTGGTTAGAAGAGATGGCGGTCTGGAGTCATTCCCAAAAACAAGATAACGCGTTTGTCTACTCGTTTGCGGATCCAGGGGAAGGGGGGGGGGCACATGCCCCCTTGGCAGGGACCGAAAAGGGTTTGGGCCCAAAAATGTTGGCACCGCCAAAAGATTTGTGGGCCTTTTGGGCATTACTTGGTCTTTTTGGACCTTTTCAGGCCAAAGATGAGATGTTCCCCCTCCCTCGATAGCTTCTGTATCCGCTTGTATTGCGAGGTCTCATCTTACATACTTACATAAACTTGATGACAGATTTATAAGTAGTTTGACGTCCCTCAAGGTGACCATTCCACAATGGAGGCAGAGAACCACAGTCCACCCCTGAATGATAAATTATATCATAAAACTTCGTATACAAAGAAATCCTGTGCTAGATATGGAAACACTGCAGGGCGCACCTTACGAAATACTTCTATATAATAGACAAATCAGTAAGACAAGAAATACAAACCAGAAATCAAATCGAATTCACCACCTTGACACGGCAAAATGATTTTCCATCAAAAAAGGTAACATACATGTAAACGACTAGTAATTGTGACCTGAATCTACGTATACTCACGTTCACACTTCACATCCTCTCCTGTCCAACGCCCGGATGCTTGGCACTTCCGGGCAAATAACCCTTTAAGTGTGTAACCAATGTTACATTTGAATGTTATGACGGTTCTGTAGAAGAAGCCAGACCCGAACATGCTTCCATTGTCTGGAGCTGTAAGCTTGGGGCATCTAACAGCTGGAAGAATACGAAAGACCAATACATGCAATTGACTATTCGCTATACCAAACGGGATATATAACAATGATGATTATTATATTATTATGATTATATGGTATAGATAGAGAGAGATGGATAAAAAGATGGCAGGACGTGTGTTGGTAGGGCCAGAATATTATTGATAGAATCCTGGCTGTATACAAATATGTTAGACAGGAATTCGAATTTTATACCAATTTTCAATTTTTCAATTCAATATAAAAGAGATTTCAAGCAACGGGGACTTTCTATTATTTTAATATCTAGATACATGTGATTAAGCTATGGAAGAACTTGAAGAATGAAGAATATGGGAGAAATGTGAATGGTCAAATAATATCTGTTCAGAAATTTGATCTTGCCTTCACATCTTGGGGTGGCTCCCGTCCACTCTCCATTGCTTCGACAGGTTCTCTTGGGCGTTCCTATAAGTCTATAGCCGCTATTGCAATAGTATCTCACACCCCTTGGGAACATAAAGATGTTGCCGACACGTCTACCATTCGTAACTTCTCCCGGACGACCACAGCTTCTAGCTACAATGGAATCAAAGATGATAAGCTCGATACCCTTTGTATTCGTTTGACTTCACTTCTTAAAAGAGAGCTTCGTCTTCAGTAGTTTAACTAGACTATGCACGCAGGGTACAACCTGGACTTACTCCATACCTTTAGAATTAAATTGTGGGGGATCTATTCGTTCACTGTGAGTAAACTGTCCCAATATATTATATTGGCAATAAATCTAACATGAATTTATAAGTATGTCACTTTCCAACGATATGGTAGGCCAATTACTCAACTAAGAATTTATCCCTCCACATCGGTTTTCCAGATTTGATCAGAACCCATAAATTACCTTTATTATTCCAACATTATTTGGTTTCTAGGCATTATACAATAAGACAAAATGTGATTTTGCCTATTGAGTAAACCAAAAGAAGTTGTGAGGCTACATACTGTATAGGTTAAGTGGTAATTTTTCCTAATCATTTGATTTGCCATGGGCTTTCAATTAGAAAGCCTATGGAATTGCCTTTTCCTAATTTTTGCCAGGTTTGAAAAATTAAATGTCTGAAATATTATCTTCATAATGTTATCCAATGGGAAGTGTCTTGTTGTTAGGGCAATTAAAATTAGGAAAATGATAAAATTTGACGATTAGGCAAATTAAAATTGTTATTTGGGTGCACAATAAAACGATGTCAATATAATATATATTTCTGTGTGTGGAGTCTTCTCTATGAATTGGTTAAATGATGAGGTCAACAAATCGATTAAAAAATAAACAATGAGTTAACAACACTAGAATGTTACTAGAGGGTTGAAAGGGGAACCAGAATCTACGTTCATGCTAGACCAATGACTGTGCAATACGAAACATGCTTTGTGTTATTGCATCTCTGGACGATTTAAATAGATTAATAGATGTTCCTACATGTTGAGACTAATTCTATTTATTAATATCCACAATATATATTTACAACTAGTAGGTAAAGGGTAAGAGTAACTACCACATACGTTTATTAGTCTCTAAGCTAAACATACGCGCGCATGTCATTTTCGGCCCAGCCCATTCGCCTTCATCTGTGCACATCGCCCGGGCAAAACCATCACTATAGTAACCATTATTGCACATGTAGGCCACCTGGGCGCCAATAGGAAACACATTCGAATACTTCTTCCCATCGTGAATGGCATTAGTGACAACGGGGGGTTCCCCACATCGATCTGTGAAGAGAAAGAGAAAGACATTCAATATAATAAACAGATCTATGTCGGGTTGGAAAGTAAGGTAACGGGAACGGAAAGGGAAGTTTCACGTTCAGGTGCAGGCCCGTAGCCAGGGGGGGTTCGGGGGGTTCGGGCGAACCCCCCCCCCCCCCCTGGCCAAAATTTGTTTCAAAAACATGCAGTTTTTCACCTTTCTGAGCACTTTTTAAGATATTTTGGCCATTTTTGGACCTAAATTGTCACAAGTGAACCCCCCCTGGAATTTTTCAAAAAGTGAACCCCCCTTGGCAAATCCTGGCTACGGGCCTGAGGTGTACGTGTTTGAAGCAGTAAAACTGAGTTTTGTCCAAAGCGCTGTAATTACAAAATAAAATGTAAAGGATATAAACTTTAAAAAAACTTTAAAATTTTCTGCATGAAAAGATCGCATATACAGTTGAACTCTCACATTCACCGTTTAACTTCTTGGAGCATTTACACAAACAAGCTCCGAGCTCCAGGGAATATTGATTGTTAGAACCTAAATATACCGATCAACATAAATTATTCTGAATTCTCATTAAAACATCTACGTACCTGGTACTATTTTATCATCAATTTCACATCTAGGGGGTTTTCCACTCCACTTTTTGTCTCCTTGACAGATACGGATTGGCTGCCCATTTAACTTGAACCCCTCGTCACAGTGGTACTTTGCTTTTCCGCTGAATCTATTGTTGGGAACTACCTCAATATGGCCGTTTTCAAAAGTTTCCAAAGGTTCACACCGCCTGGCTGAAGAAGAAAGAACACTTAATACAATATTTTTGAATTTTCTCAAATATGTTTCTGGTGCAAAAGGCCGAATATTGCTATAAATTACAAACCATCCGTAGTCCTTTAAAAAATTCTCAAAGTTTAAGATTTTTGTGAACCAATTGCAAGTGTTCTCTCCTTCAGGTAACATGTAGGTTCACATCATTCTTATGAGAAGGAGAATAATACCAAAACGTCGACAGGAATTCGATATGCAACTGAAAAGCAAACCACAAAACAAATCACGGTTAGATGTCAGGATTTCAATTTATTCATCCGAATCCGTTCAACCCCAGTTTCACCTAATATTGTAGCCAAACCATTTGTTGTGTTTCCTCTGATGTGTTCGAGCGTTAACATCAGCTACCTCTAGTCAGATCGACTGACAAAACAACCTTTTTTGGGGGTTTTCGAGTTGGCCAAGGGGGCTTGAGCGCCGGCACGTTCGAGCTAGGCGATTGGGCGCCGTAACCTCGAGGTTGTGAGTTCGAGACGCGTGTGCTCCTTGTGTTTATTCATTCATAGTATGATAGTTATCCTATTCAGCAAAACATGAAGGAATGACAAAGGTCGTGACATTCATGTGAAACAATTTGTCAGCTCGAATAGGCTATTTGATAACACATAAGATTATTATTACACAAATTATGCTGTTAGTATTTCAGTTCGTTATGATTCAAATATACATGTATATGGCACTTGACAAAGTTTTCTATTGTCCTCATTTGTTTTTTTTAAAATTCAGAATCCGTTGTCTTTGATGATTTGATTTAAGAAGGCATACAGTGACGAAGCAATTGAAGAGTTGAAACGGGGGTTACGTCCGCCATCTGTGACAACGGAATCTGACGTTGTCGTTCAGGGTGTTCCATTGTGTTAATTCGAAGATTTACTTTTAAGAGAGGCTTCCCTATCGAAGACTTAAATACTTCTTACTTTTCGAAGTCAATGTCGATCGCAATCATGAAAATGCAACAAAACTTGGGTTAGATAATAAAGTAATTGTTTTCTTAATTGTGGCATAGATGCTTCCACCATGTTATCCGAAACAAATGAAGTGTAACAAATTGTCTTTGAAGTTTACCAGACCACACCGACCAAAATGACACTGGTTCCAATAAAATAACTCTTTTATCGAACCGTTTTAATTAAGTGTCATAAGAATAAATGAGACCCCCGTAGATTGAACTCCTAAATCATTTGACAAAATAACACCTTCTATATTTCCCCGCTGCTTTAGCACTAATGGCGCTTGCGATTGGCGATATTACCAACGTTTCCACCAAATCGGATTATTTTATCAAAATAATGGTATTGACATTGAACCCGAATGTGCAATCTATCTAAGTTGATACAAGCTCGATGTGATGTAGATTAAGTCCCTTGGGGCACCAGGGGTTAGCTCTATAGCATAACTAGGCGCGCATCTCAATCAGACCAACAGAAATCGTTGCAAGTAATCTCCGACATTGACTTTTTATTAATTCCGAAAAAGCAATAGCGAAATTGGAAAAGATAAAACAAATAAATTGCTACAATAAAACTGGTTCAAAGATGTACTCATCCAAAATCAAATAACTAATAATTGGGGACTGGGTACCAGATAAAGCTATATTATATTCGAAGGATTAGATAGTCAGAAATTGTGACTCGCGTAAGGGCCAAGATCGAGGATTCACCTTCCATAAACAATGAGATACAATTGATGTGTCTTTATGAGAGGAGGTGGGCTATCTACTAGGGGGATGACATACCTAGGTTACGATAATATTTAGTTAATTACATAATAGGTTCTGATTCTGATAGCATATTGCTCTGGGCCCAGTTGTTCAGAACCATTATGAACTTAATTGCAATTAACTTAATTTTGGTCTAATTGCACTTAGTTAATTTCAATATTCAACTGGAGTGCTACCTGGTTCAGGGGTTTCTTCTAATGGACACAATGGGAAATATTCGACGTGGCTACTTGATTAGTTGACATCACATGACCTATTACTTCCAACGCCAACAACAAACCCAAAGAGAAGTCTATCCGTCCCAAATTACACCACTGAGCCATTCCATGACTGAATCCAAGCTTTATGACATCCCGGGATCGCAAGGGCCTCGCCGAGCCTGCGTGCTGGGTATTTGAACCACTAAACACCATTTGTATTTCATATCAAAATTGAAAAACTCAGCCCCAAACACTATCAAAATCTGAAATTTAATTGAAGTGAGCAATCAATCGCACTATATCGGAAAGAGGAAAATAACATTTTGTTAAGTTGTTAACAGAATTAGTTGTCAGTATTCTCTCTCTAAATCGAAGAAACAAGATAATAATCTCGACCATTACTGTATCTTTTGCGTGTTATTACATCACAGAAAATTACAACCGCTTGTTCCTCGATGACTGTCAAGCTGCAGCAATACTCGCCCTCCAAATTGCAATTAGCATTTAAATCAGTGATTTGGGGTATTGAATACAGACATTAGATTTACAGAAATACAAATGACTCCTAAGGGTCTGAATAAGTTGATCGATGGAACAATTACTTTATCTACCCACTAGATGCCTTTATTACGAAATAAAGAAGTTCGGCGTTGGATTCAAATTAATTCGCTTAAATAACTAATCTCTAAATGTTGATTATTAAATGGACTAAAAATGACTGCTCCCAAAGGAACCATCTACAGTAACCCTAATGTGTCTCATCGCGCCTTTTAAATTGCAAATGTAAATTGGCTCTTGTAGAATGTAATTGTAAATGGTGCGTGTTCGAAACTTCTACATGGAATCAATTTTATGAAATATATTACTTACACAATTCTTATTTGAACTTATTATAAGACATATTTTTAAACATTATTTTGAAACATAATTAACGCATCAAAAATGACAGCATCGTTCTTTAAAGGGGGAATGTTGCCTAGGTTTCTCCCCCAGATAATCAGTTATCTCCCATTAAAATTGCTCATAGATAATATCTTATCAAACCTAAGACATCTTGAGAACAAATTGAGGGCACAGTATCGCCAATATATTGAGAAAATCAATCGAGAACAACCATCAGAACAACCAACTGTCGGATAAAAGACAATTAGTCCAAAACAACATACAACTGTTTTGTCTATGTTATGAAACCCTTGAAAGTAATAAAGGTCCATGAGCAGTATGGCAAGTGATTTTAGACAGTCATATCCTTCACCATAAGTACTTTCTGGGTATAAATACAGTGGTTTTTATTAGAACAATATGTTTTTTTTCAAGCGCAGTACCCATGATATTATTATCATTATGTCTTGGTTACCGCCATATTTGGCGAGCAATACCTCATTGGTATATTCCGTATTTTACTTATTTTACACTCGAAGATAGAGCCAGAAACCCCTCCTTGGAGGAGCCCTGTTTTCTTTTAAGTGCTCAGGTACACCGACATACACACACTACTATACCTAACACCTAGAAATGCATGAGATACTTTGTTTGTCTAATTGAATTGTTTAATATATTTTTGAAAGTGCCTTACTAGCATCTAATTTTCAACCGATAAACCATTCATAAGGAACAGACAAATAAAAACAAATACATAATCATTACTAATAAGCCAAATGGGTTGCTCATGAACACCTAATGCAAGGTATACACCCTATGCAGACAGAGCCTGTGGAAAATATTGGGTGCGGCGCAAATGAGCGGAGGGTGCGGAGCTAACGGTCATTTTTGAATTTAAAATTGGGATATTTCTGAAACTAAGCCGTTTTGGGACTTCAAATATACCAAGATATGTGTATTTGACACCAAATACCAATAAAATTGTGAAAATAGTAGTGGAATTCATTTAATAGCGACGCAGTATGCCTTAAACATTTCCCAGACCTATATATTTTGAGACTATCCTTTTAATACTGCGTCCCCAGCATTCATAAAAAATGGTGTTCAAGATACACTACCCATGCAAATTATTTTTGCATCTTGGAAGCCAGGCAGTATCCGTGTGATTTTATAAAAATTCGGAAATGTTCTTCAGATATGAGCCCCCTCTAAATATTGGGTGCGGAGCTACGTTTATGGAGCTGCTCCGCACCCAATATTTAGAGGGGGCTCATATCTGAAAAACATTCCGAATTTTTATAAAATCACACAGATACTGCCTGGATTCCAAGATGCAAAAATAATTTGTATAGATAGTGTACCTTGAACACCATTTTTTATGAATGCTGGGGACTCAGTATTAAAAGGATAATTTCAAAATATATAGGTCTGGGAAAGGTTTAAGGCACACTGCGTCGCTATAGAATGAATTGCGCTACTATTTTCACAATTGTATTGATATTTGGTGTCAAATACACATATCTTGGTATATTTGAAGTCCCAAAACGGCTTAGTTTCAGAAATATCCCAAATTTAAATTCAAAAATGACCGTTAGCTCCGCACCCTCCGCTCATTTGCTCCGCACCCAATATTTCCCACAGGCTCTGTCTGCATAGGGTGGTATAGTAGTGTGATACAGGTACACACCACAGGCTTTTAAACGAGTCGTGAACCACTCAGTGAAACACCCAGAATTTCATAACGCACAAACAAACTTGTCTGAACCGAGAATCGAACCCGGGGCCAAGCGATATTGGTAACCTTGACTCTCTCTCTGCCACTGAGCCATAGCGGGTGGACAGTAAACAACGATGATAGTAAACTATGAATCCAACTCTCTGAAATATTATGGATTATGACCCCACCTTGTCACTTTTTTAAAAAATGTATGGCCTATTTTCTAAAAAGAGGATCTTGTTTTTCTCAATTTAAATATATCAAAAGTTTCTCCTACACTATATTAATAACTTCTGAAAGGGGGATGTGTATTGAAATGCGATAAAGTTGAAACCACATTTCCCATGTTATTTTCCCATAGGGAAAGCTCATGCTATCCATTGTTTTAAGCATGATTTTGGTCATCGAAAATTGATATCTTCAAAACTAGACTTTCAATACCATTCTACTTTTAAAGATGTTTTAGACCCTTGTTGAATAATCTTTTCATGCAATAAAAATCAGAATAAGAAGATCCTCTTTTGAGCAAATAAGGCGTGGGGTTCTTATTTATAATTTTTCGAATTGTTCGATTGATATTTTTATCATCATGGGGACGTCAATTGAAAGAAAACATATTGTTTTAATAAAAAACACTGTATTTATGACCAGAAAGTACCCATGGTGAAAGATATGGCCGCCTAAATTCACTTGCCATACTGCACATGGACCTTTAACTAAGTGTTAAGTGGAAAGATAAAAAGAAATTTTTAGCGGTTCAAAATTGTAATTTTTTATTCAATTTCATTTTGACTTTAATACTAGCCAGTAGTAAAGTAACATCTGTGAACAATCATCAAATTGATCATCAAATTGATCGTGTTATGAATTAGTTGAAGCCTCAAAGTTGGTAAGTAGATAGATCAACTTCTTATATATCTTTTAGAGCCAAAACATCAGGGGGTTACTCTAACTGTCTTTAATGAGTTTTGGGGCAATAAAAAGTTCAAGTGCCAAAAAGAGATATAACAAAGACATGGCACTAACATGCAAAATGGGTGTCGACTTTTGGCTTGCAACCGAAGATACCTCAAGAAAAGCCGGCGATTGCCGAAGATTTTATTTGCAAACGAAGTTGGCCGAGGGTACCACTAATGTGAAAAGGACGTCTCTAATTGGTCAAAAAGAGAGGCTCGGCATTCTCCGTCAGATTGAATCGCCAAAATTCGGTCGTATGGCTCACCTTCGGTTGTATGGCTTACCTTCGACTGCATGGCCCAACCTCGATTGAATAGAAAAGATGCTGTCCCCATGCAAAATATTATCACCTGCCATTGGGTTACAGATGCCGAACTCCGAATGCCGAACGAAACCGCAGAACACTATCCCGTCTTGTGCGGTGACATAAAAATGTTGTTTGTTATGGTTTGCTTGAAAGAACACTCATTTTCAAGGATAGGTTGATAACATATAGTATTCAAGAGCTGTAAAAATAGGGCCTAATAAGTTTTGCATTTACTTGGTCTGACGCAGCTCTTCCCACAGACGTCATCACACAGGCATCGCTTGTTGCGCCCTCTGCAATCGTTGTCTGAACGACATTTCTTCAGGCATGTTCTTTTAGCTGCTAGCTCGGGCTTTCGAGGACATTCAGAATTTACTGAAAATAACAAATTATCATGAGCAAATATGATTTATTTATGGTGAGATGTTCAACTCGAACTCAAGTCAAATTGGACCTACATATGTAATTTTATACAGTTTCATTTATATGAAATATAATATAGTACTAATGTTCCTATAACCAATTTTTAATGATTTTACATGGCTATTTTAGATTCCCCATTTATTGAGTATTAAACAAAGAAAACAAATTAATTAATTTTTGCATCTTTATCATATAAAGGGACAACCTGAAAGCACTGGAACATGCATGAATGAAATAGTGTATTTTCGTCAATAACCAAACATTTTAGAAAATGACTTTGGCAATATTAGATTGCACAAACATAATATGCGCCTATACTACGTTTTTGAATTGCCCGCGGCGCAAGTATATTGCATGCCATTTAATAAGTTTCCCTCCTAGGTATCATGAAAAAGAACTATGTATGAGCCTATGTGTTGCAAATTACATGCTCACACGTTTTTAACAAAATCAGTTCATCCAAGCGCACTTAATCCGCTGATTACGCTGTGGCAACCGTGTCGGCTGCTCGCGTGTGTCAACTGCTAGTGCACCGCGGGAGTTCCACCAAATTATGTGCGTACAAAGTGCGCTATGATAAGCTATTTTTGTTGAAAACAGCATATAAGTTGCACTGCATGGCTTATTGTTCTTTTAGTGACACCTGGGGAGAAACCTCATTAAAAGATTACGCAAATCACTAGCACCGCGGGCATACAAAAATACAGTCCCAGACATTTCCCTACATAGCTAGATATATTTTTACTCCAACCAACTCATTAGAAACCTTTGCTTTTCAGGCCATCAAGATTTAATAATTAGGTTTCATAGTCAATGTTAAATCATGCGCTTTCAAGAGAAGCCCATGGTTAAATGCAAATGTAGACCCCAGACTAATTTGAAATCATTTGTTTAAAACATAATAACTATTCTATAAAAATATAAATACAATGAATCAAATCGTTTATTTTAGAGCAGTCTTAATAACATATAACACAAATACATAGTATAATAGTAAAGAAAGGTTTAAAACATTGATTTCATATAAATGTCATTTCTAAAAAAATCGTCATGAATTAATAACTAAATTAATCGATTTTAAAATATTCGAAATATTATTAATATTCAATTTAGCATTTTTAATTGCTTTTACTTTTATATTGCAAAAATATACGATCCATTTCTGAGTCCGACCAGACAATTTAAAGTAAGGTGCCACCCATTTTTGAAAAAGAAAAACAAACTTTTTTCTTAGCTTACTTCAATAAGAATGAATAACTGAATAACCTACTGAGAGAAAAACGCCACGTTTTGCTCCATACCAGTGTAAAGAATATGATACTTCGAACATCTTCGAAGGCATTGGCCGTACACAGAAAATCCATTTAGCAGATCTCAAGTCCCGAAATATATGTTCTACCCAAGCTTAAATTTAGGATTACTGGTAGTGGAATCTACATTACACGTGTCCTAAACATGAAAACAAATGTTGAAGATAGGTCCACTGCAGCAATTGCCCAGTCTCCCGCCCTTCTGCATCAATTTAATAAACAATGGCCGCCTGTGATGCTGCAAGGCAATTGATGGCCGAGAATATATACTTCTTTTTAGAATATTTAGATTTATAAATACAGTAAGCATTGGGGTCAAAAGTCCTTATGGCCTATTTTACTGAACTTCATTGGAGTATGATGAGAAAATAGTTGCCAATGATGTCCCCGTTTAAACCAACCGGGAGGTGGAGAAAAATTCCTGGGGATCATGATATTCTACGAGCACGTTCTCTAATATTAAATCCAGAAAAAAGATATGTTACACAAAATGCGGAAGTATGTGATGAGCCAAACACTTTATTCACTTCTGTGATGTGTTTTGTAATAATTGTAAAAACAAACAGATACTATGTGGTGCCAGAGTAAATATAGTCCCCAGAGGAAATAGTCCGATTTAGCTGGCATGATTGAAGTAAACTGTGCCTCAGTTTTCCTAAAACATACAGTATGCAACGCTACAGGTGTGAGTTAAGAAATATAAATTGTTTATACTTACAAACACTGTTCGTTTTTATTGCTAATTTATCTGCACTTATTGCGTTGAGAACCTCAATATTGAGGCAGGTGCTCGACCAGAAAATTATTTGCAGAATAAGCCCTCCCTGACAATGCATCTTGATTATTCGGTCTGCATGTGTAGATCTGACGTCAGAGTTGTCTCACATTTGACTGCTATGCTAGAGGTATCTTCTACGACAATAATTTCTGTATTCCGAGCGTCTGAAAGGAATAGTGTTCATAATTGACTTGCTTATTTCTTCATTGCCCACGGGTTACTTAAAGTGACAGTATGCCTTAAAAGTTAACACCATGCAAAGGCTAATTACGCGCTGAAGTAATTATATAGGGGTATACTTTAGAGCAATTAACATTAAAGCAGGACACAAATATTGATGACGTCACTAGCGTTGCCTAGTTAATTTTCCATCAATTTTTAGCACTTTTGTGTACAAATACATATACTCGTGACATTGTAATGACGTGTTTAATGTCATATGTATCAAATGATCAAAACGTTAATAAACTGATAGTGTACTAGCATCCATTGCGTTCTGTTGATTTTTTTCTGTTTCGATAAAGTTTTCCTTGGAATAATTCGAATTTAAGATTCGCAAATCGTAAATGACACTTCAAGAATAAATGATCGGGTGTCTTTGTACATTAATGTGTACACATTATCTCGTAAAAACGGATTCGGTTCTTGGTTCCCTTCGATTTTTCAAATCATGCATGCATTTTAGCATTTTTAAATGAATTTTATTTTAATCATTTTGAATCACTGTAGAAACACTCAGAAAGCACAAGATAGATCTTAGATTTCAGTTTGTCGTTTTTCAATTTTTGATATTATATCCAAAAATGCTTCTCACTTCTTTTAAACAGCTTATGATAGGCTACCAAATCAATCACAAATTTGTGAGACCGTTTCACTAGGAGTAAACTTATTATATCAATGTATCGATCCGATGAAATTCTTGAGTTTGACCCCCTTTAATTCACGCCATCTCCACCACTTCGCAAAGCAAATCAGCGGCAAGAAAATTTATAGATACGATAAATAAAAAATGACAGTTTTACATCATATGTTACTTACTATTACAAGTCAATGGAAATCGTTTATGCCTCAAACATATTTTACGCTAAGTTTGTTCCGGAGTTATCAAACCAGGGGAAATATATTTTGACAAAGCTATATTTGAGACCAGCAAGGCCCTTGGATTAAATATATGTTCCCAGATAAAGGTTTTGATTTTTATATCTGCAATAAACATACAAAATTACATCTTGAAGTGTGGTTTTGAAATATACATATCCTCAGAGTATTTTGTGGGTGCAAACTTCTTATTTTCACAATTCAAAATGTCAAAATATCACGCCTATTTTCATGACTGTTTTGTCATTTTTTCTAGTCGGCGGAGGACATGCAAGCCTATTATTAAAAGTCCTGAAATTTTTATTCTAATTCATTAGATATTTGAGATACAACAGCGAAAATTCTACATTTTGTTCTCAAATATTTTATGAATTAGAATAAAATTGCAGGATTTATGGAACAACTCTCGTACATAAGCTTACTGCATTCATTAATATACTGCTCATTGTATCATTATTGTTCTTAAAAACATACTTTAGTTACGTGAGAACTTGAAAATAAGTTTATGTTAATTTACAAATATCAGACTTTTTACTTTATTATTTTGATTTTATCAAATTATTATTTTATAGAGATTTTCTCTTTTAAGACTAGTTGAGACGGTGTAAACGAAATCAGATGTATATTATATCTTAAAATCACACCATTTTTTCTTGAAATATCCAAGTCAGTATGTATTTCATTCTAGTTACAGATTCCGTCTGAATATTTACGCCATTAAATTAACATACCTTTACTTGTAGTTCTATTCAGAGGTGTTGTTTGTTTTTCAGTTGTGGTCTCATATCCTATTGCTATCTTCAGATTCGCAATATTAAAAAAGAAAAACTGTCGAAATTAATTTCACAAGCCAAGAATCTTTGTGGAAAGTTATCCGTCAATATGGTAATCCAATTTAGAGGCCGCTTTGTGTAGGCTTCCAGAAAAGCGACTGTTTGCATCGTTGTCTCGGACTCTTGGCTTTTTATTTGAAGCTATTTTCAAACGAGAGTGATCAATAAAAACGAAATGTGTTAATGAATACCTTTTGTGTTTTTGAGCATTGCTCCATTGTGATACAACTTATTTCATAAAATATAATACTATAGAATGAAATATTTTTGATAATCTTCAAAGAATTGACCTAATTTTGAGATGAATACGATTTTCTCTTAAATACTGCTCTGTTGATCATATTCTCTCAATCATGGCAAAGTCACTAGTTTTGTGTTCCTGATCCTTTTCTGCTGGTTCATTTGGTTAAAGTTTATAGATCTTGGGGCATTGTAAGCGATGTCGATGAGCATGGTGTTACTGTAGACATGACTTGACATTAATGCATATTATTGAAATGAAAGACGATTTCCTATTTATGTCACAACCAATATAATCTCCAACCGATGATGATGATGATGATGATGATGATGATGATGATGATGATGATGATGATGATGTCCAGCGGTCGGCAATTGGTGTTAAACGTCTGTAACAAATGTCAGATGATGACATTTTAAATGTTAATTGTAACATCCTCTAGCAAGAATAAGAAAACACTGAATTAAATTCAGTTTTAGCTTTCGCATGATTGCATTTTTCAAATAAAACCTAAAGATGTAAAATGTAAGTGCATTTCAGTTTTTCTGATTATCCAAGAATAACATGCATAACGCATGCATACCAAAATGATCGTGAGAATTTAATGATTTCCACTTTCTTGGTTGTTACTGCCTAGTAGCTTGTCATAAATAAGAGCGCTGCGTTTTTCGTAAACAGAAATGCGATGCATAATCTGCTCTTAAATTGATGAACGTGATCGTCTTCATCCATGTTTTGCTTAAAATGCAATTCAAAGTTATAGTTTAGGCATAAAAATGAAATTTTGGAACGATTTTACGTATTTTTCAGTTTTTATCGCACTTTAAAAAATGCTATATTGTCGTCGTCGTCGTCTTGTGCTGATTGGGCATGCGTCTGTACAGGTGGAAGGACGGGCGGGTGCCACATTATTCAAATCTTCTCTTCAAATTATTAGTCCATGGTATGAAATTCATACGCCGCCTAATTAAGGAGCTGGTAACCCAATATAGTGCGGCGATATTTGACCTAATATTTACATACGCATGTAAGCTTCCTACGCATGTCAATACTCATGTCGAGTATTGTTTTTTTTTTATTATAGATGTTCAATATGCTTAGGGCTTTTGGGCTGGATTATGCGTGTCATTAGCAGGGGTCAAAAATATTGGTATAAACGAAATTACCCTTTTACAATTTGGAGTACATACTGCTACAGAAAATTATATGAAATAAATTCTGAGTGTGTGTTTCAGGTTTCTCAACTATAAATTATTTTTCTTGGAAATACCAAAAAATTACGTAAATTACATCAATATTTTGAATTTTTTTTTCAATATAGGTGATGTAAACGGTATCAATGAATCGTTCTATATAAGAATGAAATATGCTTACATTATGTTAGTTTTTGGTAAAATCGGTCTTCATACGTTTTGAGATATGGAGGGGGGCGTATTGTTCTTCATTGACTTACAGTGGCTCTAGTTAGATATCGCTCAGTTGTTCTATGTTCTCAAGGCATATTTGTTGGCGACAGGAACGCTTAAAGGCCCCGTGTGAAGTTTGAAAATATTTTTCATCATCAATTCTAGGTATGAATATTTATAGAAATAAAAAGCGTTTTTCAAAACCCCCTAAATATTCAAAGGTTAGGTATTGATATGGTGAACTGAATTCAACACTGTTTTTCTCTTAAAACAATTATTGAAAACATTCTGTAAAAAACACGTTTTTTATGTAATGTTGACTGATTTACAACAATTTAATGCAAAAATTATTTATTATGTATTGGCAAACAAATATGAGCTCATATATAAAGACGTCCTTGTATATAACCTAATTAGAATTCGCATGTATGAATCCTAATATGGTTATCTCCCTTATCTATATCACAATAGCGAAAAAACGCATTTTTTCTACAGTAAATGTGGTCGAATATCAATACCAATACAAATATGAGGGAATATAATAAAAGAAGTGGCGATATATCGCCCGAGGCTTTTGGTTGAAATCTCTGAAGATTTGCATCTTCTCACATCTCAGGGGACCAAAACGCCGCTGTCGACTGAAAGGTAGGTTTTAATGGAACAAGTTTGACACAATCATCGATTTTCCAAAGACAGGGTAGATTTGAAATTCAAATTAACGGTTTTGCGGGGCGTTTTGGTTTAGATACGCCCCGGAGAGTTAGCACCGCGTGATTGTACCTGTTGACCTCTGAAATCCAAATACATCATCGAAGGGAGGGGGTTTCAGCCTCGTTTTGGAATTGCTTGAGTTCACCACTGAATTGAACATCAAAATATTTTTCAAAACTGAACACAAAACGAGCCTTAGGAGTACTAAATGCCGAATAGGTGTGTAGTGGGGAGCTGTAGCAACGTTCCCCGAGAGGGGGTTTCGTTGTTAATATGGCCAAAAGACCCCAAGATGTCCCGATTGTGGTGTAGCTTTGTGAAAAATACAAGGCGGGATTTCACTCCCAGTGAGAAAAGCAGAGTTTGCTCTGCTCATTTCAACCCAGATTGTTTCGATGTAAATGAGACGAAAAATGCCATACTCGTATCGATGGGACAGAAACCCATGTAAGTAAGATCTATATGCAGTATTTGACAGAGTTTGTGTGATTATTTAGTGTGAATATCAACTCGGAAATCTGCAAATTTTAACCAGGAAATAAAAAATATTTTACGTTTTTATGGGGATTGTAGAAAAAACCGGGTAGCGGGTACCGGCCACCGGGTAGTAAATCTTCCATGCTGGGTTCAAACGCACCATCGCACCCCCTCCTGGCTACGCCTATGGCATTGTAGTAAGACAATTTGAAAAACATGACTTAGAGTCCATTTCACTGCTTCAGTTCGTCAGTAGAATGGCAAAAATAAGAAATTGGGAGACCACTGTGCAATAATATATGGAAAAGTATATTCATAATGTACATGAATGACATTTGTATATTTCAGATTTTTTAGTTTTTTGTGCAATAAGCCTGTGCCGTCTTGTAATTTGAAGAATTTCAGCCATGTTAATCTTATTGAAAATAACATGGCAGAGAAACATCCAAATATAAGAGGCCACACACTTTATAAGCCAAACTAGAAGCAATCCAAGATATACAAATCTCATTCATGTACATTATGAATATACTTTTCCATATATTATAGCACAATGGTCTCCCAATTTCTTATTTTTGCCTTTCTACTGACGAACTGAAGCAGTGAAATGGACTCTAAGTTATCCCAATTTTCGACGAAACGTCCACTGAAGTGTAAATTGTTACCTCTTACAATGTCATAGGCGTAGCCAGGAGGAAGTGCGATCGCCACTCCCCCCCCCTATAAGCAATGAAATTATGATCATGATGATAGAGGAAGAAAAGAGCCTTAAAATTCTTTTTATTTGAAGCTTCAAGTTCAATTTTGAAGTAAGTTACATCATTTTTGTAAATTCAAAACAAATCTTACACGTTTTCTGTTATATTTTCGTTTTTTGAGTACCCGGTTTTTTCGACCGGGTACCGGGTACCAAGTTTGAACCCAGCATGGAGAATTTACTACTCGGTACCCGGTTTTTTCTCCAAACCCCGTTTTTATGTCCCCACCACCACATAGTGTGGGACCATATTGTCGGCCTAGGCGCGTTCGTCTGTCCATCCGTCCGTACGCACGTCCAACAGTTTTCTCCAAAACCGCTACAGATATCACATTCAAATTTTCAGAGATAACTTTTGAGTGCATACAGATGTGGATGAAAAAAATTTAACTCGATACCTACTTCCTGTCGGCCATTTTGAAGTCAAATGCTAAAATCCTTGTCTGCAAACTTTAAGAAAAACGGCTTCACAGTTGCTTTTATAAAACTTTATTATCTTGTTCAGCTCACTTCATTCTACATCTGATAAGGTTTTGGACATGTTAGCTCAGTCATGTCAGCCATTTTGAATGTCTTAAGAAAAGTTAGCGCGCGATAATACTTTGTATCATATTGAATGATGTTTTTGAGTTTTCATACTTTAACTATTTAGTAGCTTTATAAATAATTTCAGGTGTACTTTGGTGTAAAAGCCTATGTTATTGTTAACAGTAGTATATATATGTGATAATTTTGTAAAAGGAAATCAGCAAAAACTCATAATCACTTTTTTATTGTCGGCCATTTTGGATTTTTCTGTCCTAAAATCTTGTCTGTTAAGTCTTGTCTACGCGTTTTGGGTGAACCGTTTAGTAGATCATTTTCAAATTTACACCCAATTGAAAAAAGCCTATGGAAAATCATCTCCATGCAATTATCACCTAACTTATTATTGATAATTAGTTGAAAGTTAGGTGTAAAAATTCACTTGCAAATGAGCTAATTATCAACTTAATTAACGCTTAATTTGCAACTTAATTAACGATTAACTACCATCAATATGCAAATGAGCTATTTACGTAAATGAGTTGAAAGTTAGTTGTAAGTTTGATGTAAGTTAATCTCTAATTATCACCTAACTTACTATTGATAATTAGTTGAAAGTTAGGTTTAAGTCAGATTTGTGACATCTCAAAAATGACTCGCTTCTTTTTTGCTTCTCTTCACTCGGAGATTTTTGCTTCATCTTGAACTATTTTGTGACGGAATATTCATCTTAATTAGGATCTTTCAGAACAGACAACATTGAACTTGAACTATTGAAATTTCACAGCAACAGGAGGGAAAACCCCATGATTCAATTGATGACATACGATTTCCTCCTTCGCACACCTCCTTTTGTCGAAAACGTACCCTCCATCTTGGTTTTCAAAGTTTTCAAATTGACCTAGTTTTAAACCAATCAACGATCGACTCGCTAAACCAATCAGCGACGATGTCATCTCAATACAGATTTACATTATAATCATATGTCATCTTTGAACCCTGGGGTTTCTCCCCCTCTTTTTTAATGCTATTCTATTTTGCAAATTTTTAAGATTCATGAAAAGCATGTGAAAACATCATTATTGCCATCAACAACTAAAATCAGAACACAAACATTAGACTATAATGTTACATAATAAGGACGTAACAGATATAATCAAAAATATGTTTTGAAATGTCTTTGATCTAACAATCATTATTTAGAAGAGCACATTTGGATTACTTGTGAAATATAGGTAACCCATGTTAGTACCTAAATTGCATGCTAGGATTAATATTATATAATCTGATTCAATAAGATTTTTTAATTCATAAACATTTCAGACAGAAGTGTGAACAAGATTTAACATACATTGTATTCATGTTCTACATACCCTTATAATAATGTTGACCAAATTTCATGGTAGTATACGCACCATTCACCTTGTAATTCTCAATTTTATGCGAGAAATATCTCTCACATGTTTTCTTTTTCAACCATCTTGAAATTAAATTTAGGGGGTTTGTATTTCTAAATCATGGGCCTAATTTACGACTAATTATCATTATAATCATCCTATATGTTAACTATCAACCAATAATCTACTTCAGAACAAAAACGTTTTAATTTACCACTTACTATCACCCTCAAACATTTCATATCTTAATTATCAACTAAAAATCATAAATCAGCATTATTGTAAGTTAATTTACGTTGAACTTGCTACTGATAATTAGGCCATAATTATCATTAATTTAATTAACGCTTAACTTTAATTCCAATTGCCAGCAGAATTGTTGATAATTAGTTGTAAATTGTTGGTAATAAGTTGGTAATTAGTTTTATTTTTCAATTGGGCAGGGATGATTCTTAGTATGAAAATCTAGATCTGATTAGTTTTTTGGCATTCTGGGTAAATGTCAAGGCAGCAATTTTGGATTTTCTGTCTTAAAATCTTGTCTGTAATTGTCTACGCATTTCCAGGTGAACCGTTTGGTAGATCAATTTCAAATTTTCAAGGATGATTTTTAGTATAAAAATCTAGATCTGATTAGTTTTTTGGCATTCTGGATAAATGTCAAGGCAGCCATTTTGGATTTTCTGTCTTAATATCTTGCCTTTTAAGTCTTGTAGACGCGTTTTAGGTGAAGCGTTTGGTAGATCAATTTCGAATTTTCATGGATGATGATCTTAGTATGAAAATCTAAATTTGATTAATTTTTTGGCATTCTGGGTAAATGTCAAGGCAGCCATTTTGGATTTTCTGTCCTAAAATCTTGTCTGTAAAGTCTTGTCTTTGCATTTACAGGTGAAGCGTCTGGTAGATCAATGTCAAATTTTCAGGGATGATTTTAGTATAAAAATCCAGAACTGATTAGTTTTTTGACATTCTGGGTAAATTTCAAGGCAGCCATTTTGGATTTTCCATCCTAAAATCTTGTCTATAAAGTCTTGTTTACATGTTTCTGGTTAACTGTTTGACGGATCAATTTAAAATTTTCAGGGGTGGTTCTTATGAAAATCTAGAACTAACTTATTTTTGGGCATTATGGGTAAATTTTAAGGCGGTCTTTTTGGATTTTCCATCCTCAAATTGTGTCGTTAGAGTATTGTCTACTCATTTTCAGGATAACCATTTGACGGGATCACCTATTGGTGGGGACATTTTGTACACATTTGTGTTCTTGTTTATATTTATTTCCCGTTTCCCGAATTCCTTCCCATAAATTGATGAATCTTGTCTATAAGAGTATGAGGCTCATCAAATAGTCCCAGATCTGCCGGTGGTTTGGTACCTGGGGGTTGGTAGAACTCTGGTCCAATTGTGTGCACAAAATGATTCAAACCTGTTTCTATTATTTTGATGTTTTACAAATGTAGTTGCTGTGAAAAGAGATAAAACATTGCTTTGAATTACTTAATTTTACAGAACATGACATGTTGTTTGCCAATCTTATATTTATAGGCCTCTATCACTGAAAAATGATGCAGTGCCCACAGTCAAGACTGACACTCCAAAGTCGCCAACCCCATGTGCGTCTCCTAGTAATACATGTACTCCAAAGAGAGGTGCTTTTTTGAAAAGAGTAAGTAATAAGGGAAAGCTTCCTTTACCCTGTAAATAGATAATTTATCACTACTTCCAAACCACGGTGGTCTGAAAGCCCATAGTTTCAAATATTGTCTAGATACTATCCCCTAAAATTGTATATTTTACATTTTGTATACTGTCATTCACTGATGTGTGGCCTCTTGTAAATTCACTTATTTTAGAAAATCCTCACATCAGCAAATCCACTCCTCATTTATTTATTGCTCAGACTGTATTTAATTCAGCGGAATGGGCAAATTTTAAAATATTGGCTATACTACTTAATTTTTCGGATTGACCCATCAGAAAAATATGGATATTTTAGGGCTAGGAATTCATGGGTTACAATCCAAATGTTTTAAGAATTTACACAATGTTTAAGGCTCATCAAGATGCTCTCAAGAATGCCCTTGATATGACCCCCTGGACCCCTGTCGCTGTCAAGGCCAAGATCCAGAGAACAACTACTCCGTCTCCCTGTCATTATATCCCTGACTGTCCAAGCAAAGAAGCTGCATCACAAGCACAGGTTACCACAAAATGTGCCAACACACAAGTCCAACTTCTCTTAACACGTGTGAATCAAGTCCAGACAACCAAAGTTAATCTCAGGAACGCAGGTAATTGTCATAACATTTTTACAAAATAACTCAAGTCAACATTTTTCGACCTAGTGGACAGTAATCGTATATAATAAAAATAAAACATGCGTATACTGTCTGCACTAATTGTTGCACCTTTAAAAAAGAAAAGTGGATCCCAAGATATAACAGTATGTGGCAATAGTTTGTAATACAGGGTGGCCCAAATAATGCAACCCTCCATTTCTTTTATATTTTTCTTAAATGGAGGTAAATTGCTCTGAGATTTGGCACACAAGGACTTCATTCAATGTGGGATCCTCTGGCAAAGTTTTAATAATCATAGTCTTATATTGATAGAGTTATGGTTGTTTCGAAATATGCTCCAGATGTCGGAGCAATTTATCTCCATTTAAGAAAAATATTGAAGAAATGGAGGGTTGCATTTTTTTGGGTCACCCTGTAATATACATGAGCACACTTTTTCAGGTGTCCAAACTTTACCTGAGGCCAAACCTTCAACAGTGTCCATCAGTACTCAGACAAGACTTAGGCCACTGTGAGAGAAGTCAGATCAAGACTGACATTCAGTAGGTAGCACTCTTAAATGCCCTTGCAAAGTTTGAAAATATCAATTTTAAATACTTTATTATGTCACCACCAAAAAGTGGTGACATATTGTTATGGTCTTTGTTTTTTGTGATGGCGGTTGGCATCCGGTGGTTGTCATCTGTAACAATTACTGACAACTTCCAATAACTTAACATATACTGTTTAGACTGACTTGAATTATGAATCATCTACAAGGGCTCAGAAATTCATATCGGATGTTAGATTTGACCTTCAATGACCCTCATGTTAAAACAGGTCAAAAAAGTATTTCATCAAAATCATCTACAAGATCTCAGAAGCTCAAATCTGACATACGATTTGACATCTGACCTTCTCAAAGTCAAAAAGGGTCTTTTTTCAACTTGCTTCAAATTGACCAAAATCATCTACAAGATCTCAGATGTAAAAGTCTAACTTCAAATTTCAGAATTGACCTTCTTAAGGTAAAAAGGGTCAAAGGGTCTTTTTCAACTTGCTTAAAATTTAACAACTTTTTTTAGGTGGTGACATTTTGTCATGTTAATGCCTTGTTATTAAATATAATTCAAATTGCGATCAAGTGAAAAACGATATTCCCATGTTAATTGCTTTTTTGTTTAATATCATTTCCTGCCTAATTTCATCTTTCCAGTAAATCATGCCACCTTTTGGTACTAAGAAGTTGCTTTACTTGACAAATTGTTTAGAAGAACAATATTTTGAAATATGTATCTTCAGATTTGTTTTGAAGATTTTTTAAACAGAATGAATAGGCTTTAAGTGGAACAAAATAAATTGATCACCACACACTTTTTATTTCAGACTATTATGAAGATCTCATGGCTGGGCTTGCATACCTGCTTATGCATTGGGAAGAGGCCAGACTTATAGTGAAATCCTTTGATGGCCCCCGACCACTATCAATGGAGGAACAATTTCACGACAAGCAGGAAGTGTTTGACCTGCGCCAGCAACGAGCAAGATTTGGAAATGTAGAAGACCCAGGAGAATGAACATAGGACTGTTTTTTTTATTATATCCCCACCACATAGTGTCAGTGATGGTCACGGATCAATTTCTAATCTTCAGGGATGATTCTTCGACCGTATAAAAATCTGGAACTGATTAGTTTTTGGCCATTCTGGATAAATATTAAGGCCGAAGGTGGGCACTTAGTTTCAGGATGAAAAATGTATTTAGGATCACCAATGGTGGAGACATGTGCACTTTTGTGTCCTTGTTATTAACTTTTTAAGAACATTTAAGAACATTGTACACAAGTGTTAACAGTGTTGATTGTTCAGGACTTGATTGAATGAATGATTTTACAACAATTCAGACTCGTTTTGTAAGGGAATGGAATGTTACATTTGACAGAATGGAGTAAAAATGTAATAATATGATATTTCATCAACAAACACAAGTTGATATTCTCAGATATTCTCATTTAAACCAACAGATTTTTTGTGGGATCATTCCATCTGTCCATCATATAGTTCACAGTTACCATTTTTAATGAGGAATTTTCATTGGTGTCATTTACTAGTTGAATTTATACAAACAATCAATTCTTCTCTAAAGATCATCTTTATATTTAACAATCCTTCTTCAATTCCAATAGATGACTGTTAATGTACTAAGTCGTTTAAACAATGGTAGTGTCATTCCTTGAACAAATCCGAATAGCTGTGTTTTGGTGACCATGCATGAAGTGGTAAAAATCCTATGATATACATTTAAAATGTATGATTGATCAATCAGTCACCTGCATTTTCATTGTTGTGAACTGATTTTTGTTACAATCTTCCAAAAAAGGTATTCTGAACCCAGCATTCAGGATTCAGCATATGTAACAAGCCTGACAAATTCATTCATGTTAATGGATATAAAAGATTGATTTGGAGGGAACCATCTTCAGTGTGTGTTCTACTGTACACCTGGTGCTGTTCGATTGCTACTATATTTTGACATTTCGGGGCTTTTTTAATTTCATGGCATTTAATTTTCAGATTTGTGACTTCTCACAATTGTATAAATTAAAATTCCCCCAAAGCTCACAAAGCGCGAAATAGAGTAGCAATATTGTGCCACTGATCTGACTAATTAAGTAAATAAGTAAAATATGAATAAAGAGCAGACAATATTGAATATCTAGGAAATGGTTGTGCTGTCATTATTATTGACCTAATTATATTTTATAGTCCCCATTAGAAAAGTGGATGTTGTTTGGCCTTGCTAATGGTGCCAGTGTTATTCTGGTGGTGAACTTTTGCTTATAATTAGCATAATCAGCTGATAGAAAATTCCTTACCAATAATTCTGTATCAAAAAGTTTCAGGTAATTAGAAAAAAATTCACAATCCTGATTCTCTTTTGTAAGTAATAGTGTTTTTTTGAGGCAGTTCTCTCTGCCAGTCTTGAAAAAGACTGTTGATTTAGGCAGTTGTCTCTGCATGTCTGTTTAGGCATCCCTGAATCTTACGAACTCATATAGCTCCTCCAATTGTTCAGGAGGTGGATGGTGATTGGTGAGCTCTGACGCAACACATTGCACATGGTAGGGGGACCAAGAACACCCCATCCAGCTGAGGCAAGTTGTCTATAACCAATGTGGCGCAAGCACCTGGATAGTTCTCCATGGAATGGCTGGTTGTCCTGTTTACGGTAGGTTTTCCGTGCACTTTCCAAAGTCCACCTATTGATGCAGAGTCCATGAAAATTAGGATTTTCTGATAATACATCCTGGAAGGGTAGAGCACTCCCCAATATTTACAGACTCCATGTTCAATTTGGATATCTGAGGAATGTGTTTGCAGCAAATGCTCTCATCAACTGTGTCCATTGATTGGCAGTTGCCACACGAGCATCAGGACTCTAGATCAGATGGATCACCGGGGGATCATACGGGTCACTAGGCCTAGTTGTGGAATTTTGGCCCGCAGTCTCCAGTTGATTTTTCTTACATTTTTCTCAGTAATTTTCTGGGCAGTTCCGGCTCGAATTGAGACACAGTGACGGTGTTTCCCGAGCTGTACAGTTCATCTTCAAGCTTGGTTCTATCAGACATTGATTCGAATTTAATTACAATTTATTCGCATCTTGACATAGGGAAAATCACTTCTGGATATGAATATTTTCTTAATTTGCTTTTAATGCGAAATGGTTTTGTTTAGTGGTTAGTTTTTGAAGTGTAAGTGAGCGTTTTAAACTTGCCAAACCAGAACAACGGCAACGCCAAAGCGTAGCGAATCCAATCGAACAGCCATGGATGGCATTTTTACAAACAAAGTATATAGCAAAAATGGCAGCCATTTTTCAAAGTGGCCGCCTTCTACCAAAAGTGTCATTAGACCATGTGCCATGCTTATAGTATTCACATACCAAATATGAACAAAATCGCTCCACTACTTTTCAAGTTATAGTAAAATATGTAAAAATGGTGGCCATTTTTCAAAATGGCCAGCTTCTACCAAAAGTGTCATTAGACAGTGTGCCATGCTAACAGTATTCACATACCAAATATGAACAAAATCACTCCACTACTTTTCGAGTTATAGTAAAATACGTTAAAATGGCGGCCATTTTGAAAAATGGCTGCCATCTACCAAAAGTGTCATTAGACAGTGAGTCATGCTTATAGTATTCACATACCAAATATGAACAAAATCGCTTCACTACTTTTCGAGTTATAGTAAAATACGTTAAAATGGCGGCCATTTTTCAAAAAAAATTTCACAATGGCCGCCTTCTACCAAATGTGTCATTGGACAGTGTGTAATGCTTATAGTATTCACATACCAAATATGAACAAAATCGCTCCACTACTTTTCGAGTTATAGTAAAATACGTTAAAATGGTGGCCATTTTTCAAAATGGCCGCCTTCTACCAAAAGTGTCTTTAGACAGAGTGCAATGTTTATAGTATTCACATACCAAATATGAACAAAATCGCTCCACTATTTTTCGAGTTACAGCAAAAATCGTAAAATAACGAGTAAAGGCCGCCATTTTTCAAGATGGCTGCCATGTGCTTCTTTAATATCTACATTTCTAGCTTTATTAATGTCCTATATAATTTTTTTACATCTAAAACATACTGCTATTACAGTTTTACATATTGCACCTAAATTACTGTAAATTCGGCACTAAAATGGCCGCCATTTTGAAATGAGCAGCCATTTTGAAAATCCGCTTTCGAGCAGAACTTCTACCCCCATAGGGTATATGTGTACAAAATATGAACAAAATCGGGCCAACGGTATTTGAGTTATTGCCCGGACGGACGTACGTACAGACGGACGGACGGACGTACGTACGTACGGACGGACGGAGGCGTTCCCTATATCCCTCCGAACTTCGTTCGATGGGATAATAAGACTTCAAATCTGATGCCCCGGCTTCGAATCCTCACTGGGCATACGTCACATGGTCATGTGTAACAACAAAGTGAGAAATTCACCTAATCAAAACATGTGTTTCCAAATTACAGCAAAACGGGACATATTTTTTTATTTAAAGGTAGAATCAGATCTATAGGGGGTGACAAAATTACAAGCAACTTGTATAATTGACCTTTCAATCTAATCCTTACAATATCAGATACAATTTCTCTCAAAAGTTTCACAATATGTTATAAATTGGTGAAGTTATTATGATTCAAAGTGCAAAAATGGGTGAAAAATGTTTAAATTCTCCCAAATAATAAGAATGGTAATCATTCTTATAGAAAAAAAATAATACATCATTGTAAAAATCTTTAGTTTTCCTTGAATAAAGTATGCACTTTTGTGATTTTTAGAAAATAGACATGACAAGGAATGACATGAGCCAAAAATATTCTTAAATTGAAACAATTTTCTGTTGAGCCTGCTCGCTATATCTGATTCTCTCTTTAAAGTACTAGTATGTTGTTGGTTCAACTTTGTTTTCTGTGTTACCCATACAGCATTAACGAATCACTAGAAAGGTGAAAAATAAAGTTAAGCTGACATCTTTAAGGCCTACATTTGTCAAGGTGACATGTAGTTTTCAGATATTCAATAGAGTACAGGATCCAGAATCTCATATTCACCTGTGCTATATCTCTAATAATCATTTATGAAAAGTAAAATCATGATGACTTTTTGAGATTTTTTTATTTTGATGCACTTTGTACAATATAATTCCACATTGTCCAGTTTTATAACTACTGCTGTTGTGGTCGCCCCCTGCCGAATCCTCCTCTCTGCAAATAAAAACACATTTGAATTAACATTAAGACAACTTGACAACTTCATTCTCAGTGGATAGAACAGAACAACATACTTCTACTTAGTTCTCAAGAAAAGGGTGCAAAATATTCAGTTCTGCCCAAATTTGAAATTTCATAAGACAAAAGACCATATGCCAATTTAAAAAATTTTGTCATTTCCAAGCGAGTGCTTTTTTATTTAGTGAATGTTGTGCACCTTTGTTTCATTGGTAACTGCTTCATTCATGGAGAGATCATAGATATTTTGGAATCAATTCCTCTTTTTCTTCCATACGTTTATGCATCTGAATGTCTATTCTATGTAGTCCTGCACACAAGCCTTGAATATTTCACAGATCTGAGCTTATTTACTAAGCAGCTCAAGATATTGGCTTGAATGGTTTTCTGGATTGTGTGCAAGACTGTGTTGGTCACCTAATGTTATAAGACAAGACATAAATGTCAAGCACACAACTGAAAGATGACACATTACTGTGGCATGAATTAATCCCCCCAGACTGACACCAATATTCAGAATGGGTCTACTGACATGCCGTATAACAGACTATCATACTTTATAATGGACATGTAATATTACTTCTGATTTAAAAAATTCAAAAAAACTGTAATTTCCCAAATTCTTTATTAAAGGGTACAGCATACTAGTTGCTAGTATAGAGAAGTAACTAAACTTCATTGTGACTTACAAATTGGAAGCTAGGGTCTGCTCCAGCACCGACCTCTGCCTTCTTGTCTCCACCAGCTGAAAATATCATTAACATTTATACATGTCAGTTAGCATTTCTAGGTTTGACCTATTAAGCATTGAATACCTCAATATTTCTTACAAAATTTAGTTTAGAGAGCCTGTGAGCCTCGAACATTCAACATTTTTTCAAACAAAGGCAAAGATACCTCTCCAAGGGTTATTAACCTACATGTATATTCAACACTAGTTTTAAGTTTTCGAATCACAGCATTTTTATTAAGTTTAGTTATCTTCAAAGTATTTCTACAGCAAAACATGCCTCATCCAAAACACCAGCAAAATGTGTTCAGATTGGCACATGTTCAAGGTTTTTTAACATGGAACTCCAAATTAAAAAGAAAATGGAGACCTCACATTTGAAAGTTGTTCATATTAAGAGGTTTTCAAATATGGTTATACTGTATATCATTTAAAGAATAAAGATTAAAACTTACGTGCTCCACCTCTCCTGTACTGGTCTCTATCAGCACGGTCTCCACCGCGTCTGTCGGCACCTCCCTCAGCTAAAACAGAAATCCAAGAAATCTAAGTTCTTCACTTCAATAAACCTGTCATGAAAAGGAGAATCGGTTCGGATCAGAACTTTGTCTCACAGATTGGAACTTTCGGAACCCCTTTCGGACCACAAATGAAAAGAAACAAAAAAGAAACGAACCTACTTGATAAGTTGATACGACAGTGTCTTGGCATAATTATATAAAAGAAGTGTAGGTTGTAAAGATCTAAAGATCATTATTAAACTGATTTATTTATTTTTATCTGTGAGTGATTCCACCCCGTCGATTCCTACTTCCAGTGAAAACTGAAGGTCATAGACTCAAATGGCACAGCCCTACAATGTACTAATGAACACTTTGTAGATGTGACCAAAAAAATTTAAAATATCCACACCCTCATAAAGCTAAACAAGCTTTTATTTCCAGATATTGAAACATGCAATTATGAATTGAAACAAATTATGAATTTAAACACACATAGAAAATCTTGACCAGCTCAGATTTACAGGATGTGTTTAGACTGTGTTCTCATCTACGATAGCACAAAACAATGTAAAATGTCAAGCACAACTAAGAGATGACACATTACTGTGGCATGAATTAATCCCCCCAGACTGACACCAATATTCAGAATGGGTCTACTGACATGCCGTTCAATGTACATGTAATAGTTGCTTTAATTTGACAGCCGTTTTGATTTGGCGGATTGATGACAACTGCCAAATTAAGTCTCAGTCATTTTTTTTTAAATCCTAGGCAGAGATTTTTCATCCAGTTACTCGCCCTTGTGTGACCTTGCAGGATAAAAACATTTGAAAAGACCCCACCTAAATATTGAACTATTTTTGAAGATTGACGGATTCACTGCTGGTCCAGACAAAAAGATCGGATACCAAGCGAGATAAAATAGAGTTTTTAAGAGAGGGGTATTGAGGATGATCTAAAATACGACAAGTGTGTTGTTATGGACATTGATTTTTGAAAAACTAGGGCAATATTTGCATCTTTGTATGAACCCTCCAACATCCATATTTCTATGATGGGTAAATCTGCCAAATTAAATAGAAGCCAAAATTTCAAAAGTTCTCCATCCGCCAAATTCAACAGCGCCAAATAAAAGCAACAGTGGTTTGAACTATTTTTCTTCAGTAAATTGTACTTTTGTCAAACGTTTTCTTCAGTAACAGTCCTTGAAACAATTTATTCATAAAATTCAGCCAGTCAAGGCCACTGTTGATGACCGACACATCGCACAATCAATTATTTCTGCTTTTCATTACAAATGAATAGATTGAACTTACCCTTAGGTCTGGGCCTGGCAGCCTCATTTCTGGTCTGGCGTTTCAATGTGGATGGTACAATCTCTGGGGGCAGATGTAAGAAATCACGGAGATATTGGATACCCTGGTTTGTCAGGTACCAGTAGTAGTGGCGCCAGGCGAACTGTTCAGTCACCATACCACGTGATTTCAATGACTGGAATATGAAAAAGTACTTATTAGGTGTGTGACTATTTAATAGATAAATTTTAGATGACCTGCAACCACTTGGTAGAAGTTAGACATTAGTGTGAAATGCAATGAATAAACGAAATGTGGACTGTAAGAAAACTAATAGTGCCAAAAATATAACAGTTGACATAATGTGATCAGAAATAAATGCAAAAATTCGGGTCCATGTTTGTAATTATGTCAGTGAATATGTTAACCAAACCCGTCTGGCCCAGTAATCTACTCCCGATTCTGAATTGTCGTAGATCTAGGGCCAGACAAGGTCCAATGCAAAAAAGGGGGTATTTACTCCGGAAAAAACACACTGCTGAATCATCACTTATTATTCATTCCCTATTAGCCATCCAACCAAAACATCGGGTACTATGTAAACCCAAGTATTTATTTGAAATAAAGAGAACATAACTTACGCGTAAATGTGGTGTTTTGTTTGTTATATTGATGTTGAAATGGGCACAACATTTCGTCAATATTTCGTCAGCTCTCCGCACCGAATAAAGTCACGTGATGTGACGTAACACGAATGTGACGCGATAATTTTTTTTAACTTTCATGGAACGAAAATACATTTCCCGGGAATCAATACATTCCAAATATTACGATTTGTTCAGCAGATTTGTTATCAAAACGTAGATTACTTTATAAAACAGACGTGTCTGTGTTGTATTTAAACTGGAAAGAAATATGGTGGACATTAAATACGATTTTTCAATTTGTTGAACTGACGGAATGTAGTACTGAACGAAATAAGCAGCCGAGACTTCTCGATATTCTACGAGATCACGAACAGATTGCAGAAGAATTTTTCTTTTTGCTGCGTTTAGACGTTTCGTTCTTATTTATTAGCCGTCATCCAGCGATGGAAACCTAATATAAATACAAAGTTTGATACAAGGAACAAACACGTAAGTGATTTTTATGATGTTTATTCATTTATCAGCACGTATTATACATTGAAAAACCAGTGTGTTTTTTCCGGAGTAAATACCCCATTTTTTGCATTGGATCGAGTCTGGCCCAGATCTACGAGGTCAGGAGTAGATAACTGGGGCAGACGGGTTTGGTTATGAATATGTATGAATTAAAAATACAAATCTACGTAGCCATAAGAATGATATACACTCTGACGAAGACCCTACCTGTAAAGCCTTGATCACATGAAGGTTGGGCACACTTTCCAACTCTGGATGCTTTGGGGCGTTGAAGTCCTTCTTTGCAACCATAACACCCTCCTTGAAGAGGTGTTCATAGATGGCCACTCTATTCTTCTTGGGCATCAACATCCTAAAATTAAAGGAACAATTAATTTCAAATCAATCAAGTATATCATGGTAAACTGACTGGACTGCAGGAAAATGCACCGTTTCAGATTCAATGATAAAGACAGATTCACACAAAAAAGGTAGTAAACTTGAGATAATGAAATTGCCTTGCATTCGAGCAAGCCTACCTTTAGAAGTTCGGACTGTTACATGACCCAAAGGAGCCGAGGAAACAAAATTGACTAAAGGAATATTTGAAAAGAAAAATCCCCAAAATATTCGGACATGCATAGTTTTATGAGCAAAATTATTGAACTTTTCAAATAGTGATGAATTAACTATTGTGAAAATCGGAAACATTACTACTCAGTCTGCTATCAAGATTACAAGTTATGTACAAAAGAAGAAGGATGGATGAGAAATCGGTCGATATTTAGAGGAGAAATTTCGTACTTGCAGTTCCAATATGGCTGCTTGCGAGAAAAGGACGAGACTTGACGAGACTTCCGGCGAGATGTAAATATTGAAAAAATTCTACTTTCTTTTTCTTTCTACCATTGTCTACTTTATAGTAATTATGGACTCGAATATCAATGATGTAGACGAGAAAAAAGAAATTGACAATCTTGAGGATCTCGAGACACTTGAACCATTACCAAAAAGAATCAAAATTGAAGAAAATGAGCCAAATGAAAAAGATGAAAAAAAATTGGGGGAAGAAATTCAAACTGAAACTCAAACTTCTCAAAATCAAGGTGAAAACAAAGACGAAGCATCAAAAGCAGCAGGTAAACATACAGAGGATCCATCAATCTTGCTTCAATTGAAGGCACAGGCCCAGGAAGATTTAAATCCCCCCCCCCCCAAGTCACTGTATAGCTAATGTAAAAAAATCTACCTAAATATAGTGAGTGGGAGGGGGATGAACTCTTGTTCCCGTGTCTGTGGTTGAAGGCGTATATCCTCTACAGACTAGCATAGTCCTGGTAACATAAATACAATTTTATTTTTTATTCTGGGAAGCAGTTCACATGGGAAAACTCCACTAGAGGCAATCTACTACATGCGCAATTGATAACTTATAGTTTCTTTGCATTGTTTGCACTATTTGTTGAGAAGTGGATTGTTTTAATGATCTTATATGTTTTGTCATTAAAGGGCCATCTGCTCCTGCACCAACAGTAGAAGAAGCTGAAACTGGTGAGGAACAAGGGGAGGATAGCAAGCAATCTAAGAAGGAAAAGCAAGAGGAAGAACGAAAGAAAATGCAGTAAGAAAACTGTTTCAAATAGTCTTGACTTTTTTGTCAAGACGGAGTGTACTTTTTGTACATGAAAATACAGTATGTTTTACATGTAAACTGCTGCATTGAGAATGGTTTTGTGGTAAAAGTTTTTTTAAGAAACTCCATAACCTAATACCATTTTAAAGAGGTTGACTTTCATCTTTAAAGGACAGCCTCGTCTGCGCTCTTTCAAGTAATAATCCTTTGATCTTGCCTTAACGCATTAGAAGCCTTCAAGCATACTTTGGTCAAAATCAACTGAACGCCTTATTGGCTAATCACTTCACCACTGACATGCATTTCAATTTTGAACTTTGAGCATGGTTTATTTAATAATGGTGATTTATGGTTATCCCTTATACAAATTTACTGGCTGTCACAGCCCGCTGTCACAGCGCTCTCACAGCCTGCTGTCACAGCGCTCCCGCAGCACGCTGTCACAGCGCTCTCGCAGCCCGCTCTCACAGCGCTCTCGCAGCCCGCTGTCACAGCGCTCTCACAGCCCGCTGTCACAGCGCTGCGACAGCGCTCTCACAGCGCTGTGACAGCGCTCTCAAAGCGCTGTGACAGCCCATCGGAATGTACCATGCAAATGAGGCTGCGACAGCGCTGTCACAGCATTGCCATATATGGCATTGATTATGTATCCTTCATACACATAAATCTTAATTACCTATAGCCTATAAATTTAAATATCTTTAAAACGTTCCAAATTATAAATTTCAAATTCAGCATGGAAAAAGTAGATTCTAGGCTTGTAATACTAGTAATAGGTAATCAAAATTAAAAAATAGCTGTTACATCTTACCAGTCACACTGTTAAACCTGGCCAGTCACTATTTTTGCTGCATACATACCAATATTAATATGAATCCCATTAACGAAATTAATAACTCTATTTGACTAGTTGACTAAACGTTAATAAGAAACGATTTTAAAAATATGGGTTGAAATTGGAGTGCCTGCTAAGGGGAGCAATTATTAGCTATTTCTTTTGTTTCCAACCTTTATTATTACCAGTTATTACCACCTTGCCGGGCCAGTTCTAGGGGTTTTAGTGCTAGTTTAGAAGGCATTCATTTTTTTACTATATCGACCTGAGAAATGTGTGACGTCATAGTGGTGGTCCATATGGACCGGTCTAGAATATATTCTGGACCGGCAATTTTTCCCCGGGAAATTAGATATCGTTCAATGCGTAAGATTTTCTTGCTATTTCAGCCCTGGTTGTCAACGGTGGTTATAATACTAATAACGTCATTTCTGCGAGCAATATAGTGAAATATTGGACCTTGGGCCTTCGGCCCTCGGCCCAATATTTCACTATATTGCCCTTAGAAATGACGTTATTGTACTATTATTTGACAAGTTTCATAAACAATTACTCTCTTTGACTTGATCGACTTAGCTTACATTTGCCAATCCAACTGCTGGTTGTTGGCTGATGGATTAACCTACTAATTCATGACCAACTCATTTATATTCATATTTAAATGAACTGGCCATGAAATTAGCTGGAGTTTGTTTTCCTTATGACTGGCAGGAGAGGGAGGAGGGGTGAACCAACTGTGAATTTTCTGAAAGGTGACCCCCCCATTGGCTTCAGGCCCAACATGTTTTTTTCTTATGTCTGGATGGGTTCTGCAACAATTTTTGGTCCTTTCCTTTGGCATTTTTGCATACATATTTAAAGTCATTTAACCCATTCAACTTATCAAATGTGAACCAACCTGGAATTTTCTGAAATTATAAAGTTCATCTGCAAGTCTTTATATGGACATATAGTTTATATGGACTATATACATTGATATTTCAGACTTCTAGTTTAACCAGTACTAACTTGCACAAAATTCATATCATTTGATCCTTTTCCTTAGATCACTAAAACATTCCAAAGGTATCTATAAATAATCAGTAGTACAATACCTTACATGTGCTTTATAAATCAGTAATGATATAATGGCCATTTCAGCATAATTCCTTTGCTTTTTCCTCCTACAAACTTCCTGCTCTAACTGATTTTCAGTTTGAATTTTTTAACCCACAATGCATTGGTACTTCCTGCTGTGAGAGGGCTGTGAGAGGGCTGTGAGAGCGCTGTGAGAGCGCTGCCACAAACTCTGGCTAAGATAGCATGTTGCTGTAATTGATCCAGCCACTTTATTACTGTCACATCCCTCTCGCAGCGATGGATGGAAATACAATGCTGTGACAGCGCTCTCACAGCGTTCTCGCAGCGTATGGATGTGAGAGCATTGTCGCTGAAATTGATCCAGCCATCAGTTTAAGCCTATATGCTGTCACAGCGCTGCGACAGCGCTGTGGCAGCGCTGTCACAGCTTTTATTTTCCGTAAGGGATGATATCAAAGCCATGACCACTGGACTCTGACTTGACCCTTCTATTGATTGTACATGTTAGAAAATAGTGTCCTCTCAGTGACAAAGTGAGAGGAGTTCAGTTGAGGGATATTTTGATTTATACAGGTTTTACTGTACAAGGAAGATAATAGGGAGTTTAAGCTCGCAATGTTTTTCACAACCTAAACGTGAACGGAAAATATTTAAGCGATGCATTTGTATGGACAATTGGTCATATGTATAGGTTGATCTTTTGACTTTATATGCAAGCCTAAACGCAACCTGATGGTTAGGGATTGTTAGATGTTGTTCATTATGGATATGCATTTATCTTCTGTTTCAGGGTTCTTGTGTCCAACTTCTCAGAGGATCAGCTAAACAGGTATGAGATGTACAGACGAGCAGCTTTCCCAAAGGCGGCAATCAAGAAGGTATGGAAAGTTTCATTTCTTACTTGTAGTTACATGTATGACTTACAGTTTTGTTGTTTGATGTTTCTAAGCTCATGGAATTTGATTTTTTTTTTTTTAAATTTTGAATGCAGTAAGACCTGTGTACGTGGATTACCTTTGGTACTAAAATATATTCCACTTAGAAGGTGTTCCATTACAGAGATGCATTTTACATTAAATTAATGACATCCCCTTTACAGATTTTACTGTATTGTATTAAATAATTATTGTGTAATAGCAAGCAATTAGATGAACATACTTGTTAAATTCCAACGACTGAAGACTATTTTTGAGTCATGTGTTACATCATGGGCTTTCAATTAGATCTTACAGGGCTGATTGTATTAGATTTGCCCACTGTGTCAAACGTATTTAGCTGACCAGAAGTTGTCTAGTCCTAATTTCCCTCTTCTTATTAATTATACGTAGTTACTAATACAAATTCATTGTTACAGTTGATGTCATCAGTGACAGGATCTATATCATCACAGAATGTTGTCATAGCAATGGCATCATATATGCTTTACTAATACAAATGCATTGTTATTGTGTGTTACAGTTGATGTCTTCAGTGACAGGATCTATATCATCACAGAATGTTGTCATAGCAATGGCATCATATATGCTTTACTAATACAAATCCATTGTTATTGTGTGTTACAGTTGATGTCTTCAGTGACAGGATCTATACCATCACAGAATGTTGTCATAGCAATGGCATCATATATGCTTTACTAATACAAATCCATTGTTATTGTGTGTTACAGTTGATGTCTTCAGTGACAGGATCTATACCATCACAGAATGTTGTCATAGCAATGGCATCATATATGCTTTACTAATACAAATCCATTGTTATTGTGTGTTACAGTTGATGTCTTCAGTGACAGGATCTATATCATCACAGAATGTTGTCATAGCAATGGCATCATATATGCTATACTAATACAAATGCATTGTTATTGTGTGTTACAGTTGATGTCTTCAGTGACAGGATCTATACCATCACAGAATGTTGTCATAGCAATGGCATCATATATGCTTTACTAATACAAATGCATTGTTATTGTGTGTTACAGTTGATGTCTTCAGTGACAGGATCTATACCATCACAGAATGTTGTCATAGCAATGGCATCATATATGCTTTACTAATACAAATCCATTGTTATTGTGTGTTACAGTTGATGTCTTCAGTGACAGGATCTATATCATCACAGAATGTTGTCATAGCAATGGCATCATATATGCTTTACTAATACAAATGCATTGTTATTGTGTGTTACAGTTGATGTCTTCAGTGACAGGATCTATATCATCACAGAATGTTGTCATAGCAATGGCATCATATATGCTTTACTAATACAAATCCATTGTTATTGTGTGTTACAGTTGATGTCTTCAGTGACAGGATCTATACCATCACAGAATGTTGTCATAGCAATGGCATCATATATGCTATACTAATACAAATGCATTGTTATTGTGTGTTACAGTTGATGTCTTCAGTGACAGGATCTATACCATCACAGAATGTTGTCATAGCAATGGCATCATATATGCTTTACTAATACAAATCCATTGTTATTGTGTGTTACAGTTGATGTCTTCAGTGACAGGATCTATACCATCACAGAATGTTGTCATAGCAATGGCATCATATATGCTTTACTAATACAAATCCATTGTTATTGTGTGTTACAGTTGATGTCTTCAGTGACAGGATCTATACCATCACAGAATGTTGTCATAGCAATGGCAGGCATATCCAAAGTTTTTGTTGGAGAACTTGTCGAAGAAGGTATGGTTTATTATGTAGTTGATGTAGTTTAATTGGAAGCTTTCATTTGACACCTTAAACATCTCAAACGAGACATATCGTAGATTAAGCCCCATTGACACTGACTGGTCTTTTTTGATCCCCTGTGTATTTCCAATGGAGGGAAAGACCACTAAACTTTACTTTTACATTTTATGGAATAGGAAGTAGGTGGCATTGTGCGCAGAGCACTGACACTTATTGGCAGACATTAACATTGAAACAATATTATCAATTTGAAAATGATTGTGCTAATTTGTATCTATGAACATAACACTTCTCCTTTTATATTATCTTGAAAAATAGATGTCAGCATTACATTGTATATAAATTGTTTGGTGAACCTTGAACCTTTGAAGACACAATAAAAATTAATCTCTTAATCTTTACAAAACTAGTACCGATACAGATCTTTGAACTTCTCATGCCGTTTTCTTTTTTTTGCCCGAGGAAAGGTTTGTTTATTATTCAATTGACTGTGTGAGTGATGATGAGTTTCTACTTATTCATTATCACATATTTTTTCATTTTTATGTCACTGCCAGAAATGGTGACATATTGTTATAGTCTCCAACTGTTTTGGCCAGTTTTTGGCAATTGGTGTTTGGCATTTGGGGTCTGTAACAGCAGTCAGCATCTGTAACAAATGGCAGGTGGTGACATTTTGCATGTTAATGCCTTGTATATATTTTACCTTTTATTCATTTCCAGCCTTAAATGTGATCGAACAGTGGAATGAGAAGCCACCTATACAACCTAAGCACCTGAGGGAAGCAACAAGGAGGCTTAAACACAAAGGACTGTTTCCAAACTCTAAACACAAACAGAAATTATTCTTATAATATAGGAAATGGGATGGATTATTTTATCATCAACGTCTCTGATATATCTCTATCATCATCACCACCATGACATTACCCTGAGATCACAGAAAAACCACACTACAATTTGACGAGGATCGATCATTTAGAATTTGGAGATCAATGAATCAGAAACTACTGTAGGCCCATGATAATTATATGCATGTAGCTTGATAATACAGAAATCGCCATGGCTGAGCAATGACAAACTCTGATTGACTCATTACATGTGGAGGTTTATCGCTAAATTTAAAGTATGTGTGCTGTGCGCATCTATACCGTAAATCCTATGTTCGACTTTTATTTAACAGTTGTATTCTCACATGTTTATACATGTGACAACTTGTGGGGCAATTAAGATCATTATCAAGTTATTAAATGTTGTTTGCGTAGGCTGTTGTATTTTAGTTGTAGTTATAGAAAAGACTGGTAGGCTTGCAATTGAAATAAAAATAAATACACTGGGTGTATGAGTGAGTGTATAGGCAGGTATGAGTCAGACGAATTTTAAAGAAAATTTTTTTGCACAATATCTGAATAAAATTGTGAAAATGATGAATACAAGTACAGGGGTTTCATGAGCAGCAGCCAACAGGCGATTTTCCTTAGGGACTTTTAACTTTTCCATGTTAAATTTATGATTTCTATTAACTTTGCCTGTTGTTTTCATTTAGTTAGCCTGTTGTGAAAAAATTCTAGTGACACCCCTGAAGTATGAGCCTCTTATGTGACTGACATGTTACGCCTATTTATATTCTGTTTAGGTTTTATTTATCATCTCATATTTTTCAATCATGGGTGTACATGCACTTCTTAGTGTTGTGATAATTTACATGTCACATTTTGATTGAAATGTATATGTTGTACTCTTAGTCTCTAGGCTGGTTTTTGAAAAAATATATATTGAACGATTTTTTAAATAAATGTATATTTTGTCCAATATGATAGCCTAATGGAAGCAATTATAAATAGAACAAGAGTTGCGGCACAGAATTCAGAATGAATGACTCCTGACTTTAATAAGACCTCCAAATGCAAATGGTTTGCTTATCATAGTAATATCAAAATAAACTGACAAACCTTGGAACTATAATTTATCACAATTACTAACCAGACATGATATTGTGAATTTGCTTGGCGCTATATCATAAGCAACGGCAAATGGCTACAACGCTATGTGAATCGCCCAACTTGGCATTATGATCAGCTTAACAAAGAACCTTAAATGCTCGCTGTTTGACGAGATCTTGTAAGTAGCCTACCTATGAATTATCTAAAATCATGTCATTAGACTTTATTCTGTCCTTTGCCAAAGACTGCTTCATATCTTTCATCGATGTTGTCACTTTTAGAATTATTGTGCATAAAAAAATCAGTGAACAGGTTTTTCACGATGATGAATCATGATATTCTGTGTCGTGAGCAATGTGACAATATAACGATGACAACGATAAAATATGATACATTTACATTAATTGCATACATCTAAATATACATTAAATGCACAATATGTGTATGTTATTAATATGTTGTCAGTCACTTTGTGTGACACTATATTTATTGGATTACATTAATAGCTATCAGCTATACAAAATGTTTTCCATACACATTATTTCATCTTATCATTGGTAAAAAGGGGAGGGTGCAGCATTGGGAGACATAAAATCATTTTTAAAATCTTCGTGAATTAATGAAATATCGATACAGTTCTTCAATAATCATTTATTTTCTTCGTCCGAAAGGAACTTTGTAATGATGCCCTAATAAAGGGGAGGGACCTATCAGATACTCAAAATTATTTTTTGACCCTCAAATGCAAAGACTGAGATTGTGATAGAAAGCAAAAATGACATTCCTCACTTTTGTAGTCATGTGATTTATCTTAAATTTGGAACATTATAATATGTACATCATTACATAAAGTAGTCTGCTTTTTGAATTTTATATTATTTTTGTCAGATTTTATTTTTTGATGTGGTCACTATGTCAAATCAAGGAATTAGATCTCCCTCCTCTATCTTTTTCCCTACTGGATATACCATATGTAAGGGAGGCGGGGGGGGGGGTTACAAATGACCTTGATATGAGACTGTAGTAAACAACTCAAACCTAAAATATTCCTTGCAACTTTAGCATATCCCTCATTTACCTTGGCTTTACAGATTTAACCGTCAATAAATCTTGGCTGAGTTTCTCCGATGTCTGAGTAAACAAGTTATAATAATGAATTTAATCCTACGCGTGTAATAAATGGCGAGTTTGACTGGGAGATTTCTATTAGACTAGATTACATCAGGATAAAGGAAGTAATTTTGTAAAATATTAGTTCTCTTGACTTGTGTAATTTCATCCTCTTCTTAATACAAGAGACCTCACTGACAGTTGTATCTAATTAGCTCTTTGTGAGGCCATAATAAAGTAAATTCATGGATGTTTTGTCCAGCATTATCGAGGTCTACTGGAGAAGATATCTTAATATGAGTCCCCAGAAGGAGATGCATGAGTCTCTTTATGAGATGCTTGCTGTCTCAGTCTCATGAAGGAGATGTATGATGTATGAATCTCTTAAGGAGATGCTTGTTGTCTGAAGTCTCCTGAAGGAGATGTATGAGTCTCTTTGGGAGATGCTTGCTGTCTGAGTCTCCCGAAGGAGATGTTTGAGTCTCTTTAGGAGATGCTTGGTGCATGAGTCTCCCGGAGGAGATGAATGACATATGAATCTCTTCAGGATATGCTTGGTGTATGAGTCTCCCGAAGGAGATGTATGATGTAAGAGTCTCTTTAGGAGATGCTTGTTGTCTGATCTTTTTAAGGAGATGCTTGGTTTATGAATCTCTTTTAGGAGACACTTGCTGTCTGAGTCTCTTGTTTTACCAGACCCCCTCTTATATGTCATTTGTGAGGGATTTGGAGAGTTCAAGACAATTATATAAAGGGAGTATGTTATTGATATGGGACAACATAGGGGTTTTGAAAAATATTTGAGGTTGACAGAAATACATTTTGAAAAGGTTCACACAAATAATACATGTGCTAGGTTTGTACATTACCATTTTCCTGTTTGATAGAAAAATGAAAAATTGTGAATTCTTTAACGTGTAACAAAGAGAAAAGAATATTATTATCCTCAAGTGCATTTGTCAAATGATTAGAAAAATCAATCTCAATTTATATCTGTTTGAGACGCACTGACCTTGTATTTATTTTTACTCAGTGATTTATCATGGCATTATTGAATGAATTGAACACCTCTTAGGTATCGCATTAGCTAAATGATAAGAGAACATGATTTTTAGCATTGAATTCTTTGATACGGTGATTTTTACCTGTACAGCTAGTTAAAACTCAATACTTGCTATTATAGCCATACTGAGTTTTCCCTGTCCCCGTCATTCTGTTTCAGAATTTTCGTTACATTCGAGTCATAGAACATAGTACTAGAAAATTTTTATTCACGATTTGTTCACAGGTCTCTTATATTAACTGGCCATTGGAATATTTTTGGAATTTCATTTTCTTGTTTACTTTTGAGCTGTTCTTAATATATTCAGTTGTTATGCCCAAGTCATTGTGCAAAACATTACGCCCACGGTGTTTCTGTTTCTTCTTGTAAATTATGGCATTTCTCATTGGAAAACTGAATTAGCAATACTCTTTGTGTAAGGGGACCTGTTATGTTTGACAAGATGAAGTAGCAAACCATTGCCCCTGGGAAGTTATCAAGTTTTCCAATCAATCTTGCAAATGTTCAATTACTTCAACCAATTCTGGCTGGCATTCCTCAGACCTGCATAATAGACATCATTGGTTCAAGGGTATTTCACTTTCGATAGATGCTGTGGTAGCAGTGTAGCAGTTGTGGAATATGGATAAATAGAGGCTAAAACGCTTCAAAATCTCTGTGAATTATGTTCTTTTTAATAGGATTTACATATTTCACTAGATTTCATTCTATTTGATGCATATTTGAATTATGCACATATATTCTACGAGGGAGACTTATGTACTTATACAGTGTGTCTCAAAAAAATGTTTCACTTACAAAAAGTTCAATATCTTTCATAATTTTAACTTTTCCCCTAAAATGTACTTTGGATACCAAAAGACAAATCTTTTTCAAATAATTTGAAACCATCAGATTCAAAATCTGTCCTTGATTGGCTCCACAGGACAGCTTTTAGTGTCCCATGGTAAAATCTGACTTGCACCAACTTCTAAGTGATTGAATGGACCAAATGACAAAAGAGGAACAGTTTCTTTAACATTTAACTTTCTTCTGAGTAGAAGCTTGACCTTTAATTCAGTCATTCTGTAATTTTCCTATTTGTCTTACATATGATCATTGGGTCCATCCACATAAACATAAACATGTGGTCCCCTCAACATGTTCTCCAAAGCAAATCTGAGGTACCCTTGCCCATGCGCACACGCATTGTAATATCACACTGATTCCATCAATTATTTTTGCTCAAGTTCATTTAGGTCAGTTTGTGATGCTGTAAAGCACTTTCAGAGGCCATTTAAAAAATCAAGGGTGTAAAGTGGGATGACCCTGGGGACCAATCCATTTTGTAATACAATGCTATCTTCTGATTTCCAAAGATTTCTACCAAACAATCTGCCACAGGCCTTTGCACCATCCTGTTGCCATCATACGTAACAAAATTGAACACCCTGACAATGAAATCTTGTATTTCTATCCAGGAAAGAAACAACTGAATCATTAATCATATCAAGATATCACTGTCCACAGCATTCCCACCAAAAAAGAATTGATCACCACATATCCAACCACTGAGAAGTTGGCGCAAATCAGATTTCACATGCGTCTATAAAATCTGCTAATCATGGACAGATTTTGAATCTGATCTGATCTAAGTACATTTTAGGGGAAAAGTCAAGATCATGAAAGATATTGAACTTTTTGTAAGTGTAGCATTTTTTTTTGAGACACACTGCATATTCACTTTTATATAATTTCTCAAGTTCTCAAGTAGGATCAGACTAAATCCCCATTGATACTATGTTAAAAATTCCTTGAAAGTTGATTAAACAACAGATTACATATGCCAATTTTATTTACAATTATCCATTTATAAATATTTGATTAAAAAAATTTAGTAACTAGTCAATTTTTAGCTTAATCCATAATCTGGTCCAACCCAAACTTATACTGCCATTTATTCTATCTGAATAACAGGTACGCCATTCCTTTATTGAAAATGATGTATATTTCCTATGCATTAGTCCCCCTTGGCTCATACCGCTGATTCCACAATGCAGGCGACTGAACAGTCAAGAATGAAGATGGGATTCAATTTCCCTGTGCTTTCTTGGGTTAAATGCAAATGCAGTGTTCTCCGCAGGATTTTTTCTCAAGTGGGTACAAAATAATCATTTGCACAATTCAGACCAAAATTGGTCAAAATATGCCTATTTTTTCATGATTTCCAAGTGGGTGAAAATGGATTCCCAGGTGGGTGCAACCCTATTATCAAAATCTCAGGTGGGTCCTGTGCTCACTTGCTTTAATGCTGGGAAAATCACTGAAATAGTTAGATGAGGGATGTGGTGTTATTCTTGACACAATGATTCTTTGTTTGTTTTTAATTTGGTGCCCTCTTTAATTTTTTTAATTTGGTTTGTTGTATGGCAAGAAAATGTAAAGGACCACTACAATATAACGAATTAGCAATTTCAAATGTTAGAATATAACAAAACCAACTGTATGCATATTTCTTACATTTTTATTTAGTTTTAACATATACTGATTTCCAAAAAACAACAACATTTTTCACTCATAAATTAAATCTTTATAATCTGACAACCACCACTCAATTATATTGTGACATCCATGGGAGGGGATTAAGAAAGTATATGGTTTACATCATGTGCTCACTATAATCGTCTTACATCTGGGCATTACAACAGAGGCTACTAAAATCTATTGAATACTGCCCATGAATTCTATACATGTTAAAGATGTTTCTATACATATTAAAGACAAGAGACTACTATTAGTCTAATATGCATGGGTGCTAAGAAAACCTCAACATACCACTGACTTGCAAACACACACAACCCCTTGCCTTAGCTAGGATACTAAACAAACTGTATCATGAGATATGGTAAGTTTCCGTGACGAATGTCTATTTATTTTCCATTATCATAACTTATAATACTATGGATCTATAGGATGTATTAAGAATCCAGGACTGCTTATTTAAGGCTAGAGCACAAAAACAATGTTTAACATCCCCTTATCCAGATCAAAGAAATACTGTATTTCATATATTTAATACTATCCTGGAGGCATTTTTGAAAAATAACCATAGTTAAACTATTTTGAGAGAAATAATGTTACATACAAATGATACATGATCGTCCAAACGAGTTTTTAGTATATAAGAATAAAATAATTTTAAACAAAGTATTATTAACCCCAGCCTTTAAGAAGTACATAAGACCAGCCATTCAATAAATAAATGATATAGAAATTCCCCATAGCCACAACAATCAATAATGTTACTGCACAAATGCCTGTTATTTAATCGACTATACCAATATGACATTGAAATCATTTCATAGATCCCGAAACAAGAATTAGACTTTCAGAAAATAAATGTCTGATAACAAGATAACTAAATTATAAATAACTCCCTTCTTGTTTTGTCATAACAACTATTATATTGAAGTGTTATGATAACAATCCCGCTGTAAATCAATATTCTAGTTTCGTAGGGAATACGTCAATTTATAAGGATTTATGATAAGAAAAACAAATGTTTATGTTTTTTCCTTTTATAACATAAATTATGATAAATTGATTTGTGTTTCATTTCGTGGAATGTTTTATTTGGTATCACGTACCAGGTTAAAATGGTAAAATATCATTTTTGCGAGAAAATGGATATTCTATTAATGAGTCTTGTATTTTTCTATTCTACAAATGCTTTTAAACAAGTCAATTTTCAATATTTATTTAGAGTGTACATTGACTGAAATGTCTTCCTCGAATTTTGTTGAAAATTGTTGATTTATGCCAAGCAAATGAAATGACCCATTGCCCCTCTTTCTAACCATAACTATCATATTACTTGTTTTCTTATTGTAAATCAATATAATTTCCATTTCCTAGTTGTGTCATCTTTGAAACAATACCTTATGCTGAAATCCACAATTTAGCTGAATTTCTGACAATATAAACATGATTTTCCAATTTTGTTTATAATTCAATACAGCAAAATCAGATAATATAACAACTATAACATACATTCTTTTCACTTTCTTCAACATTTACTTACATCGGAAGCATTTTGTTACTCGAACAGCAGTCTCAAATCTCAGGCCCGTAGCCATGAGGAGGGTTCGAATGACACCTGGCCAAAAATTCTTTCAAAATCATGCAGTTTTTCACCATTCTGAGCACGTTTCAATTGATTTTGAGCCAAAGTTGTCAATTGTGAACCTCCCCTGGAATTTTTTTGAAAAGTGACCCCCCTGGCAAAAGCTGTTTATGGGCCTGGATCTCAAAATGTCCTTTAAACACTACATCTCTAGCTCACAGTTATATTTCAATTTAAGTACATCTTATACATCTTCCCCCAAAGCCACTTGTTTGAAATACATTGCCCTGTGTGTGTGTTACTTAAAGCCTCATTCATAAAACACCGATGACACCAAAACAATATTCAAGAATTTGAGATCTGATAATGTACAAGCTTAAAGATGATATTAATATGTACTTGCAATTTTTTCTATTCTATGATTATAACCTTTTTAATTTTTCTTTCATTATTACTATTTTTTTAATTACGGCTGCACCATAAATTAACAATGTGACCAAATCATAAGAGTATTATGAGGTTATATAATGATTGATTCTGTATATCGTGTTTATTCACAAGTGACTGAAGGGAACGAGTGAATATATCATATACTCACGAGAGTATAATGATATACAGAATCAACCATTATATGATCTTATTATCCCACGCTAAACTGAGCAGTTGTATATCAAGTCGAAGCGTTGTATACGCTGCCCAGGACTTGTATACGCTATCTAGGAGTTGTATATCGTTCTCGGGAGCTGTATACGATGAGTGTTGGTTTTATATTGCAGTTATACAATGCTATTATACAATCATATAAAGCACTTAGGGTGGGATAATTACATAATATCCGTTCAATGCCTAGTAAAAGACTACAATGTAGGTTAGATATATATATTTGTATGTGCAAATATTATGTAACACAATGCTATGTACACTAAATGAGCAGAGAGTGAGGTGTCCTATTGTTATAAGCTCTAATAATATAAAGTGAGGAGAAATGCAGATCTAGTGGAATATACATACATGTACAACACATGTACATTTACATGATAAATGTACATGATAGATGTACATGATAAAGTGATACCATAGATATATGTTTAATAATATGTGTAAATAGAAGCATATCTACAAGTGTATATACAATGTATACATGTTATAGAGGGGTAAATAAAAGCAATATCTACTATTTCATACTATAAATTGGTTTATTTTGGTGGAATTTACTCCAGGGAATTTGCCACATTCAGAACATTCGTGGCTTTTCGATTTGGCAAAATGACATGATAAACGAATAACAGACAAACATCTAATTTAGTGATCTAATGTACAGAATATGTTAATCACTAAAGTAAAGCAATTTACAGTATATAGTAGGTGTAGATCAAAGCAGTGTAAAAGCACATAACAGTGTAAAGGAAAGAAAACATTTCTTAATAAGTTAAAATATACAGTTTGATGCACAACCTCATGAATGGAAAATCAGTAATTGTCCAAAGTATACCAATGGAAAAAATCACAATTCTTGAGGTTGTGTGTTAGACTGAATACAGTACATAGTAATAGATGTAAATGTACACTCCCCTCCATAAGTTCGACAACTTGAAATTTTCATTAGAGCATATCAAAACTTGTCAGTGTGTGAATCTAATTCTGTCCTAATTAAACGTAGGTACAATAATTTCAGAGATCTATGACAATTTTGATAATCCTTTTAAATCACCAAACATAAGCCGCCTTTGATAAAGGGTAAAGGGCATTAACCAGTTGCCAAACTTATGGAGGGGAGTGTATGTTGAAGTGTAAAGCTCATAATAATATGAGTATATGAACAAGTTGGAGGTGTCCACTTTTGATGTGGTTCATACTTAAATTATCATCAAAAGTAAATCAAACCAATAATCATTTCAACCATAAGTTTCAACCATATCAAAAATAGACCCAAGAGATTTTGTGAAGTTCTAGATCTAAGCAGTGCTACAATACAACAGTCTGATGCAAAGTTCCCAACAAAAGCATTAAGCATATAATAGGAGCAATCTTCTATTTGTTTCTCGGGACTAGGCGCTAGACTGATTGATGTTGAAACGAGAGAAAATGGACTTATATGTATATAATTATGAAATATTAACAGTGAACGATACAACAATCTGTACAAGTGATTTGTAATCCTCAATACAAGACTACTTTAGAACTAAGTAAAACCTCATTAAACACACGGGTAATTTATAATAACATGATTGATAGATAAATACCGCATCGTTTGATGACAGAATGGCAACACCATTTGGCAATGTGTGGCACAACAACCTAATAACAATATTATAATAACAATAACTACATGCACTAGGTGGATATGATAACATAGAAAGATATATGCTTTCATACACGAGGAAGTGAAATATTTTATAGTAAATGATACAACAATGATGTTGCTATGGCAACATGCTATGGTAACTATGCATTAATTGAAACATGATTCATGACATATTCAAAAAATAGCCTCCGTCTTTTTTGCCAAAAATGATAAATTACAAATTCACATATATTGAATGTTTTACTTCGAATCCTCAGATGATGATGATAATTTTTCAACATCTAGATTTAACTATAGACTTCGTGATACTCAATTGTATAAAAAATATTCCTATGTATTTTGCTGCTATGTTAGAACAGGATGAATCTAAGAGATAATTGGATGCTTGGCAGGTGCTGGTTACCATAGAAACACAAATACACCTTGAGGTAAATTACATCTAAAGAAGTGCAACAATTCCTTTCATCATCTCATAATTGAATAATTATTTAAAGGTAGAATCCATAAAAGAACATCGTAAAAATTCTATGTACAGTACAGTAATATCCACATTGTAGAAAAATGAACACAAGGTGTAAAGTCTGTTATTTAAATAAGCCTCTAAGAATCCAAAATTGAGAATTGTTTTTAAAGAGTTGGTATCTCAATCTACCTTTAAATAATTGCTACAACTACATGTACCTTATCATTCTTGGTCAAATCACCACCTGTCTTCAAAACATGACTAAGACAGTGGTAATTATGTGGTAATCAAAAATAATTACCACTTTTTAATTGTCTACTAACTGTCCATTGAAAATGAGTTAATATTTATCAACATTGCCATGACAATAGCATAATACACACTAACATTGGGAGACCATTTGGCCAAACAACTGTTTTTCTGTCATAAAGCTTCCTTAGGAATATGTGTACTATTAAAGCTGAATATAGGTGTAAATATTTACAGAACTAAATAGAAGCATCGATTCGTCATCCTCAAAAAGAGGCTTGCATTGATAAATTATAAAGTGAAGTATCAACTTCTTTTCCCGTACCATCCAAGTGGCCCCGCCACTCGTCTGATTGATTGACTGCTTTTTCTTTGATGTGCGCTGATTCAGTTTCAATTTCTTCATTAAATACTGTCATTTTACGAAATCCAAAACAACGGTGACTTAGTAATCACAACAGTTGTATTGTAGAGTACTGTTTGTTGAAGTCTTGTTAAGTTACAATTTTTTACTTTTCTCCAGAACGATGTCAACTTGACTGTCAATTACAGAGAGCGAAATCATCATTTGTGCGGCATAGTATGTCATCATGATGAATGTGTGTGCAAATGGCACAGAGAATCTAAACCTGTCCATAGCTATGGTGAGGTCAGACACCATGAACAGAAGAGCACCCATACATCCGCATAATTTCGTCCAAGTCCAAAGATCGTCATTCCAAGTCCAATCGTCTTCGAAGAACTGTACCCTCGCGATAGCCCTCCATGCCATGAACATGATAAGAGCTGTGTACATAGCAACGAAATACACCATCGGGCCTTCAAGTCCTGGCACTAAATACAGGTACGTGATTGCTCCAACGGTGAAGCATACAGCCCCGGAGATGTGTTTCAGAGGCAGCAACCCAAAAGCTCTAGCGTAGAATGCTTGGGCAATCGCGAAGGATGCGATCCCATGGAGGAAATAATTTGCTTTCCATACCAGACAGATATCTCCGATCATTGAAAAAATGAGTCCAAGTAACACGCGTCGTGAATACACATAGACCTCATCCAGGTTCATGCCGTGTAGCAACACAAATACAATCAGCGACAGAATTGGGAGAATCTTAATGACACAACAGAACAGTGTTGACGTGTCAGAAGTCGGGAAGAGCACGAAAAATATAGCCACTGTCTTGAAGAATGGCACCAGCTTCGGTCCAACACTCTTCAACTGAAAGAACAAAAAAAAAACTTTTAGTATTATTTTAATTTTACAACATTTTCAATGATGCAAGTTAGGGTCTTTTATGTGACAATAATTTTGTGAACTGAAGTGAAGAACTAAAAAAGACACACTTTAAAAAATATATAATACAGGTTCCAGAACATATGGCTTCTTAGCAAGAGATTTTAGGTAAAATTGTGGCCAAGAAAATGTCACTTCCAAAAATTTATTTAACTGTTATTAGTGCACTTAAGAGTTCAGACCCTCAATGTCACTATATGTCTGCTAAAAAATACAAATTCCAGAGAACACAGACATGTGTCTAAACTCATATTTTGCTAAAAGAGGAAACATTTGATACCCCATTCTATAACCAGCCAATTCCTAAAACAGTGCTACCTGTCATTATCAATAAATCATATCTATTTTAGAGGCTACACTTGAAACTATACTTGAAATAGCATTTGTTTATCTAAAGTGATAACACAGTTTTTCAATCTAAAAACAGAAGTACCACAGATCATTTAATTGATCGCTTAGATTTTTTTGTATCACATGACTAAAGTGAATTATAATGGTAGCCCAGTTAGTAAACGTGCCAATTTTTATTTTGTTTTATATTTTCTTAATTTTATGAGTCGCCCTTAAGAAAAAAGCCATGGTAACCATGGTATTCCATGGTACGCCCATGGTAATCCATGATAATTCATGGCTTTTCATGGTACTTTCCATGGAAATTCATGGACACCCATGGTAATCTTCCATGGATATTTATCATGATTTTCCATGGTAATTAGTGGTTTGGTAGTTGTTTTTTCATGGATGTGTCATGGTTTTTACCAGGACACACAGAGATCCAAGTTGGTTATTTTAGGTTTAGCAGGAACATGTTAAACTCAGCTTCCTTACAAATATGTAAAAATTATGTAACTTTTCTAAAAAGAAATATGATAATGCAGTTAATGCAGCACTGAGTAGGCCACAAGATTTCAAAGATAAATATGTATAGGGCTTTTGCGTAGATCAAGACTAGATACAGAGATTCCTTATTTTTTAGGCCAAACACTTCTAGTCTTTTGGAAAGATTAAGTCAAACTAGCCCTACCTCTGTTTTGTTTTCTTATTGTTTCTTTAATATTCAGTTATGAAAATTAAAATTAAATAATTTCAAAAATAAATAACTCTTTTCCTTAAATTACATGTCTTACATTTTAGAATGCAATAAAAACCATGGTTTCTTTCTTTGAAGTTGAGGATACTGCAATCAAAAGCCATGGAAGTCGGTTGATTGCAATCGAAAGCCATGCTTTTCCATGGTTATTTCTTTGATGTTTTGGAAAGTGCAATCAAAAGCCATGTTTTTCCATCGATATTTCTTTGATGTTTTGGAAAGTGCAATCAAAAGCCATGGTTTTCCATGGTCATTCTTTTGATCTTTTGAAAAATCCATGGTTTTCCATGACTATTTGTTTGGTCTTTTTGGATGCAGAAAAAAGAATAATGTATAATGAACATTGAACTTTTCCAAATAAAGTCTCATTTGACCTTCATGAGCACATTGTCTGAAAAATCCATATACTTTTTAGAATTTTGACTTGAAATTAAGGTGGGGGATTAAACACAAGCCTATGACTGCCAACTGAAATATAATGCCTAAGTGATCAAAAATCTATTTGTCTATGTACTAAGGTTACTATAATTATGTAATCTATTTAAAAAGAAGTCATAATCATTTGCATAATTTTTAAATATTTGGTTGTCATTGTTCTATGTTAATTAGGTTTCTTAACTCTCAAATTAGTGTTAAAATTTCTCTTTGCAACAGATTATATAGTTCATTTGTATAATTCTAAAATACATGTATTATGATCTTAATTGTTATTATTTATGATGAGTGCTTCCTCTTCAGGAATAATTATAATTGTCTGTGAGTGTAGACAGTGCAAGTCAAAAACTCATTGTTGATCAAATAAAACCAAATAGGATTAAAAACTCCAAGTAAACATGTCTAGATTATGAAAACATCTTTATCATAGAACTAAACATATATCTAGATTATGAAAATAAGGTGCATGGTTGTATTTCAGGCCCATAGTTAGCTTTTGCCAAGGGGGTTGACTTTCTCAAAAAATTGATGGGGACATCATATTCTTCTCTCTATGATTAGTCTCAATCCAGTTTGGATTCATTCATTAAAACATTGATTCAATTTGGAAGATTTTGGTAAATATAAAAACTGCCAAAATTGTTGATTTTACAACTCCAAGTCACTTAGTATCAGGGTAAAAACATGGCATTCCATGAAAAACCAATTACCAAACCACTCATTACCATGGAAGATCATGGTAAATATCCATGGAAGATTACCATGGACGTCCATGAAATTACATGGAAAATACCATGAAAAACGATGAATTTCCATGGAAAACCATGGATAACCATGGACGGACCATGGAATATCATGGCTACCATGGCTTTTTTCTTAAGGGTGAATTGCAGGATCGAGTACATGTTTGTAAGAGTATGATGTAATTAAGGGCGTTTTTGTATCACATGACTGAAAAGTAAATGGTAGACCAGTAAAAATGCCAATTTTTATTTCAAATATCTTTAAAAAATTCTCAAATATATGTGTGGGCTGTAAAAGTACATGTTTATAGCATGATGTAATTAAGAGTGTTTTTTGTATCACATGACTGAAAAGAAATTACAATGGTAGAGCAGTAAAAATGCCAATTTTTATTTTATGTCTTATAAATTTTTCTCAATTATATGTGTGGGCTGTAAGAGTACACGGTTGTTGCATGATGTAATTGATATTGCAATATTGCTTGCACTTGTAAAATTGCTTGCACTTGTGATTATGCTTGCACTTGTGAAATTGCTTGCACTTGTGATATTGCTTGCACTTGTGAAATCGCTTGCACTTGTAAATGCAGATCACCCTATCAGAGGCTCAAGGTTTAGATAAGTTAAGAGTATTGATGACTGAATGTAAATTCCAAATGTAATAATCTATCATATCATATCATATATTCAAGGACATAACCATAATGCCCTTGGCCAATAACCATATTGCATCCAATGATCAAAGGTTACATAACTAGTACTAAACCCTTATGATGCTCTATTAACTTAATAAGCTAAAATATGAGACCAACCAGATCAATTATTTTACTTCATCAAATTGTAATCAATGTTCAAATGTCACAATTTTTGAAAATGAATGATGGAAAAAGTTCATAAAAATCAAGGGAAGTGCTTCTGTTAAGAACAAAATTAGAATGTCAGAATGAAATATGATTCTCATAAAAGTAAGTGTCACAAAAAGCTTTGTAAAATTGCAGTGTTTGCCTAAAAATTATATTTTATGAACCTAATGATTGAATGAAAATCAGTTGATATAAACCCTGGAAATATATTATATATCAAATGAAAGCTTGTAGGAAAGGTAGTGTTCAAATGATTTTAAAGTACAGGTTTACTGTATTCACCAAGTTGTATGCATATGAAATTAATAGTTAAATGATATAAAAATTCTTTTGTTACAACTGATTCAAACATACAGTAATAGCATATATTAACCTATTTTTTTATTCTGACCAATGGCCTCAAATAACATTGATATTGATTGTAATGTAACTGATCTATAGGTTAACATAGTAAAAGAGACAGATCTGGGTTTAATAAGTCACGTTTGTGATAATCACCAACGTTTGATGAAATTACGTATTTATTGATATTAGAAAGCTTTTGTTTCATTAAGAATATCATAATTGATCTCATACATTCATAAACAGATACCATTGATGTCTCATAAGACTTCAACTATTGTTAGAATTAGAAACCTCGTATAAAATATTTATGGTATGTATAATGTTTTACAAATGACAGCTGGACTTTTATATTTGATTATAGTTGAAGATATAAACTGAATGTAAAGTACAGGCATCTGTTCACTGATCATTATTTTCTTAATTTAACTACAGTAAAACTTGTAAAGTGGAACCACTCAATAAGTGGGAAATATATCTTCAAGTTCTGTTATCCAATCTAAAATGAAGGTCTGTAACTGGAACACCTCCAGATTTGAACACTTAGAGGCCCTATAGGTGTTTCACTTATAAAGATTTTACTGTACTTTTTCATTAAATTCATACAACTTTTTCAATGAGAATGGACCTATATCGCATCTTACTACAGTGAATATATAGGCTGAGTAAAATTAAAGATTCCATGTGCAAGCAGATCTCAAAACTATCCAGCATTGCTTACCTTAATTAATGATAAAATATTTTGAATAAGAAATTGAATAAGAATATTTTTTATCCAGCAACTAGAAACAGCTGCCACTTTTTTTATCAGAGATGATTAACCTCTTGATTACATAGAGTGACGAGAAAATCCGTCATAAAATTGTTCACTAGAATTGCTCTTATTTGAACAATTTTCATCCAATTTACACGATAATTGTTTTAAAATGTGTAGAAATGATCTCTACCATCTAATTTTACGAAGGTTAAGATTTGTGACAAAGCAATCGTTAACTTATAATTAAGAATATTATTCACAGGCAATAAAAAAGATGGTGAACTAAAGGGATTCTTGCTAGTATGTAATAGAGCAGACTAAAGAATGTAAACAATGTATTTGTCAGTATGGTGAATGTTTCATGACACAGAAAATGACATTCTACATTTTTCAGATTCTACATGTGTATTAGTCCCTTTTCAATTGGCAATTGGCCTTGGCAATTTATGTTTTTCACTGCCAGTAGATTGCCATCCCCAGAAGGCAGATACAGAGTGATTACTGGGATCTCATTGCCACAAAACATGAAATATCAAGAAACGACATGAGGGTTGATCCAAATTATGATTCATTACCATTACATTTTTAACGAAAGTGAACAATGGCTGAAATCGTAATATGTAGACAAGACAGGCCATTTGGCATTCAGCTGTTAAAGATATTTTGGGCCTCAATAAAAACTCTGAGAGAACACTTTAAAAGCTAAATCAATTGTTAAACATTCCAAATATCACCAGTAACAGTTACTTGTCACCAGTTACCCGACATTTGTTACAAATCCTAACCACCAGACAACCAACAACAGCCAAACACCATCAACAAAAAAGTTGAAGACTATAACAATGCTATGTGGTAGTGGCATAAAAATTATTTTAGATTTTTAGGCTTGACATATGGTCTCTAGAGTTGGTGCATGGTTCCTGTAAGTGGTAAGTGGGTGTTCTTTTGTCATTCCCATCAAAAGTTTAGTCTTGAACCTCAACTAGGATTCAAGTTTCAACAATCCAGGTTGAACAAGTGCCTGGTTAAAAAATAGGGCATTATTTTCTGACATTAAAATGGTAAAAATATCATATGCTGGCAATTAGCCATGACTCATAAGTCACAAGATCTATGTGGTATATAGTTCAACAAGTTAAACCCAATACCACGGCTTTCATTTATAATCTGAGTGTTCTTGTTGCCGTGGTTGGGTTTAACTTCCGTGCTATGCTTTCATTGGTTGCAAATTCTCACAATCAGTTATTAATAAAACGCGCATGGAATTCCATGCGCTGCCATAGGCCATCATTAAAAATTTTTGCATCAAGGGCCGAATAGGCACGGATGTTAAACCTAGGGCGGGCCACAAGAAATGTCAGATAAGAAATAAGGCCCAGACTAGGTTTAACTTGTTGAACTATGTGGTATACATTCACAGCTGATTTTCTATTGGAATAATTCCAAGGTTTTTCTTTATCAAGTTTCAACCCTTCAAACAGCAATAAATTACACCACTATTTAAACACTCCAGAACATTCCAGGTCATTGGTAATTCAAGATCATCAATTTATATCATATTGCTTGTCAAACATTTTACATCGATGCTTTTTAGGCAAAATAATATTAGGCCCTTTGTTGTTTACATTTTTTAAGCGGCCATGCTGGATTTGTTAAAAATGTGAGATTTTTTCAGAGCCAAACTAAACACCGTCAAATACACTCTTCGGAGATAGTGATTCGTTTAAAAAGACATCTGATAAAAGAATAATACTTACCACACTCAATGGACTTATATTTTTTATCTTCCGTGGTCTAATCATCTTGAAATTTGAAGGTTGAGACGGAGTATTTTCAACGATCGTCATCATGAAATCTGTTTTTACTTTTCTGACCTAAATAGGTCAGAGTAGTGACGACATTTAATTGCTCCCTCTGATTGGTTACACAATGGGGGCACGTCATCATTAGCCAATCCCTGCACAGCAATCAATAACTTTAGTGTGCTTTTTCGTTCAGTACAACTAGTAGTTAATACCCGGCGATGCCCTTGCGGCGATGCTTTACTTCAAATCACCTGCTGAGGTCACTTGCACTGAGCAAACTGACCTATGAGGACAAATTCTGTCCAGCCCCGTAGCCAGCTTTTGCAAATGGGGTTCACTTTTAAAAAAATTCAGGGGGGTTCACATTAGACAACCTGGGCCAAAAATCACAAAAAGTGCTTAGAATGGTGAAAATTTAAAAGTGCATGAGTTTGGAAGAATTTTAGCTCAATCAGGTGGGGGGGGGGGGGGTTGCCTCATATAAAGACTGAATGATCTGGAAGAACTCTACAGGTGGAAATTCATGATATTCACATCAGTGAACATGAAAGTACGCTTTTTGAAAACTTCTTAACATTCATAATCTTTTATGGGGGGGTGTATAGAGATATTGTATATCGTATAAGAGGCTGAAAATTTATTGTATATTCGTATAAGAGGGGGCAAAATTTATCGTATATGGTATAAGAGGTGTAAAAAATATAGTATATGGTATTTTAGAAAATATGGTATATGGTATCTAGAATTAAAGAAGGCTAATTATGAAGAAATTGTACCCTAAAGTTCCCCCATTGTGCCAACTCTCTTACTGTAACCGTGTTGGAAAAACATGGAAAAGTAGTCTCTATAATTGTTTTCAAATTCCAGGTCAATCGATACTGTTAGTTTAGAGAAAATCCCTCTCAAACTAAGAGTTTTGTGCCCCTTTCATTCAAATTTTCACAGGAGGTGTTAAATACAGTCTCAAATAAGAATCACGCCCGGTGATCAGAAGAAATGAACGGAGGGGGGAGTAGATCTAGCTGATTTTCGGTAGAAAATTCAACAAATCTTGAAGATTTATTTTTTCAAGAGAAAGTTTACAATTGAATGGCTAAATGAATAGACGCAGTGGACGGGGGAATATGTTAAGTCTTTTTGGATTTTTTTTAATTGTGGAGTTCTAAAATAAAAGATCTATTAAAAAAGTGCAGCGTCGCCAACATGCAAATGCCAATGTTTTTGCTATAAATCAACCAACAGGGGTCTCCACGACCTGTAATAAATACTTGTAAGTGAAGTAATTATCACAAAACTATTGGGTTTTGTAAAACATGTTACCATACGTTATATAAAAAGTAATCTCTATGACTGCTTGTCCTGGAGTTAATGCATTGGCCTAACATATGCACCTGTTCAAATCCTCAGAAAATAGCCAAAATCCAATATATGACTGAAATCTGTTGCGATACCGTCCGTGGTCCTTTAAAAGAAAGTTAATTCTAGTTACATAGAGTAGTTTTCATTCTCATCAATACATCTTTGCCTTGAAATCATTTGTGAAACATGTGGTTTGACCTTCATGGAAATTTGCTTAATTTTGACACACCTTTGTTTAACTTATACTGTCTTTGAGGCTGCCTTATCTGAAACCCCGAAGTGTCTCATGTTTCAAATGTTTAAACAATCAAGTCTCATCTTGCCTTTATTTCAAACTCTAGTTTCCAGACTCGAGTCCAATCAAAAATGAATTATCTACATGGAAGTTTGTGAAGTCCTTTATTTCTGAAACTGTTTTAAATACTTAATATTTTCCAGGTAACTGCTTTACAAAATTATTGTGCATTGTGAATCTTCATTATCTATCTGATAAATATTTTCCTCAGCAAACTTTATTTTCATAGAACACATGATGAATCTTTTATTCAACATTCTCAATTTTGCATCAATTATGTTTCAAGAATTTTTTCCCTGGCTCACTATGAAGGACATTTAAATAAGTCATGGGAAAGTAGGTCATAAGAAAGAGGAGCACTGGGTTCCACCCATTCCAATGATGCAGGTTTTATGCTAATTTTGAATATCTTTATGGTACTTTTACAGGTAATGGGCTAATGGCTTTAGCAAATTGCAGCAATGTCATAGTTAGTTTTTTTGGTCAAAGTAGGTTGCTAAATCACTAAAGAGAAGTCATGAATCTTATATCATAAATGTGTTTTAAATCAACTTGTTTACCTGAAAATAAAATGTGGTCACAGCTTTTCTGATGCTGATGTACCCGAATGGTGTCTAATTCATAATGAAATAAATGAAATCATTGTGGTATGTATGTGGAGTCTAGTTGCCTTATAATAATACATTTACTTTAGTACATGGATTCTCTCCTAATATAATATTATTTCCTTATAAATATCCAAACTTTAATCAAAAGCAGTTTCAAAATTATCGTATATTGTATTTCACCTAAAATATCGTATATGGTATAAGAGCTGTGAAAAATATTGTATATGGTGAAAAAATATTGTATATGGTATAAGAGAGCTGAAAAATATTGTATATGTATTTCCAAGACCCTCTAGACACCCCCCCCCCCCTTTTATCATATTTCAATCATATCTAAAAATATAGGTCAGGTAAGAAAAGTAGGTCAAACTGCAAATGTAGGTCAAATTACATAATCAATATATGTTAGACTGTAGGATAAACTAAAACAGGTTAACTTTTTGCCAAAATTATAAAGCATCCAGCAAAATATTATGTAAACCATGGATACTGTTAACCTTTGGGTCAACGGTACAATTGAATTTTGCTATTCATTTAAAAAAGTACAAATAAACTTTTTTCCAGGCATTTAAAGGCAGAATCTGATCTATAGGGGGTGACAAAATTACAAGCAACATGTATAATTGACCTACAAATCTATTCCTTACAATATCAAACAATATGTTGTAAATTGGTGAAGTTATTAATGATTCAAAGTGCAAAAATGGAAGAAAAATGTTTAAATTCTCCCAAATAATAAGAATGGTAACCATTCTTATAGAAAAATAATACATTATTGTAAAAATCTTTAGTTTTCCTGGAATAAAGTATGCACTTTTGTGATTTTTAGAAAATGGACATGACAAAGAATGACGTGAGCCAAAAATATTCTTAAATTGAAACAATTTTTTGTTTAGCCTGCTCGCTATATCTGATTCTCTCTTTAACATCTGTCTATAGCCATAACCTAATAACAACAAAACTTAATTACTTTCTATTTATTTATTGCATTATTAAATTCAGCATAACAAGTAATGCTGATCTTAGACTCAATACATGTATATATTTTCTCCATTATTTTCTCAACTAAGAGATACACTAATGTTTTTTCAGATTTTCCTCTTCAAAAAATGTGGTAGGCATTTTTTATTAAAATTTTATTGATTCATGCTCATATTATTACTTTTATGTGTATATAATACGTAGATGATCATCATAACTTGTTGTACCAACCTTAGGGAAGGTACACTCACTGGACATTTTAAGCAATTATTCTGAATATATAAACCTTGGCGAATGTTTATTCTTCATATTCTTGTACAACTGCTATACTCGGATATACTTTAATTTGTACAAACGGCAATGCAGTAGCCTGTCACGTTGGTAATTAGTATTTATTAGAATTTGCTTTGTGCTTGTTTGTTTGATTGTTTGTAGATATTGATATTTTTATAATTGCATGAATGTATCTCCTTTTTATAAAGGGCAATAAATATATACATACATACAAAAGTACTTGAACACTTGTATCACATGTAACATTTTATGCTGGTATATATTGGGGTACATGTGCACTCTGCCTGTGCAACACAATAATACTCTCATTGTATCGAAAATAAGATTATATAAAAAATTGCATAAGATGAATAATACCATAAAGATTAAATAGAGATTATAATCCATATTACATATATAATCCCCTTTGCATTTAAACATGTACTTTATCCAATTGATGAGTTCAATTCTATCCAACATGAGAAATAATTTGATCTTAAATGGTTCCTTTAACAGACCACCAATGCCAAAAATGCATCAATTCATGAAATAATGAGACAATGTCTCCAACTATTAAGTTGGTCCAAAATAACACTTTTTGGAAAAGTTATCCTCTCTGCCATGTAAAAGTGTTGCTTTAGGGGTAAAAAGTAAACAGCTTTTAAAGCTTATTGGTGTTGTTTTTTCATCAAACTTTGGCAGCTGTGGGGGGGGGGAGTAAAACTGGATATTTTTTCTCATATATTCACTATTCCTTGGTTATTTCTCAATATTTCTTGAACTTTGTGAAGCAGGGTGGGTACTTATTAGAGATTGGGTGCAAATTACAGAGAATACGGTAGGTAAAAATGCATATGATGTTTATCCCTAAATGAACATCATTTCATCTATGAAGCATAATTATTATTTTGGACAACCTTACAGGCTTACTCTATGATTTAAGCAAAACAAAATGGAGAAAATATTTGTTGATACAGTCATTTTATACCAAAAATGAGTCATTGTCCCAATAACCATATATCTGCATATACCATTTACAAATGACTGTACAAGTTCATTTTTGAAACACTAATCTGAGTCTGGGCTTGCATCAACAAAATCCATCAACATTTCATCTGCTAGGTCACTATCAGCTTTTTTGACTGATGATACATCTTCAACAGTCAATTTATCAACCTCCTCATCTTTATGAATTTGTGATGCACCTTCCTTTACAAATTCACCTTTACTAATATCTGTTTCAGTTATAACTTCAGGATCTTCACCTCTTATTTTATTCTCATTCAAATTCTCAGGTTGATCATCAATAGTGTCATCCTTATCATCATTATACCTGTCAGTATCATCATTATTCTTGTCACTCTTAACATTATTCCCGTCACTATCATCATTATCCATGTCACTTTCTTCATTAACCATGTCACTGTCATCATCACTTTCTTTTTGATCCTCTGTATTAGAGTCATTAGATTCCACAGGGTGGACATCTGATATGTCACTTGGTGGATTGATTTCATTTGAATCATCTTCATTACTTGTTGAAGGCATTTCAACATTCATATTCTCAGCTGCTTTTTCAGCAGGATTTTTACCAAGTGTCAAGTCATGAGAAATAGTCTCTGAATCTTGATTGGTTGTTTTCTGAGATATCCTCAATTCTGTAGGAAGATCAGCCAATGAGAGAGGTGATAACAAAGTAGGAGCTCTGGGATGAATGATGGATGTGCATTGAGTCAGTGCTGTTTGACAGAAAGATGAGACCTAAAATGCAAAAGTCAATGTCACATACATTGTATTACATACAATAAAACAACTTTTAGGTTCAATAGACATTTTGAAATTTCAAAGTGGCAATTTTGATGTTTTAGAGAAATTAATATTAAGTGTTGAATAGCCATTTGCCCTATTAGATACTCTGGGGTTTAACATTGTATCAATAGCACTCTTATATGATAATTTTTGATCTGGTTGATCTCTATGATGTGAGAGAATTTTACTGTTAACAAATTGCAGTGATTTCCCCTTCATTGAAGAAAGTTGGCACTGCACCCATTTTAGACTTGGAAATAGGCTAGTACCAATACCAGCAGCACCAATTTGCACCCACTTGAAAATGAGAAAAACGATTTAACCAAAGTTGGACAAAATGGCAAAAAAACAGATTTTTGCACCCACTTGATGGAAAAATGCATATTACTGTAGAGCAATAATTGCATACACAAATTAGCTGAATTGTAATTATAGGTATTATTTACCAATGTGTTTTTATCTAACAGGCCTTGCTTAAAAATTTGCATTGCACACTGGGTTGGAGGTGGCCATTTTGGACAGGGAACCACAACAGTTGCTAGGAGACAGTCATACACCAGGTGGCGACACTGGGAGTCTGAGTAAGGATGTGGCAGAGCTTGTGGGTTCTGTTGAATCTCCAGGATGAGTGGTATCAAGAATTCCTGTACAGCCTACAAGCACAAATATGCAGTGGTTATAAAATGCTAAGCCTACAATGTACCATCTCAATAAATCACTTTTTATAGATAGATAAATAGATGGTACATGTAGTTGTGTTTTAACTGGTTGGGCTTGATACAGTACCATTTACATTTTACATTGTTACAGTATTTAATTTTTTTTAATTTGAACTTATAGAAAACTCCTTTGGCATATAATTTGAGGATCTTAATGTTCTGTCACTTGTGATTTTTCCTAAAGAGACATTTTATACTACATGTATATGTACAGTGATAGCTGCACCTGTACCTAAAACATCAACCGAATATGAATAAGTTCATAAAAGTATGTGACCTGCATACCAAAATGAATAAGTGAAGTGAACCCAGAGGTGGATAGAGATTAAAAGGGGGAAAGGGGTGAGGTACCTGATTGGGTGGTTTCTGCTTCATGTGACCTTATTGTGATAACATTGGATCCCAAATAACAAAGGGATACAATAAGAGCCAATGTAAAGATAACATTTCTTGTACTACCTGCTCAACTCACTGATAACATTTATAAACTACAAGACAATTAGATACTTTTAAACAACTAAGTTATGACCTCATTGCCATGACCTTCCACTTTACAATATCATCACCTCTCATATTTCAATTTGTCTATGTTTTAAAATGGAGAACAGATTAAAGTATGGATTCACCAACAAATACAGGAAACAAACATGTTCGAGTACTCAATTTTGATTATACAGAAATACCCCTAAGATTTTCAATTTAGTGAATTTAAAGAAAAAGTGTCCGACAATAGTTAAGAATTGTTACATTTTCTAGCAGATCACCCAGGTCCATAAAAGATAACATATGACCCTTGGTTAAAAAGCCAAAAGCCAACTGTTATTTTTGCTTTTGTATCATACTTTCAATGACGTGTCTGATATTGGTGCATTTCTAGAGAGTTCTGAATATACCGGGAGTAAGTCAACAGTGTACCTGTCAATGTATTCCTTCTATCTAAATTCTTTTTTATTTCTGTTTGAAAACATAATTCCATGGACATTTATCAGGGGATGTCATTATGTCAGTTGACCAACTGCTTGCCCTTGGAAAAAGGTTTTATAGAATTCCCTGCAAAGGGAGTATTAAATATGATAACAAGGGAATGTGAATAAGATCATACACATAAACTTCAGTTCTTTCATTGAATATATCATGGAAACAATATCAGACAACTTATTCTCGGAGAAATTAAATTAAACAAGATAATTTTAAAAAGGGTGACAATGGTTTTTGTACAAATTTTGATACAATTATATACTAACATGATGATACATGTATAGATAGCATACCTGCCAATTTATATAAAAATAGACAATTTTTAAAATTAAAAATCAGAAGAAAATTTGGGATCATTTTCAAAAAAAACGGGAATTGAATTGATAGAAATTCTGGGATATCTAAATCTTATGTTAAAACAATTTGAGAGAAAATCTGGATTTCAACAATTTGAAGAACTTAAAGAAAATGAAAGTTGAAAAAGAACTGAAAATGTTGTCCACTTTAACAAATCGTTTTTAAAATCTTCTAAAAAATATGGAGTGTCTTCTGACAAAATTTCATGAAAATTCAAGTGATTTGCTTAAAATTGGGAGTTTCTTTTAAACACATTTTTGTCATATGACTAAAAATCTAGTAAAACATTGGTATATCCCCCTATATGTAATTCTTAAGTTGACAGGTATAAAATTTAAATCTTTGAGAAATACCGCATATACTGTTTGTAAAAAATACAGGAGATTATTCATTATCATTCAAGGACAATAGATGAAGATTAAACTCTAATAAACATGTTATTCTTTATACTCGTGTTCATTTTTTCGACTGTTTTGCCATCTTGCTTTGGACAATATGAGCCATGTACATACAATTCCAAGGATGAAACAGCATGGTGTGATGGGAAGAACCTGACAACGATACCACTAAATCTAACAAGAACCACCAAAGTGCTACATTTGGAGAACAATCTAATGACGAAAATAAACAACGGATCATTTAGTCATTTACCAGTTTTAAAGAACCTTTTCCTGACGAACAATAGCATCAATGACCTCATTCAACCCACATGGAAAGGACTGAGGAACCTTGAAACCCTAGACTTATCAGGAAATAGTTTAAGAAAGTTAGGGACTTACTGGTTTACTCTTCCAATGCAAAATTTGATAATTGATGGAAATAAAGCTTTGAGTGAAATAGAAATGTACACATTCACAACTACTATTCAATCCCTATCTATAAGATTCTGTAACGTCTCAGGATTGACCAAAGAAATGTTTTGGACCACGAGTAGAATTAAAACAGTGGATTTTTCTGGGAACCCTTTACAACAAATAGAAAGTGGAACATTTAAGAAAATAAATGGTCTTGAAAATATCATCATCAATGAGTGTGACCTTACCATAGTGAGAGATGAATTTAAAACAATTAGAACTGTGAGGAAAATCCATTTGGTCAACAATAAAATCACCCACATCAGCGATACAGCATTTGAAGGCAATGTACAGCTGAATGAAGTAAATCTATTTGGGAATGACCTCTCCTCGTTACCAGATGCATTTCTTACAGTGACATCAATTCAGAATATTAACGTGTCTGGGAATTCCATCACAAAGTTTACCCAATCAGATAGCAGAGTTTTCAACAGGTTGACTCGTTTTGATGGGAGCGACAATCCTTTTGAATGTACGCAAGAACTTTTGTACTTCATCAACTTTGCGACATCAGCCAAAGGTGGTAGAGTGGTCCAAAACTGGCCTTATGGGTACAAATGTGCTTCGCCTCTTGAACACAGCGGCAAAAGTCTTATTGAGTATTTTAATTTGACACAAGCTGAGACAAGCACTCAGTATATGACCCTATATGAAACGTCTGAAGCATATACTACACAGCAAAGCAGTCGTCACACAGAACCATCAACTCAAAGAACGGGGAATTCAGTTGCTCAAACTACAGGAAAAATAACAGGTGGGACCAATGCAGTGACATCATCGATGACAACAGAAGACCCTGAAGCTACACCCGAAGCTAGAACTCTTGATCGAAGCACTGGAATAATAGATGGCCGCACAACGGGGAAAGTAACAGTTGAGACTGATACAGTGACATCATCGACGACATCAGACATCCCTGCAACTGTGAGTGTGAGACCCGAAGCTACAACACAAGAGGAAGTTAACCCAACAAAAGGATCTGAAGGTTTGAAGGATAATTATTCTTGTCTGTGCTTGAAAATGCTAAAAATGAAAACCCAATAAAGTATACGAATCATTTTAACCAGTTTGACCAGAATCTTCTCACAATATTGAATGTCCTAATAGTCAAATAATGACATTGACATCTAAAAATGACATTGAGTGCATTCGAGTGGTGGCTTGTTGGTTATATAACGTAATGCAATTACATGAAATACTGTGATCCGATTGGCTAGAATTGGACACACCTTGCCTAGCTGCATGTATATCTGAATACATTATTAACTGTTATGTTTTCAGAAGAGCCTGTGAACACTGCAATGATAGTAGGAATTACTGTTGGAGTCTTGATGCTACTACTTATTGTCATTCTCTTCATAGTTGTCATAATGTAAGTAATATCATCTATAGATGGCAGCTTTGTTGCTCCAATTTGGGGAGACAGACTGTGAAGTCAAATGTCCATTCGTTATTTATTTATAACAATGTAGAGAACAGTGGGTTACTTTTGTTTACTGCCTTAGATTATCAGATCATGGTTTCGGTATATAGGCTTGTAAATGTCAGACTACAGTGCTGTATTGAAACACCTGGTCAAAGGACAGCCCATATCGCTCAAAGGAAATCATTGGTGAACGGTTACACTATATTAGAATATTATAACTTAATCTTGAATAATGTAATGTTTTAATGTTTTTGCAGAAAGAAGAAAAAAGAAAAGATTGGGTCATCAAACAATAATGCAACAGCAAATGTTAAGGAAGACGAACAGATGGAACTACAAAAAGTCACTCCCAGAAATGATCATAATAAAAAACCAGAAGGGGCACTCTTTAAAAATAACAGCCAGATCAAATCTCAAGAAGTAACTCCAAGAGCTGAGGTAATTGAAGAGTATAAAGACAACGAAGATGATGTTGACCTCTCTAGCGAGGCTTTACCAACACATGAAACACATGAGGAAAATGTCAACCCAATGAGGATGGTCAGCCCTATGAGACACAGCAATGAACTGAACATTCCTAATTAAGTTACCCCTGCAAGGAGGGCTAATGCATATAGATGGTGAAAAGAAACTACCGAAGAGACACAAGAGGAATAAGAAAAAACTAAAGGGAACTCAAGAACTGGACTGAATGTTGATGAAGTTGAGGAAAATGATGAATTTAAACTGAAAACGTTTCATTGAAATGGTATTTCAGCCATGATTAAGAGCGAGTGGGTGATTCCATAGGCTTGTAACATCAGCCAAAAATGAAATATCATTCATATAAAAATAAATATGCCTTAGTTTACAAGCCAATGTGACATGAGCAGCTAAGATTGAGGATAACATTAAAGTCCCCGTCTAAAGTTTGAAAATATTTTTTTATCATTCATTTACTATTTGTCATGACTTAAAAAGTTATTCTAGAGATTTTTAAAAGAAAATTATTTTTTGAAAAAAAAGTTGTGAGCATTTCATTTCTCAAATATTCAAATTTCCTGCCATTTTTCAAAAAAGTTGAAATTTTTTAATCATCAAATATTTCTTAATGCACTTCAAAAAAGATTATCTTTTTAACACCAATGCAAAGATTGATCAAAGGACACACTATTTCAATAATAAAATGCCATATTTAATGGGCCACTTCAATGTTTTAGCATATCAAAAATATTTTGAAACATTAGTGATGTAACAAAGGTAACAAAAACTTTTTGAAAAAAATAGAATTTTTTTTTTCGATGTCAATCTTTTCTGAATATGCTAGACTTCAATAATATACCAATGTTGATTGTCTAACCAGGTTAAAAGGAAGAATATATTATGATTTAGATATCATTGTACCATTGGTTTCTATGAGAACTAGAATTTTTAAATGCATTTTTCTCAGAACCATTTTCATGCACTGATAAGTTCATTTCTCGCTTATTTATGAACCGATTTTCTTCCTTTTTTCGGCAAAAAACATGCGAGGATAAATGCTATGCATTGGTATGAGTTTTGGCTAATTAAAAGATATGTGTGACCTCTAAAAGTTAGCTTTAAATAAATTCACAAATTTTTGAACAAAAAGTCTCTCAAAAACCACTTTTTGAAATTTAAAAAAAAAGTTTCACATATCACATTTTGATAACATTGGGTAAGACTACAATATAAGCCAAAGTGGTTTAAACTTTAGATGGGGACTTTAAAGGATCATTACATTGTAAATCATACAACGCTAGTAAGTTGTACACAACACATTATTTTTAAAACAAAATTGTATAACAAAGTCAGATTAAAATGGAAGGAGACAGGCATGTATAGCTAATTTGAATTAATCTATGAGTTTTTAAACTACACACTTAAATTAAAACTTACTTTTTGTGTGGCTGGTTTCAGTTCATGTCCAACTGTAGTCAACAGCCACTTTAATGCTGAAACATATAAAACTTTTAAATCAGCAGTCAGCACATAGAATCAAAATCAGGTAGAGATACAATTATTACGGTTCTTTTGATTGAAATTGAGAACCAGCCTTTATCTATATGAATCATATATCATAATATAAATGTTTCAATTACACTGTATATTCAATTTTACTTTTCATTCCTTGAAAAAATTCAAAATCAATTTACAATTCATACCTGCCAGAGAATCACTGCACAACTTGGAGGATCCTTTGGAGATTCCCATTAGCTTTGAGGGATTTCCTTGGGCCATCCCTGATGAACCTTTTCCCTTTCTCCTCTGTTTTTTATTGAGGGGCTCTGAATAATCTGTTTCTGTTGTTTCATTCAGCTGAAAAGGAGTTTAGAATTAAAACTACCGAGATGATTGTACTAATATCACCTTATGCGTGTGCATGATGCATGTACTCTTTGATACTACAGGTCAATTGAGCATTTCTGTGTAATAAGGTGCCTTTGATACAGCTCTCAAAAATAAAATTCTTTAAAATCAAAACATAGTAAAACCTGTCTCATCTAAATGCCACTGGGACTGGTCTAAAATGTTTGTATTGGCAGATGTTCACATTCCAATTTTTTATGATGGTAGCCTACATGTATGTCAAATAAAATGAATGTGACTGGAAAAAGTGTTCATATCGTGAGATGTTCAGATTAGAGAGATGTTCAGATATGCTGGTTTTACGGGCTTGTTTTTCACTTCCTGGGCACATTATCCTATGAAAACATTACATATGAAAATAGAAATCTGCTTGAAATGCACCTTACCTTCAAAATGTCTTTAGGTATTCTAGCATCACTGATGACATTTTCTACAATTGACTCAGCAATTTTCTGACTATTACTGGATGCCCTTAGTGTCTTCTCCCACATTGACAGTGTCTGGTAGATCTGACTGCGCAATGAGCTGGAGGTATATAATTAAGTTTTATTTCCCTTATACAGGGTACCACAAAATGCAAGACTGAATATTTTCATAATGTTGTATCCTTACACAAATTTTTGTCTCAACCTGTGCATTAATATTTTATCAAAACTAAAAAGTGACATTTTTCTCATATTACAGGACTAGAATGCCCATATTTGCACTCAGTGACATGTAAAAATGACAAATGTTGATTAAATTTGGCCAAATTGAGTAAATGAAAATTTTGAATTCACTCAAGGGAAAATTGGAGGTTTAGGGAGTACAATAGGGTCATCAATGCTGGGCTTTAGAGCTCCAGAGTGCAACATACCTATATAGTCTAGTTTGCTGGTCCCCAGTTTTAGTCCACGCCAGAGACTGCTTCAATAGCTGGTTCACTGTGTATGTATGTGGCACCAAGTGACCTTCTATACTGTAACATTAAGTAAGGGATGTATATTAAGAACAATCAGTCCTTGATATTATAATTATGTAATCAGTTAGTTCCACTTTACAGGTTTTACTGTTTTGACAAAAGTATAATAAATGCTGACTGCCAATGCTGGTCACAATAAACGTTATAACAATTTTTTAAGTGATTTAAGTATTTTTTTTATTGGTGATATCAGAAGAAAAAATATATTGGGGTTTGCAGCATGGAGATTTTTATTTTCATGGATGATATTTTCATATTCAAAATTTTTGCCTTCATATATCATTATTTCTTATCTCCGGACCCTTGTAAGCCACATTTTCCTTATATCCCAATACTGACATTCCATATTTTGTACCCCTTATATTAAACACTTTGCTGCCACCCTTTTTCCCAAATGTACCCAAGAATACTTGTAATGACTTACGTGGGAATGAGTTGTTCAAGCAATTTCAATGCTTCCTGATGTACATTGGGTAATACAGTTACCAGGGTAACTCTCTCACTACTAGGCCTGGACAGCTGCAATTAATTACAACATTGTGATAAACAACTGACTTTATCAATTTTAGCTCTAGACAATTAAATAATGTCGTATTAAAGTTATTTAACACTACTAATTTTTATACACCAGTCCCAGGTCAAAATCTGCAAAATGTAACTTGTTTAGAACTGTGGGAGTAGATAGATATCAAAATTAAACACTGAATTTATATTGAAATAATTTAATTTAATATCTTTGATATAATACCAGGTTCATAATAATTTAATTAAAAGATCTGATTGCATATTTTAATTACCAGAAATGTCCCAGTTATCGCCAGAGTCCTACAGACTATGCCCAGGAGCTCTTCAAGAGGGAGGTTTACAAGTGACGGATAATCAGTTCTGAAAAAAAGGGTATGCAGGGGTTTCATTAGCAGAAGACAACAGGCGATTTTCATTGGTTGTTCTCACAAAATCGCCTGTTATTTTTAGGAATTTTTCAACTTTTCCATGTTAAATTTATGATTTCCATTAATTTTGCCTGTTGTTTTCATTTATTTAGCCTGTTGTGAGAAATTCTAGTTAAACCCCTGGTATGATACAGACCATTGTGACTTGCTGCAAATAAAAATATATCTTAAACATTCTAAACAACATTTTAGTTTTTTTAAATTTTTAGAAATAACTCAAGTCAACAGAATCATAGTAGGGCTGTTCCATCTGAAATGCACAATTTGTTCTAACTAAAAAAATATATTTACCTTAGCAACTGGGCAATGCACTTAGCAACGATGCCAAACTGATCAGAAAGCTGGTGAACTTTCTCGACGTGATCTGTCTTCAGTGGGAGAAGGTTGAGACGATCTTTAGGCACAAAGTAAGTAAAATCGCCTGGAAATAATTGGAAAAGATCATCAGCCTCAAAATGATATCATCTATATTTTGTGAATTTTATTCATACATGTACATACTCATTTAAGGTTACAATTGCAGTGAAGCCTGACCAATCTGAACACCACTTGCACCACCCAAGTGTTAGCTGTTCGCATTTCAATGTTTCTCAATATGCGAGTCAGTGGGAGATAACAAATAGGACCAAGAAAAAGTGTTCACATTGAGATGTCAGTGATCTCCAAAGGATTTTTTCTCAAGTGGGGGCAAAATTCTCATTTTTACAATTCAGACCAAAATTGGTCAAAGTATGCCCATTTTTCATGATTTTTCTCATTTTCAAGTGGGTGCAAATGGATTTTCAGGTGGGTGCAAGCCTGTTTTCAAAATCTCAGTTGGGTGCTACGCCTACTTGCTTTAATGCTGGGGAGATCATTGGATGTGTTCTGATAAGAAAGGTGTTGGGAAATACAGGTTTTGCTGTATTTAGAGTAAAACTCTGCTATACAGTCAAAAGTTATTCATTCATGCACAAATTTTGAGAAAATAATTCAAGGAGAGAAACCCTTGACAAATCTCTAGAGATTTACATCCCCTTCCCCCGAAAGTTTTTTTTTATTTCAAGTTACATTTACTTACCTGATTCTAGACCGTCATACAGGTTATCAAGTATGTCATTCATGGTTCCAAGTAACTTGTCTAAGTGCTTGGCCCAGGACTCTGTATGTTTAATTCCCTGGTTACCTCCTCCACCACACATTGGAACTACGCTATAGCACAAGATGGCGGCCTAAAACGTATTGAAACATAAGTTGGCAAATATTGTCATAATTTAGAGATTGTGGGTTCACCAACTGACCCGATACATTGGTTGGTGATTAATCGGGACACCCATTCAAAAGAAAACTGCCCCCAACATAGCACTTGAGGGTGCAATGAAAATTATATAAATATGGTGCTTAACAGATAATAATTTAAGATTCTAGTGATATTTGTCCTCTTTTTAAACACCTGTTTAACATGCCCATTAAACTAGTTAACCCATTATTCTGCTTATAAAATGAATTCACCCATATTCATATTGCAGGAACTGCAGATTTAAAAAAGGGCTGCTAGTTAAAATTCTGTATTCCAATGAGACTCATAATGTTACTATTGATTCAGAAGTGATATTTACCTTAGACACAGCTGCATCAGAATGCTCCAAATGTGAGACAGCAAATGTCTCTATTTTGCTTTTGAAAGGCCCACATGCACCATGATAGAATTGAATGCAAGCTCGTGTACACAACAAGGCCCCTTCTAACCACTGTAAAAATATGTATTAAAAAGCTTAAAAATTATTCAGAAAAGATGAGATACATGTAGGATTTTAGTTTTCAAATGTTGCATTTTTAGATTTTTTTTAAATCCTGGCATCTCATAACAACGACATTACAAAATTGCCTTGAACCTTTTTAGTTTAGGGAAAATACTTATACTTCAGTGTTCATTTTATTTGATAATTTAGTAACAATGGATTTTGACATGATTATAGTTCAGAATGTTCTAGTTATGTTCCCACTATGGCCACTTACATGAGGCTTTGCCGCCAATAGAGTATTAAGCAAAGATGGTAGATGTGTGGTAGAAATCTGCCTTGCAAGCTCTGGGTGGTTAATCGTGTGCTTTAGAAGATGACGCATCGCAACACAAGCTGCCTTGTGTGTCGGAGCTGGATCATATGACTGTATATAAGAAAGACAAACTTACAATATTAGTGTATATAATGATTCTGGTTGAATTTTAATGTGGAATGTTAAAGCCCGTATAATGTTGTACATTTTGTGATGAAAACTGAAATAAATTATTTTGAAATTGAAATTGAATTGAAAAATATGATTAATTTTTTAATAGGTGTATATTAAGAGCAGCTTAAACACAAATTAATATTTTGCTGGAAAACTCCATTTGACATACCTGCAAAGCTTGAGTAAGAAGTGCCATCCAGGTGAGACCATAGTCTGTTATCACCTGAGCAGAACAATCCTGCAGTATGTGATACAGTATTCCCAAACCTTGAACCCTGCAACAAACATAATAGGTGGTTCAAAAAGTTTTGCAGTTGATGCCATAACTTCAAGGAAAATAGGACTTTTACAATGAAACTTGGTACACGTATGTGTTATACATTTATACATTATATTTTAAAATTTGGGACCTCAATTTTGATTGGTTCTTAAGATATGGTTGCTATGGTAACCAGAGTGGTGGGTACCATGTTCAACCCGAAATTATGTTTTTCCAAATAGTTTTCTTGCTTGAATAAACTCTTTGTAAAGTGGCAATTAGCAGGTGTTAGTGTCTTTGGGAAAAGATAAAAGTTCTTATAGAGCAGGGCAGACATATTTCATTAGAGGAAATAAGTGATTTACTGGATATATCTAAGGGGTCCTGCCATAAAATTGTCACAAAGATCTTGAAAAAGCGGTATGTTGCAGCAAAGTGGGTTCCAAAGTTCCTCACAGTGGAGTAAAAGGAAGCGCGTCTTGCAGCATCTAGGCAATTTCTGGATACGTTTTGGCATCATTTCCAAATTCTCCTTGAACCAGTTCATAAGTCTCTTGCAAAGTCTTGCCATTTTGAACCATGCACTGTATCAGATTTCTATGCTTCCATTTCATCAATTTGGTTGGTGTGGAAACATCTGCCATTTTGAAAATTTTGGAAAAAAAATTCAAAATTTCCTCACTTTTCCATCTCAATTTTTCAACTGGGTTTTGGACAGTATACATCACAAAGGAACTTATCGTGTCACTTGTCTATTGTGATGTCAAAGAGACAATTAGAAAAATTGAGGAATTTGAAGAAAAATAGCCACCCAAAGACACTTACACCTGCTAATTGCCACTTTACAAAGAGTTTATTCAAGTAAGAAAACTATTTGGAAAAACGTAATCCTATTTTCCTTGAAGTTATGGCATCAACTGCAAAACTTTTTGAACCACCTAAGTACTATACATGTTCCACAATCCCCACAAGGCCTGGAACTACCAGATTTTAAAGAATAACTACCTGTAATTTCCACCATTAGCGATTTGTTATACCTGTCTTGGAAAATCTCATGATTTGAACAACTTACCTCTGATTGTCTTATCCTTATCAAATTACATTTTCTATTTGATTCATTCAAAAGAGTTCCATAACAGTTCAGGAACGATGTTCAATTTGTAAACCAATGATATATTTTACCTTAAGTTGATGGAAAATTAATTACCATAATCTCTCTAATGAATGCAGAGTGCACTCCCCAAATTCAAATTTAAAAGGATAAGATATTGAGAGATTCTAATAAGCGCACTTATACAAAATTTAGAAAAAAAATATTGCAGATAATCTTTTTAGTTGTTACCACTAAGGTTAACATACTTTACAGCTCCCTGTATTTCTTTCTCTGCATTAATCATAATCATCAATCATATCTTCTTGGGTAAATAATCTAGTCTAATGCATTAAGCTTTGTGTTTTCTAGAGACCATATTCATCATAAAAGTTGCATGCTCATTGGAACTGTGCACTCATAAATGAAAATACCTGAATATATATTTATATGTTAGTCTTGAAGAAGTAACCAAACTTAAATATATTTTGACACTGGTCTATGATCGTTGAATAGCCCCTCTGCACTCATTGTTGCACCTTTAATTGTAAAAGTTGCATGCATGCTCATTGGAACTGTGCACTCATAAATGAGTATACCTGAATATATATTTACCTAAACTGTGATGAGTTAAGCCAGGTATTGACGTGACTGACCAGCTCTCGCATACTGCTATTGCTCTAGAATAAACAAATGAACATTAATTCATTTAGGATCATATAACCAATCAGCAATCAGGGTTAATTATTTCATATAAATTGTACTTACTAGGTTACGCAACAGGAAATCTTCCAATCATTTCTTCAAGTTCAAGCAGTTGGCAATAGAGGTCAGACAGTTTCAAAACTTTTGGTTTGGTACCGTTTGGTTTTTGAATCCTTCAGTTTTGGTTTTCAGTCCAGTTGATTCTTGATTGGTTCTTATTGCTCTACTGGATCTAGGCTATACGCCTATTGATATTCTGCTATGAATATATGTCATAAAACAAAACAAGCCTTTATGACTACCATGTATTAAAACTTATGTTATACATGTAGGCTTGATATTTCAAAAAGTTCATGCTAAACACTGAACAGCTAAAATAATACATGTATCAGCTGACACTTGGACACTAATATCTTTCTCATCTGTGGGCTTTCCGTTGAATTGAAAGCCTTTGCCACAGAAGACACTTTCTCGATCTATTGTTACTTCAGAAAATGTGTCTTTACCAACAAACATTCCGGCAATTTACGTTATGTAAAAGCCAAACCAAACCAACTTTTTTATACATGGGTCTATGGCTAAAGGTAATGAACCTGCATGGACCCCAGCATGGACATGGGCTCTTACACTACAGTTATACAATTAGACTAATGTCTGGTTACTATAGTTGCACATAGCCAGGAGATCCTAACTAAGTAAATGTCTGGATGTTACTCACGTCGAGAGCTACCATGTTAGATTTTGAAAGTATAGCTCTCCATCGTGAGGATCTCCCAGCTGAAGAATTGTGACATCTAATTTTGATCAGCGCCAGTCAACGGCTTGCTGTTTGTCTCAAACTGTAGCCTACATTATGGGCTCATATGTGTCTACTTTCCCCGTTTTGCAGGATCGCGGATGTGCTTCTATGGCGATCAGGAGTTCTAATCGTTTATTGTTCGATACCCATTTCCAATATGGCGGTTAAACGGAAATACTATCGACGCATGCGCAACTTGGGAAACGTCAAGCCGCCATATTGAATATACCTGGCCAAAACTTTTGACACGACCAATAAAATGAAGTCCTGATCGATACATAGGGCAGTGAGATGTTCTATAGTTGAGCTGAATGAAAGATGGCGATGTAGGAACATTTTCAGGTATATAATGTGCAACATGAGTCAGCTGAATTCCCTGAAATTTTCTTTGAAGTCAGGATTCTTAAGCTGTTGATTCTAGCGATAGAGAGCTATACTTTCAAAATCTAAGTAGCTCTCGACGGGAGTAATCTGGATGCACTTTGAATTGATGAAATTTCATTACCAGATTTCATGGAAGAAGTAGAAGGGCGTTGCACCGTTCAAATATATATTTATTGTAGATTTTAAAAGATATAACACTGGTTGAGGCAAATACTATATCCTATAAACTTAGTTCTGAAAATTTTGAAAATTCTTGGCTGAAATTTTCACTCGACTCAGTAAAATTTTTTAATTTACTAGGAAGATTCGGTCTGGTGGATACATACACTAAACTGAATCCTCACACATTGACTTACCGCATCTTGGAATATAGAGAATTCCCTGGAACACGAAATCAGGTTCACTAATTCCAAGGGGTTACCATTATTCTCTGAAATATTATTCAGAATTTGATCGACCACACTTTTCATGGGCGCTGACATCTTGGATTTTACACTGATTTCATTGGTCCATTCCCATTAAGAACAGGTTTTGGAAAATAATTCGATATAGCGAGATTTAGAAACACATTCTAATTATTTGTACCGTTTTCAATTGGATATTTCTAAATTATTTACAACAAATCATTTGTAAAATATTTATAAATGAATGAACAGAAATTAAAATGTTGTTCAAAATTAATTCTTATTTATCTTATACCTAAAATGAAAGTAAATAAACAGACTGTGTAATCACAATATTTTGTTCCAAAATACCAAAACGTGTTTCGCGCTAAAAGAGTATTTTCTCCTTTTATACTGACTTATAATCTACAAATTATCGGTAGAAACTTTGTCCAAAAGTAACAGTTAGGTCTGGTAAGAAGTTTTTTATAATTACAATGTTTTCTACCTAATCAGAATTTTTTGAAACATGGGAATGATGCGGTTCCCATTTTCTTCAGCAGTTTCAGGTTCATAGATCTAGGCTAGATCTATAACTTTCAAATTTAATTTTTTTTTCATTAAACTGAAAAAATAAGCAATATAAAATGAATGAATACATTCATATTTTACATGAAAAACATTTGGCTAGAGTCAATACGTCCAAATCCAAACAGGGGGGTAAACACGGGTTCCAAATAGTGGCAAGCAGATCATTGAATTGAATAATAGTACCTCTACTACCTCTACATAATATTTATAGCCTGAAAGATACAATATAATGATGTATACCAACAATCTTACAATAAAATAATCAATTATGATGATTTAGGTGTTCGGAATTACCCCCATGCTAGTGTTTGGAATTACCCCCACAAACTCTGTGCGTTTAAATAAATAGATGTCAGTAATAAATGATTTAAATTTGGGTTTCTTGATGAGCAGGGGTGACAGGATCAAGTATCATAAGTTAAGGGTATCATATAATGATATACTGTAGATTGGGTTAATTTGGCGCTACTTAATTTGGCGATTTTGCCATTTTTGGCATATTGGCGGCTATTTAATTTGGCGGATATGCAAGAAAATTAACTTACGCACTGTTTGCGAATTACCATGTAAATGGATAAGTTTGGCTATGTCCATTTTTCTTTTGAGGACCACTGGCGATCATCCTTTACATTTTGCACCTCGATCGATGCTGCTACTATACCACGCTTTTCCTTTCTAGTTTTTCCCTGAATATTAATGAGTGGCTGACCAGTTCTGAGCCAATTTATGAGAGACATTTTTCATATTTTTGAAAGAAACTAAACCGGAAGTGACCTAAATACACTGGAGGAAATACTCTAGATAATTCCCGGGGATTCATTTTAAATTTTGGCGAAGATTTATATTGGCGAATTTTTCAATTTCGCCAAATTCGCCAAATTAAAGCGGGCGCCAAATTAACCCAATCTACAGTACCATCAATCTAATAATTAAAACAATTAAGTTTAAGTTAAGTGTTTGGAATTACCCCCATGCAAGTGTTCGGATTTACCCCCCAAAAAAACTCCTGTTCGGAATTACCCCCCTAAAATACCTTGTAGTAAAAATGGAATAACCCAGATATTTTTTACAATTTTTCGTAATTTTTTCTGCAAATGCATTCTACAGTGGATAATACACATAATATGTATAGAATCATAGCATAGATGTGCAGTACAGCCAAACTAACTACATTTTTTGATGGGGGTGTTTGGAAATAGACGTACTGACTCTAGTCTAAGCCATAAAATGTGTGATGTCTTACTTTGATGCTTCACTGTCGTGTTATCTTTGAAAATGTTAACATGGCCAAACTCCAAGGCAACTGTTTTAGTGTACATTATTATACATTCCACTTATTTGTCTGGAACATACAAACGTTTCATGTGTAAAATATTAATGTATTTTCATTAAGGTACATCTGGAAAGTAACATTTTGGTAAAAAATTGCTATACCTGCACATGTTATTTTCTGGTACAAAATAAAGTATGAAGGCATGTGTCAATTTCCTTGCTTTTTTCAGGAAAGTATCATTACATTGTCTTCTTTTAGAATATCTGGTAGGCGTTTAATGGGAACTACAGGAAATTCTGATATTTCACACTTTCTATTTTTCCATATTTTCTTTCAAAGTTTCCAGACAACACAGAAGCTACCATTTACCTGTTCATAGATATTCTAAAAGAAGACAGTGTAATGATACTTTCCTGAAAAAAGCAAGGCAATACACACATGCCTTCATACTTAATTTTGTACCAGAAAATAACATGGGCAGGTATAGCAAATTTTTACCAAAATGTTACTTTCCAGCTGAACCTTAATGTAACATTGCATTTTGGTCTTTTAAGACAAAGCAAAGTGAATTGACTACTAAATAGATAAGCCTAGGCTATTGATTAAAATGACTGTTGACAAGAAGTATAGGTCTACTCCTGGGGGCCTACTAGCCACACTAAAAATTGGTGGCAATTTTTTTTTCTGAAGATCACAGGCCAATCCAATGTACACACAGTGTATTATCCATGTATTCTGCACTTCTTATTTTTATTTTTATGTCACCACCAAAAAGTGATGACATATGTTATGGTCTCCATTTTTGTGACAGTGGTTGGTGGATGGTGCTGTAACAAATTCTTACAATTTCCAAATTTTTTTTCAACTTGCTTCAAATTGACCAAATTTTTTTTCAATTATCTACAAGTTCTCAGAAGCTCAAATCTGACTTTAAATTTGAGGCTTGACCTTCAATGACCTTCTCAAGGTCAAAAATAAGGTCAAATAAGGTCTCTTTTCAGCTTGCTTTAAATTGACCAAATTATTTTTCAAAATCATCTACAAGTTCTCAGAAATTCAAATCTGACTTCAGATTTCAGATTTGAGCAACTTGGTGGTGACATTTTGCCATGCCTTTTAAGAGTATTCTCTCAATCATGATTAGATTTATCCACTCACAATTTGACTTTAGATCACCGCAGAAATGGAAGAACTCTTAAATATAGAGGGAGTGACAGTAAACTCTGTAAGGCTCATACACAAGTATGCTAAGGAATTTTACGAGGCCGCTCCCTGGATGAAATACACATTTGTCCATGGCATCAAGATGAAGGCATTTGGTGAGACAAGGTTCATCATGCCTTTAGGAGCAGGGAGAGGAATAGGTCAGTATTAGCCTTGTTTCAATCCATTATTAACTCACCACCCCCCCCCCCATGTACTCTCAAGCATGGAGGTAAGTGTATGCAGCTACCACACCAATGTTCCCATTGAAAAGGTTTGACAAATTTTGACCAAATTTTGGTCAGAATTTAGTTAATTAGAATTGTACCCTCAGTGATCTCCCAAGTATTACAAAGAAAGAGGGCGTAGCAACCACCTGAGATTTTGAAAATAGGCTTGCACCCACCTGAAAATCTATATGCACCCACTTGAAAATCAGAGAAATCATGAAAATGGCATATTTTGACCAATTTTGGTCTAAATTGTGAAAATGAGAATTTTGCACCAAGCTGAGAAAAAACCCTGGGGAGATCACTGACCCTAGTTGGAAAAAACCAGGAGAGAAGCCATTATTGTCACAACTCCATGTCTAAATACACAATGGTACAAATGCACAATTACAATAGTAGAAATTGATTTCATTTGTTCCATCTGTCTTCTCAGTTTATATATGAATTATTAACATGCTGCTGTAACATTTTGTGACATTATTCTGATTACACATTGCCCTAAACTGATCAATGTATGCAATATTTCATGGTTCAATGCACCATGCGCTGTTTCAATATAGACAAAGAGTATTTTCTTTTTCTTTCCAGGTTCACAGCTTGTTGGACTCATTATGTGGGAGCGCTTTGAAGACTTGAAAAATACACTTGATCCCTGCATTGGCGCTGACACCATTGTTAAAAAGAAGCCCGTCTTACTAGAATTTGTCAACCAAAATGACGCTGATTATCATACAGTTTTATTCGTACGCAGACACTCGATGTCTTTTAATTGTAATGGTTTACCAGAGTTGAAAACCACCTCCAAAAAACTTAACATTGCAGACTTTAAACTCTTAGAAGCAGCATTGGCAAGTCTTCCTGTGTTTTATAATGAGAAGCTTATTGAGAAGAATGCTTATTCCTGTGAAATGGCCACTGATGTAAGTGAGGTACGAAGTGGGGCTTCACATGGTAAAAAGGTTATGGTTGAGTTGTCTTATCCAGCCGGGGATATGGAGTATGATTCTTTTGGATTGTGTGTTCCAGAAGCATTAGAAACATACTTAGACCCTCCTAACTCTGTTGTTTCTGTACGAGATGGTGTCAGACATTATGCAAAACTCCTCGGGCCAATATCTCTACCAGCTAGAATTACACTAGAGGGGTTATCCACTAAAGAACTAAAAGAGACGCTGACGCAACATCGCATTAATATCAGAGGATGTCTCTCGCGAGATGAACTCCTAGAGGCAGGCATACACCAGCGACTTTACGAATCAAAGCGTAAAAAACAGTTAACTAGAGTAGAATTAGAACAGATGTATGCACTATGTCATTGTTACTGGTTGTGCATGTCTGTACCTACGTCTCTAAAAGCAATTGAATTAGGGTATCTGGCGATAAGTAAATATCACTCTGATCCTGTTGGAATACGCTTCTTGATGCTGAATGTGTGTATGGAAATATGTGAGTATTTTTATTTTTTGTCATCACAGAAAAACTTGTGTCTGAAAACCTCTCTAATTCAAACTCCTCTAAATGTGAACATTTTTTCTCAGTCCCACTTTTGCTATTTTCCCAAAACCTTGAAATATGAACACGTGTTAATCTGAACACCTTTGGCCAGTCCCAATGGCATTCAGAGGTTTTACTTGTATTCGATTTGATTTTACTTGTATTCGATTTCATTTGATTTTACTTGTATTCGATTTTTTATTGAAGAAGTCAGCTAATTTGCATGTGATAAAAACAATAATGAAGAAATGTGTATTTATTCTCATATCGGTTCATCTGGATAGATTGCGATCAGAATTATTTGAATTTGATTCAAGGGAGTGGGTTGAAGATTCTACTTTTATGTTTGATTAGATTACTTTTATCATTTAGATTACTATTATTATTAAGATCACTATTATCATTTATTAGATCACTATTATCATTTAGATCACTATTATTATTTATAATGCACTATGTGTAAAAAAACCTAAATTTTCCGAACCAGCTGCATTATGGATACTTGCTGGTAGATGTAAACTACTAAAAAATGATCAACATTGATTCTAAGTAATATGCATTTTATTCCTGAAATATTAAGTATTGAATTGTTTCAGTTTAAGAAGCAGTTCATTATTCAGCTTTTGATTTTTAGTTACAGAATGCTGTGTATGTGTCCTGCAGTATTCCAAAGATGCCTCATGATCAACTAACGTATTATGTCACCACCACAAGAGAGATATTGTTATAGTCTCCAACTTATTCGAGGATGGTGTTTGGGGTTAGCATTAGTAACAAATGGCATTTGGTATCCCTAACAAAATGAAGGTGGTGACATTTTGCATTTTAATTAATTTCTTTGTTCATTTTACAATCTGTGATATATTGTTAGGGGCATATGATGAGGCCATAAAATTGATGGATCTCTACAGTGATGAATGGGGCACTATGATGTTCTGGACAAATGCCCTTATCAGCTACATTAAAAAAGGCAGTGAATCTAAGACAGCATTTAAGGCACTGAAACAGGCTGCCATGCAGAATCCTCATGTCATGCCCTACCTCACTGGTGAGTATCACTGTTCTACAGCTGGATGACTCTTACTGCAGTAAGCTTCATTCAAGATGGTTGCCAATGATCTACTTCATCATCAACTTCAGTTAGGGTCATTCTAAGTGAAGCCATTTTCTTTAAAATTCTCCAATATTGCGGTTTTTGAGCATTTATTTGTGGTTATTTACCATCGTAGCTTTATTAATTTGCATGGTGAACCATTTGGAATCCAGATTCAACTTAGTTTAGGCAACCATCTTGAATGAAGCTAACTGCAGTTAGAGTCATCCAGCTGTGGAACAGTGAGTATACTGGCATTTTATTTGTGCTTTTGTATCATAGTCAGGTCCATATCCAGTGGGGGTTCAATGGATTCAAACAACCCCCCCCCCTGGCCAAAAATTCTTTCAAAATCATACAGTTTTTCACCATTTCAAGCACTTTTTAAGTGACTCCCGGAATTTTCAAAAAGTGAGCCCCCCTTGGCAAATCCTGGCTACGGGCCTGATAGTCATAGAGATTCTCTTGTACCTAAGTAAGATACGTGTAATTGGCTCTGCCCTAAAATGCCAGCTAAATCAGGTGCATGCATGAATAAAATCTAATACTTAAGCAAGTTGCCCCTTTAAAGAAGCATACCACTTTTTGTTAATGTATGCTTAGCATTAAAGGAAGTGGGAGCAGCACCCACCTGAGATTTTGAAAACAGGCTTGCACCCACCTGAAAATCCATTTGAATCCACTTGAAAATGAGAAAAATCATGAAAAATTTGCATGTGTTGACCAATTTTGGTCTAAATTGTGAAAATGAGAATTTTGCACCCACTTGACAAAAATCCTGTAAGAGAACAATACATGATGCATGCTCATAAAGATTTTCTGTCACATATTTTAAATTTTGTTATATATCTCAGAGATCTCTAAATAGTAAAATATGATTCGTTGAAGGACTAGAATATCTCTTCAAGGAGATTTAACTGGAATAACTTTTTAATGAAAAAAAGTATTTTCATAGTACATGTATTAATTTAAAATTATGATTCTCAATGTCTGACTGTCATTGTGATTGTAGGGAGAAAAATAATCCCTGAGGATAAAGATAAGCCAAAATATGGTGACGCTGAAAATGAAGCATTTACATATCTCAGAACCAATGCACGACACTGGCGTCCTGTTAAAGGTGCGATACAATGGGTTCGTAACAACTACAATGTTTTATCTAAAATACTGAAAGAACATCGGAATGAAGGAGGAGAAAAACCCTCGTCTGTGACTCATTTAAGCTGTAAAACATGCAATAAGATTAAACCAAAACTGAAAAAGTGTGCTGGTTGCGAAAAGGTGTCATACTGCAGTAAGGACTGCCAAAGAGATGATTGGAAGTCACATAAAGAATTGTGCAAAAAGTAGCGGCTATCATAAGACACTTACAGCACTTAGGATATTTGTTACTAAAGAATGCGCCAAATATATGAGGAAAGTGATTAAAGATTTATATGTAAAGTAGGAAACAGAGTTCAGCTACCTGTATTTCCTAACTGTGACCATTTATTTGATGTTGTGCAGTTGTACAAATGTCAAGGTTAAGTGCAAGTTTGATTGTGGGACACTCAATGGCATTAATTTCCTTTTATCTCTAGAATCCCAAAAGTAATACAATCTTTATGTCAAAACCAAGATGGAATGACATATTGTGGTATATATTGTAGCCACCATTTTTCATGATCTGTTTTTATTAGTTTTGTGTTGGTGGTTGGCTTTTCTAACAATCTGCTTCATGTTTAGAACCATATATAAATAATGACAAATCATGCAAAATGTTAATACAAGAGACTGGCTCCTTTTTTTAGTTATACTCATATTGTATAATGTTTTTAGTAGATTTATAATTTTATAGTTTTAGTTTTTATTATCAATGAGGACTCAGGATAGGATAAAATAAGGTAAAAAGTCATAAGGAAAAAGATCCTAATTAAAAATGGCTGCATTGCTTTTAAACAAGACATTTCTAGCTGTTTTAATACATGTAATTATTAAACTTTATTTTGCAAACATGAGAAATACAGTCTTAATATGTTATTTAAGTAGTATGTCCCTTTAATTTTTGGTTTAGTTCAGCAAGTGCCACATGCAGCTCGACAATTCTGTTTTACATAGTCATTGGTGGAGCAATATCCCTGTGTTCTCCAGCCTTGGCAGTTCTGGTCCTGATCTCTACATCCTACAAGGGAAAAAAATGTTTTCTAAATGGCATTCTGACCAATATGGACTCTAGAATATGCCTTTTTATCTCACTTAAAAATGTGATCTTGTGTCACTGGGTAGGTGTGTGCGTGGGTAGATATGACAGAAACTATTAACTTCATTCATTTAATAAAGCATTGGCTGCAAATTATACCTACCACTTCCAGCACCGCCACATGTTTGACAGCTTCTTTTACAGTTTTGTTTGACATATTCCTTTCTAGTACACTCTCCTTGTTGACTCCACCACTGACAGTTTTGGTCTTTGTCAGCACATCCTATAATGTATGTATTGTAATCTTGTCAGTGTCTTGATTTATAAGCACAACATATTATTTCTAAACTAAACAGGAAATTCAATTGAATATTTAAAAAATTGAATCACTGAAGTGGTCAGTCCATGAAGTTTTGTACAAATATTTGTAAAAGAATTTTTTTTTATTTTCCTCTAAATATTTATGAAATAATTTTTGCAGAAACTTGTTTGAGTTTTTCCTACCTGAAGGGGTGACTCCAGTCCCTCCGCCACCACATGTTCCACAAGCTTTCTGGCAGTTCTGTTTCACATATTCGTTTGAGTTACAATATCCTTGGGCTTGCCATCCTTGGCAGTGCTGGTTCTGATCCTGGCAGTTACCTAGACAGGTGTAAAAGCGTGTTTTTTGGGAATGTTACTCAGAATGGCAAAACATGTTCAGATAAATACCAATGTTCAGATGAAAATTAATTTTTATGTCGCGACCAAAAAGTGGTGACATATTGTTATGGTCTCTGTTTTTTGTGATGGTGATTGGTGATCAGCAGTTGGCGTCAGCGTCTGTAACAATATTGTGAGCAACTAGTTGGTGACCTTTTGTCATTTTAATACCCTGTTTGTCATATGTTTCTGATATCGTTATATCCTTTTGTTTGTTTGTTTGTTTGTTTGTTCGTACTTTGTTTCTCATTTATTTGATCCATGTCAGTCACAGTTCACTACTGCTCTTAAATTTGCTAAAAAAAAGTTAATTGAAAAAGTTAATTAAAAAAGTTAATTGAAAATCATGTGCTAATACACATATACATGAATATTTTTTCTACCTGAGGGACGGGTGACTCCAGTCACTCCACCACCACATGTGCCACAAGCCATTCTGCAATTCTGTTTGACATATTCATTTGAGCTGCATAATCCCTGAGCTTGCCATCCTTGGCAGTGTTGGTTCTGATCCTGGCAACCTATAGAGGGAAAAAACATGTTTTAGGCATATGTTCTATATTATTTGAAAGCATCATCAACAAGGTCATGCAATAGTTAATCAAAATTCTCCTGAAAATGCAAGTCTGTTACTAATGCTTTAAAACAAATTGACACTTAGTTGCAGCATAATCATCTCCTGGGCACTGGCGGGTCCAGGGGGCCCCTCCCCTTTTGTGGGTCCAGAAAAAATTTTAGGGTCCCAAAAATTTTTGGGCATAATTTGGCCTTTTAGACCTTTTTAGGCCAAATTATTAAACATAGGCCTTAATTTTTTTCCTGGCTCAAAATTTGTCCCCTCCCCCTTGTTAGCTTCTGGATCTGCCAATGCTGGTGCATTGCATTTCAAGAGTAGTGTTCTTGCTGAGCTTAGTATTGTAGTATTAGAATTCGTGGTGATGATTTCTAAATTAAATATTCAGATCTTAACCTTTCCTAACTTGTATAGTTTTATCTTGATAATGATATACTCGATAAGATAATGATATTTATCCAGTTCAGTTATTGAAGCTGGCACAGAGGTATAGCCAGAATCTAATATAAGGCAAGGTGATGGAAGAAGATATATTACTGCCTTTGGACTTTAATTCAAAAGAAAAGATATAATATCTCAAAAAATAATTCTGTAAAACTTTGGCAATCATTGATCTGTATGTACAAAAGGTCGACTTACCTCCCACTGTAGGTCTGGTAGGTCTTGGGGTTATATTCCCTCCATCTCCTCCATTACCACCCCCAGTACTCCCACAGTTTATCTTCAATTGCTGGTTTAGTTCAGCACCTTAATCCAACAGAGGGCAAGAAAGCTGAGAAACATTTAACTGATGTGTAGTAAAAAGCGTAACAGTTAAACCTGTGTAAAGTGGAAGGAACACCTTTGGTACCACAAGTGTTCCCCTATAAGGAATACCTCCCAAAGAAACACTCAATTGTATATAAAATTCAATCATTTGAAGTGACATATGCAACAACTTCATTTTCCAGAGAGTAGCCTCAAATTTTAACTTGGCAGATATGAAATACCCATATAAGGCCATGACAGTAACTGTACTCGCACAGCTATGAAATATCAAAACCTTTAAAATGATACTAATGGCAAATGATGATCAATTACCTCGATTCTTTTGACAGCGTTTGATGTAATCATTGTTGCAGGGGAAAACCTCCTTAATTATATTGTAGAGCCCAATGTCATAGTTTCTCAAAGCATTCCTATTACTGATAGGCCCCTGTATGCCATCAGGTATGTCAGAATGACGATTTACACCAAAGTAACTTTGGACTCCTTCGGCCTGTATGCAAGTCATATAATATTGAATTGGTGAACACAAGTCGTTCAGGTTATTTAATTAAGAGTTTATGAAGAAGTGGTTGAGATCATTAAAATTTAATTTTTTTCTTTTCAATTTAAAAGTCTTGAACATTGTGTACAATAACGAGGTAAAAGCAAAGCTCTTATATTATTTATAGATAACCTAACACGTGTAATCGACTTTTTGACTTGTGGCTCATTGCATTTATTTCATGTATGCTAGCCTTTAAACTTAGGCAGCAAGTCTCATGAAAGAATCATGTACTAAATATCAACTACAAATTGTTGAGAATTTGGGCTTTAATCCTTTATTCATAAAGACAGTAGTTACCCAGTATTCCTCAACGGTGCTTGTGGAGTAGGTATTGGCCCATTTGCGACTTCTCATAGCTGAGTTTTACAACCTAGAGAGTCGATCATGGAACCCAGAAATTGCATTGTTTGCTCCAATGAGGTGCAGGGCATGAGAGAACTCATGCAGAACTATATCTTGCTTATATCTATCATTGGGAAGACATCGAGCATTCTCCTCCCCAGCGGTAGAAACAGGCTGTGCCCACGTAGCTCCCAGACCCCTTGCTCTCTCATTCCACCATGCTGGGAGATTGCTGTGCTCAGGAATACTTGTTGTGCCTTCATTGACGCCAATTATTGCTACACGGCCCCCAGCTTTGTAAAATGCATTCCTGATGTCGGATCTGTCTGCCAGCATAAACCTGAGTGTATAGCATGCTCGCTTCAAGGCATCATTGCTTACTTGGTTAGAACCTAAATGATAGATGCAACAAGAGTACACCAATACCTCTCTTCATTTGCATCATTTTAATACATAGCATCATCTAAAGTATTGGACATAACATCATATAATGAAGGTTTCCTGTTTTATAGTCACTTTTATATTTCTTAAATACCACAGGCCCGAGTTGATTCATTTGGGGGTCTTTGCAAATTTAAATCTGTAAAATATTGTTATGAACAACTACAAAAACCTTTTAAAGGTCCCCTAGTCTGCACAATTTCTTGATGCTCCTCAACCTGAAATAAAAAGCTCTCACTTACTGACAACTGGTATGTCATAGGCCTCAGTGTATTTCTGATAGAATGATGTCAGTCCCTTTGGGTACATATGTGTTCCACTTCTTAATTTGCTTGGTACCCCGCGTATGTTACCACAACTGTTGGAGTTTGTTGGGCTTCCTGGTCTGTTGCCTCCATAGTAGAGACTGCTGTCTGTTGAGATTTAAAGATTCATACTAGCTGACATGTGTCAAATGATCAATGGAAAATGATGTGATATTGATGGAAAATGTGACCCAGCTAAGGCTTAAAATGATGTGATATTGATGGAAAATGTGACCCAACAGCTAAGGCTTAAAATGATGTCATATTGATGGAAGATGTGACCCATCAGCTAAGGCTTAAAATGATGTGATATTGATAGAAAATGTGGCCCAGCTAAGGCGTAAAATGATGTGATATTGATGGAAAATGTGGCCCAGCTAAGGCGAAAAATGATGTGATATTGATAGAAAATGTGATCCATCTGCTAAGGCTTAAAATGATGTGATATTCAAAGAAAATGTGACCCAGCTAAGGCTTAAAATGATGTGATATTGATAGAAAATGTGACCCAGCTAAGGCTTAAAATGATGTGATATTGATAGAAAATGTGACCCAGCTAAGGCTTAAAATGATGTGATATTGATAGAAAATGTGACCCAGCTAAGGCTTAAAATGATGTGATATTGATAGAAAATGTGGCCCAGCTAAGGCGTAAAATGATGTGATATTGATAGAAAATGTGACCCAGCTAAGGCGTAAAATGATGTGATATTGATGGAAAATGTGGCCCAGCTAAGGCGTAAAATGATGTGATATTGATAGAAAATGTGATCCATCTGCTAAGGCTTAAAATGATGTGATATTGATAGAAAATGTGACCCAGCTAAGGCTTAAAATGATATGATATTGATAGAAAATTTGACCTAGCTAAGGCTTAAAATGATGTGATATTGATAGAAAATGTGACCCAGCTAAGGCTTAAAATGATGTGATATTGATAGAAAATGTGACCCAGCAAAGGCTTTTAAGGATGCAATTTGGAATAGTTGATGCATAACAAGATGAACTAATAGTGTGCGCCAAAACTCAAGAAAATCCCATTAACTGATGTTGAGGTAGGTTACTATGATTTGACCCATAGTCAATATAGATTGGTTCATTGACTATTCATTTTTACTTGTCTGCACTCAAAAAAGTGACACGAAAGGGCTAAACGGCTTGCCCCAAGGTGCAACCGTCAAAAAGATGAGTTTGACAAAAATATTTTTTTTCAAATAATAGCAGCGAGTATATGAAATAGGAGGCAAATTTGAAATTGATATGTATGATAGTCCATTTGGGTGTGGTCATTTTTATTAAAAACAATAATATTGAAGAATTATACATTTCTGACCTTAAAATGCCATTTTAATGCAAAAGTCACGGTTGCTATTAATTATATTCCTATTTTACCTATTTAATGTTTTCTATATATTACACTTACCATTATATTCATTTTTGGCAAAGTAATTAATAATGGGGCTCACACAAGGATCCACTTTATTTACAACTTTTTCATATTTAGTGATGTTTTGAAAAATTACTACGTTTAACAGAAAATTATTTGTTAAATGTTAAACAAAATAATGATTATGTGTTTGTTTCGTTGTTTCAACTGAAAAATGACAATTCATTGCTCTTGATCTTAGAGCGGCAGGGCATATACCAGTACGACCAATCTTCAATACAGATGATCCTTGTGTGATCCCTACTATTATTTACTTTGTCAAAAACTAATATAATGGTTTTTCAGATATGTGAAAATCATTTGATAGTCAAAATAAGAATAATATAATTGACTTTTGAATAATAAAGCATTATAGAGTCAGAAGTACCAAATTTGTACCATAATTGTAGCGTGGCTGCTAGTTAAGGCGGTAGAGCATCAGAATCTAGATTAGAAGGTACTAGGTTTGGTTCCCACAAACAGAGAATTACCACACAACTCCCCGAAGGAACCCTCGGGTCCTTACAGAGTGCCATATTTGCATATTAAAGTAAATAGACGATTTTGCCATCCTCCCGCCATGTTCTTGTGTATGTTTACAATACTAGCAATCTACTGTTCGAGTCGGTCACAGCAGCCCCACATGGCCTTAAAAATAATTCCAAATACCTGGCTATTGACTTTTGACCTTTTCTGATGCATGACATGAAATAGCCCAAATGCCTTAAAAGGCTTACCTAGATATTGACTTTTGACCTTGAATTGACATGACCCATCAGTAATGACTTTGACCCCAAGTCGGCTAGTAATGGGTCACCAAGCATCACAGCATCTCCCGAATGCCTTGAAACACCAATACCTAGATATTGACCTCGACCTTGAGATGATCTTGAATTGAACCATTAAATGATGACTGACCTCATGTCACCTTATCATGAGTCGCCAAGGGCCACATCACGACAGCAGCCCATGTGGCCTTAAAACGCCAAACACTAAGATATTGAAATTTGACCTTAGATTGACCTTGACCTCAGGTCACGTTTCAATGGAGTCAAGTGCAGCAGCCACTCCAAAACGCCAAATATTTAGATATTGATCTCTGGCCTTGACCTATAAAAATGACACTGATCTCAGGTCACTTTATCATTGGTGATCAAATGTCAGTGTAGCCACAAACAAGCCAACTACCTAGATATTGACCTTTGACCTTACTATAATTTTGAACCATAGATATTGACTTTGACCTCATGTCACCTTAGCTTGAGTTGGCAAGGGTTATAGCAGCCCCCAGGGCCTCAAAATGCCAAATACAGAGATTATGACCTTGTAGGAATGACCTTGACCTCAGAACACATATCAATGGGTCCTCACATGAAGCAGCATCCCTAAAATGCCAAATATTCAGATACTGACCTCTGACCGTGAGATGACCTTGACCCATAAACAGTGACATTGGCCGTAGGCCACTTTATCTTTGGTGATCAAATGTTACTGAAGACCCACAGTAGCCAACTATCTATGACCTAGATATTTGACCTTTGACCTTGAAACTACCTTGAAATCACCTTATCATTGGTCGCCAAAGGTCACAATTGTTCTCACGTCAACTTGCTAGATATTGACCTTTGAACTTGAAATTTCCTTGATCCATTCAGACCATTACTTCAGGTCACCTAAGCATTGGTTGTGGAGGGTCAAATCAACGACCAGGTGTCTTAAAAAGCCAACTACCTAAATATTGACATTGTACCTTGAAATGACCTTGACTTTTGTAGAATACACTTTTTATGAACAAAAATGAAACATTCAAAGTTGAAAACTGACCGTTTGAAAATAAAATTGCTGCTAATGTTTCAAAACAAAGGTGTATTGTAAAAGTAATGTTCGAATTGAATAAACTCAAAGAAATATACTTCAATTATATAATTTTCTATCAGACTAAGTAAAATTGTAATTGTTCTAAATGTAAATGTTGCAATGAAAGCTCACATATATCTTGCTGCATATCAGTCGAGTGCAGCTGCTACAGGTATCACTCTGACAAACATCGGTGAACAAATCAAACTTGATGTGATGCAAATCGGTATCTTTTAATTTGGCGTCCACGCAGAATGTTGGACAAAATGGCTAACTGTTAGATAAACCATCAATAATAGAATTGTCAAAAGTTGCATTTATAAAATCAATTCCTGCCTCATCACTGTTACACCCATTACTACAAGATGTTGTCTCGACTAGGTCACTGTCTGCAAGCTAAAAAAGTATCAAAATCACTGCCTGCTTTATCACAATAAACGTTTGTTACAAATAATTTCAGTAAAATGCAAATAGAAGGCCCATTTGATATTAATATGGAAAGATAGTCCACTTTGGTGCGGTAATTTTACTGCAACAACTACATAGTACTATATATGTACATGTATAATGCCTTTTTATTCAAAAGTCAATCATTGTATTCCTATTTAACATATTAAAGGATTTTTATATATCTGAATAATCGTTATATTCATTTTTGGCAAAGTAAATAATCATAGGGCTCACACAAGGATCAACTTTATTGAAGACTTTTTGTACTGGTATATGCCCTTCAGCTCTAAAAGCAAGAGCAATGAATTGCGATTTTTAGTTGAAACAATGAAACAAACACAATACCATCATTTCATTTAATATTTAACAAATACAATTGTGTTAAACTTAGTATTTTTTGAAATCATCACTAAATATGAAAAAGTTGTAATAAAGTGGATCCTTGTGTGACCCCTATAATTATTTACTTTGCCAAAACCTAACATAATGGTAATTGAAACATTTAGAAAACATTGAATAAGTAAAATAGGAATATTATGATTAGCAACAGTGACTTTTGGATTAAAATGGCATTTCAAGGTCAGCAATATATAATTCTTCACCATTATTGTTTTTAATAAAAATGACCACACCCAAATAGACTATCATACATATCAATATCAAATATGCCTCTTATTTCATATACTCACTGCTATTATTTGAAAAACATGATTTTTTTCAAACTCATATTTTTGACAGTTGCACCTTGGTGCAAGCCGTTTAGCCCTTTCGTGTCACCTTTTTAACTGCAGACAAGTGAAAATGAATAGTCAATGAACCAATCTATAATGACTATCGGCCACTTCTTAGTAATCTACCTCAACATCGGTTTAGACTAACTAAGCCACTTTGGAAGTGATTTGGCGCATACTATAACCTTCCAGTTTCTACTTTGGATGTTACAGCAGCTTGGCAAAAACAGAATTGATTACTCCTACTGTATACTGTAGTTGTTAAAAAACGTTAGCAAATTAAAAATGCAATGTTATGGAAGCAATAGAATAAATTTGAAAAAGATAGATCAATTACCGGAATTAAGATACTTGCCTGAGTTGTGGGAAGGATAGATTATGTAATAATGGGACTCATCAAGATTCAGAGGTATTGCTGCATTACATCCTAAAAACAACAAAACATATATAGCTGACTTACATAAAAGTCAGCAAAAATAACAAAAATATTTTAGATTGGCCCAATGATGATGAATTTTGGACCTGCTTTCAATAAGATATAAGTGTTTTCAATTGTATTATTCTAGGGGTCATTAACAGAAACTTCTTATTCTTAAAGTTACAAATTCGTAAATCAATTGTTGTAACCATGGATATAATGACGTCACAGTTAGAGAACAATGAGTTTGATGAATACTTAACTTTACGAAGTTTCTGTTAATGACCCCCAGATTATTAATTTCAATTAACATACCAAATTCAAGTCCAGCTATAAGAAACACGATTGTAATGAATCCACCAACCATTCTTAACATTTCTGTATTTCTGAACTTTATGATATATTTCAATTTTCATTATCTCTGATCCAAACTTTGATACTTCCCTTAACTGAGATGTCATGTTACCTTATTCCTTTTCATCTTAAGCATGGGAAATGTCACAAATGCTCAGATGTCTTAATTTTTAATGAGAGTAAGAGAAAATTGAGATTGTTGACTATGGCACATACCTGTTTTCTTTTTCCAATGTTGATTTCAATCTGTCTATTACAAACCCTAGCCTATGGTTGTCATTTTCCTTATGGGCTGTTGATAATACAATCTGGATGATATCATTGTAATAGATATTAATGATGATAAATTAAGACAAATACAAGTAGATTGCACATATACACCATGCATTTTTGAATAAAATGCATTTTTTTGGATTTAACCACAGACGTGTGCTCATATATTAGACAAATGTTGAATTGCAATATGGAGAAAAAGGGAGATATGGTAATTTTGGTGGGAGATTTGGTAAAAACAATATTCTAAAATGTCTTATATTTCATCAATACTACTTTAATCTTAAAATAGATATATGATTGAATGATTGAAATTTTGAATCACAAATTTTAGTTAGAGTATGCAAATTCTTCTCTATATCAGAATATGCAAAAAAAACTTGTGAACCAAATTATATTAATGATGGGCTATACAAAAGTATGCAACAATATCTTGTGAACCAAATTCTATATGACAGTATGATAGGCTATATCAAGGTATGCAAAAGAATCTTGTGAACCAAATTCTATATGATAGGCTATATCAAGCTATGCAACAATATTTTGTGAACCAAATTCTATATGATAGGCTATATCAAGGTATGCAACAAAATCTTGTGAACCAAATTCTATATGATTGGCTATATCAAAGTATGCAACAAAATCTTGTGAACCAAATTCTATGTGATAGGCTATATCAAGGTATGCAACAATATTTTGTGAACCAAATTCTATATGATAGGCTATATCAAGGTATGCAACAAAATCCTGTGAACCAAATTCTATATGACAGTATGATAGGCTTTATCAAGGTATACAACAAAATCTTGTGAACCAAATTCTATGTGATAGGCTATATCAAGGTATGCAACAATATTTTGTGAACCAAATTCTATATGATAGACTATATCAAGGTATGCAACAAAATCTTGTGAACCAACTTTTATGATAGGCTATATCAAGGTATACAACAAAATCTTGTGAACCAAATCCTATATGATAGGCTATATCAAAGTATGCAACACAATCCTGTGAACCAAATTCTATATGATTGGCTATATCAAGGTATGCAACAATATTTTGTGAACCAAATTCTATATGATAGGCTATATCAAGGTATGCAATAGGCTATATCAAGGTATGCAATAAAATCTTGTGAACCAAATTTTATGATAGGCTATATCAAGGTATACAACAAAATCTTGTGAACCAAATCCTATATGATAGTGATAAAGGAATTGACAAATATTTGGAAATTACCTCCTGTTCAAGTTCCAATCATTTTTATAGATTATATTGATAGATAAAATATCACTGAATATGGTATTGCTTGTTGAGGATCACACAACATTACCGTTTATCATTTATTTGTGATTTAAGCAGGGGTCCATTTTTTAAGAAATAATCGTTTTAAAAGATTTCTTGTGAATAGATAATAAATAAGTACAAAAAGCATGAATTATTATATGTCAAGAGCATAATGTAAAATTTCAACTGAAAAATTAGATCAAAATGGAATCCATGTTCACAGTGGGGGGTATAACTCATCAAACACAAGATAATTTTTTTAAAGCTTATTGTTACAGCCTAATGTTTTTAATTTGTGTTTTTTTAGTTAGGATTATAACATTGACCATTTATGAATTTTTGAGCACCATACAAAGTTACAGAACTTCATTTATGAACGATTTCAGCAGGGGTCTATTTTACAAATATTAAGTATTTTTCCGGATAGTTCTTAGATGAAAAGCTAGTACAGTTTTACGATTAAATTACATCATTGAGGTGTATTAATCATGAAAACAGGTTTCATCCTGATGTCTTCAACCTAATTCGTATAACGCCATGTCACAAATGGGGGGAGGGGACATTGACCTCCACTTTGGGATCTTTATTACTTATATGATTTCAATATTACAGTTATGTTCGGTATCATTATAAACAGGCATTAAATAAGTGTAGACTATTATAAATACGTTGATATTAAGAAGATTTATACAATTTAAACTGTAGAATGAAATAACAATGGGCTCTAAAATCACAATGATTGGTGTAACTAATCAAATTTTTACTTTATAAGCTTAGTATCATGTCCTAACAATTTGAATTAATTTTAAATAGTTATCTAATTGAACGAAGTTTGGAGGGATATACGTCCGTCTGTCCGTCCGTACGTACGTACGTCCGTTCGGGCAATAACTCAAATACTGTTGGCCCAATTTTGTTCATATTTTGTACACATATACCCTGTGGGCGTAGAAGTTCTGCTCGAAAGCCGATTTTCAAAATGGCCACTCATTTAAAAATAGCGGCCATTTTGGTGCCGATTTTACAGTTATTTAGGTGCAATATATAAAACTGTAATAGCAATTACACGTCGCACGAAACTGGGGACAATTAGAGTAACATTATGGCGTCAAAATACCAAACAATACAATGGGCAGTATAGGGCGCAATCAGCATTATAACGTCAAAAACGACAAGCGTTACATTTTGTCAATTTTAGTCAACCTAGAAATAAGATGCTTTATTCTTATTCAATCCTGGTAAAATTCACAGAGCAACAAGATCTCGAGGACAATATTTCTAAAATGTTTTTGATTTTTGAAAAACGGTCAGGAAATCCACTCGGGGCGTTAGCAAAAAATTGATATGTATGGGATTCGTGGCAAAAAATCGATGCGTTACATTTTTTCAAGTCTCTAAAAGCAACTCTTATTTTCTTATTATTTGAAGAATAAAGAAATCGGTTATTGTTTTGTAAATTTCGCCATGACAATATTGTGCAGTTAAATTTTTTTTGAAATCAGACCTAAATTAGAAGGTTAAATAAAGGTAAACTTATTGCTAGTCTCCTTCGTCTTCAAAACCTTACACAATTTTGAAAATTTTACAAGCGTTCATATAAGACGATTTGAACTGTAGCCGCTAGGCAATTGTGACGTCATAAAAGCACATGTTTCAATGAATAAAATGTGAAATTTTAGTAAAATTCTGATCAGTATTTCAAAAGTTATCCCGAATTCAACGAACCGTGTAAGCATGGAATGTTACGTCTTACAGCGAATTTGACGATGTCGGAGTACATTTAACTTTAAAAATATGGTAGATCTCATCAAACTTTTCAAGGAAAAATGATTTCAGTGAAATGCGAATAAAAAACACTTCAAAATGATATATAATGCACATAGTTAGCTTTTTAAATAAGGCAGATATTAACGCTTAAAGCTGAGATTAGCCCGTATTTCCCGAATTGTCCCCAGGTCCGTGCACGTCATAAATATCTTTTAAATGAAAAAAATGATATAGGACATTAATAAAGCTAGAAATGCAGATGTTAAAGAAGCACATGGCAGCCATCTTGAAAAATGGTGGCCTTTACTTGTTATTTTACGATTTTTGCTGTAACTCGAAAAGTAGTGGAGTGATTTCGTTCATATATGGTATGTGAATACTATAAGCATGGCACACTGTCTAATGACACTTTTGGGAGAAGGCGGCCATTTTAAACATAGCCGCCATTTTAACATATTTTACTATAACTCGAAAAGTTGTGGAGCGATTTTGATCATCTCTGATATGTGAATACTATAAACATGGCACACTGAATTTTTTGAATATCTTAAAGTGGTTCAGATTTTCATTTATTGAAGATTTAATTCAAGATTAATTCAAAAATATATAAAAAAGAATATTTTGTGGATAGTTGTCGGATCAGTTACTATTATTACCACCTTGCGGGGCATGTTTTAGTGGTATTAGTGCTAGTTTAGGTGGCATTTGCTACTATATCGACCTGAGCAATAATTCTAATAACGTCATTTCTGCGGGCAATATTAAGCCAAAATATTGATGATCAGCAGCTGATAATGGCAGAATACCTATTCCAGAAAAAAATATTGGGCGAGACGGTATTTATTAATTTCAAGAGAAAGTTTGGGTTCTAGCATTGCCTCATAGGACAGTCTATTTTCTACTAAATAAAATAATCAGGGTAAAGGCTTTTCTATTACTAAAGTTATTTGCTTGTCGAGATGCTTGTAGAGCCCGTATCGCAAAAATCATATATCCTTTCACCCAACGTCATATCATATGCTTTATTGATGTTAAAATCCATTTTTATAAATAGTGGGAATAAATTCCTAACTCATCTTAGATTATGATTTAAATGCAATATTATATGTGATCAAATGCTTTTTCCAAGGTTTTAAAATGTAAACAGTGCTCAGTTTCAGTGCTCAACAGGTGAAAACGTATGTGGGAATATAGGCAGAAACAATTTGCAGATCAACGAAAACAAGATTGTGTTCAAAGAAAGTGAACTAAATGGAACCATTATTTTTAATCATGTTGAATGCAAAATATAGTCAGACAGATGATATTATTTTCAATTAAAAAGATAAAATCAATATGTCATGCTAATGACCTTTCCAAAAGCCGATTCATAAGTGGAAAATTCGTTGTTAACTTCGAAAGTGTCAATATCTAATATTTTTCATTATTATGGACCTCTGTTAAACCCCTCAATGATAAGTAAACGGTAATGTTGACAGGTTCTCAACGGGTGAAAACGTATGTAGGAATATATGTTTTATCATTTAAACATATCATTAACAACGCAGATCAACGAAAAACAAGATGATGTTAAAAGAAAGTGAACTAAATGGAACCATTATTTTTTATCATTTTGAATGCAAAATAAAGTCAAACAGACGATCTTAGTTTCAATTAAACAGATAAAATCAATATGGCATATTGACAAGAAAACTTCAAAAATATCAAAATCTTATATTTTCTATATTTTTTTGTGAACCCCTGTTAAACCCCTCAATAATTAATAAATAAGTTTATTGGTCTCTTGAACATCTAATGTACATCGAGATAAAATCAATTTGTTATACTAGTAAACTTTCCAAAAGCCGATTAGTGACTAGATAATCTGTTGTAAACTTCAAAACTATCAAAATCTAATATTTTTGTTGACCCCTCCCTGTTAAACCCCTCAATAATAAGTAAACAGTAAAGTCCTCAACAGGTGAAAATATATGTGATAATACATGTTTTATCATTTACACATATCATTTAACAATTGGTGGATCAACAAAAACAAGATGATGTTAAAAGAAAGTGAACAAAATGGAACAATATAATCAGACACACGATCTTATTTTCAATTAAACAGATAAAATCAATAGGTCATGCTAATAACCTTCTCAAAAACCGATTCATGAGTAGATAATCCTTTGTAAACTTCAAAAATACCAATATCTAATATTTGTATTTTTTGTGGACCCCTGTCAAACCCCTCAATAATAAGTAAATGGTAATGTTGACAAGTGCTCAACATGTGAAAACGTATGTAGGAATATATGTTTTATCATTTAAACATATCAAAACAATTGGCGGATCAACAAAAACAAGATGACGTTAAAAGAAAGTGAACTAAACGGAACAATTAATTTTAATCATTTTAAATGCAAAATATAGTCAGACAGGTGATTTTATTTTCAATTAAACAGATAAAATCAATATGTCATGCTAATAACCATCCCAAAAAACCAATTCATAAGTAGATAATCTGTTGTAAACTTCAAAATTATCAAAATCTAATATTTTTCATTTTTTGTGGACCCCTGTTAAATCCCTCAATAATAAGTAAATGGTAATGTTGACAAGTGCTCAACAAGTGAAAACGTATGCAGGAATATGTATTTTATCATTTAAACTCAGCAAAACAATTGGAGGATGAACAGGAGGAAACAGCTTAATTAAGGCTTATCTGAGAGATTCCATTATCACTATGATAGGCTATATCAAGTTATGCAACAAAATCTTGTGAACCAAACTCTATATGAAAGGCTACGAGGGTTAATGCACTATATGCTCTAACTTTATCAATAATTGATATTTTTCCATGAAATTTTCAGTAAATGTTCCTTAGAGACATTTTGATTATTCTAGAAATTTTCATGTTGACTGATAAAACTATATTTATGTTATAATAAAATCAAGTTGGTGAGTTTGGGTAGGGCGGGGCAGGTTATACAGTCACGTCAAAAGGAATAAAAAATTGAAAATATGAAATAATTAACAAATACCATTTGGTGTAGCTATAAGAAGTATGCTAAATAGTACATTTTAAGATACTAAATTATTAGGAGCACATCCTAGATTTAATGGATGTATATTTCACAGTGTCCCATTTCACATTTTCTCAAAATATTGTCCTTTGCATGTTATGTACTTTTGATGCCTGTCAGGTCAAACATTGGCAATTTCTTTCACTGTGACTTGTGGAGTTTTTGCCTCTCATGTTTGGAGTTGTCATCCAGGGTCAAATCGTCTCTTTTAAATCTCTTCTGTCACCCCATAATTGTAGTTCTATCTGGTATATACTCCTTATATACTTTCTTCATGGTAGCATTGTTTTGCGTGGCTGTGAGTACAAGTGAAGTATGAAATTAGGCCACCAAACGCAAGGTCTTCTGTTATCAGGTGAGAATTGCAGCCATTTTTGCAATTTCTTGACTGTGACTGTATTTGAATTCGTGACTATTGAAATGTGGTATTATGACATCACAGTGCTAAATGTCATTATTCGTACTTGGTTAACATCATGCTTAATAAATTTGACAATTTCCCAAACATTTTGACCATTTAAAGGAAAGAAATATTAATAAAATTACACTTTAGATCTCTTCATAATTAGAAAAATTGGTACCTGCCCCGCCCACCCCTACCCCCATGTTGTTATAGCAACCATATTAAGACTTAATATTAATGTTGGATGCTGAAACTTAAGGATATAATAGATAAAACTTCAATTGTTATATACACAAAATTTCAGCTGAATTGAAGAATATTAAAGAAAGTTAGAGCATATAGTGCATTACTTCTGGGACAACCCTCGTATATCAAGGTATGCAACAATATTTTGTGAACCAAATTCTAAATGATAGGCTATATCAAGGTATGTAACAAAATCCTGTGAACCAAATTCTATATGATTGGCTCTATCAAAGTATGCAACACAATCCTGTGAACCAAATTCTATATGATTGGCTATATCAAGGTATGCAACAATATTTCGTGAACCAAATTCTATATGATTGGCTATATCAAGTTATGCAACAATATTTTGTGAACCAAATTCTAAATGATTGGCTATATCAAGGTATGCAACACAATCTTGTGAACCAAATTCTAAATGATTGGCTATTTCAAGGTATGCAACAAAATCTTGTGAACCAAATTCTATATGATTGGCTATAGGTATGCAACAATATTTTGTGAACCAAATTCTAAATGATTGGCTATATCAAGGTATGCAACACAATCCTGTGAACCAAATTCTATATGATTGGCTATATCAAGGTATGCAACAAAATTTTGTGAACCAAATTCTATATTACAGGCTATAGGTATGCAACAATATTTTGTGAACCAAATTTTATTTGAATTGATAAGCTATATCAAAGTTTGCAACAACAGATGAAGAGTGAATGAAAATCTTTTTATCAGAATCATAAAATTATAGTTTTTCAGCCAACCATCGTTGATTGGGCTTTATAGTCCAATTGCACATACCCTAGCTGCGATTTCGGGCATAAAGGGCGATAGTTCATTGATGTTCTCGAAGCTTTTGAAGAATCTATCCTTTGGTTCAGATGCAATTGAATCCCATTCTCTCTGACGTGCAGCAACATTTTTAGGCCGTGCACCAGGTAACGCAAGTAGAAAAATCGTCACTTTTTCAGTTCCTGTTTTCGATTTTAGTGCATTGGCCGCTTTAATGGTATTCTTTTGGTATTTAGCTTTTATTGTCGGACCACTGGTAATGAGAATAATCACATTGTTGGCGAAAGGACGATCCCCAGTGTCAGGTCTAAATACAACATCATTTGCAAATTCGAGGGCAAGATCAGTGCGTCTGTTTTTCTCATGTGTTATTGAAATGTTGTCTATTGCAGCCAGTATCCCTGCTCTTGTGCTGGTCATTGTATTGTTAAACAACATCTCGGTCTCAACTTTATTATTGTATGCGATGATGGCAAATTCCAATGCGGCTTCACCATCTCCTACTTTTTTGTGGGCACCAATCAAAGTTTTCAAGGCATCACGGACAACTATCTTGTGTTCTGGTTTGAAGCTCTTGGAGTGATCGAGAATGATGAGAACATCTTTGTTTCCAGGAGCAAATGGTCCTGAAAAATAATTGTAACAGTGAATAACAATAGCACATTGGTCAAATAACACTACTGCTTAATCTTGATGAAAAACAACAATTCCCATAACATTGCTTGGTCGAAATATTTTCAAGCAGAAAATGGCAACTCCACGGTGTAGCAAATCCCAACGTACAATCATGAAGACAATACAATATGCTATATTTAATGTAACTAAATATAACTATACTTTGAAGAAATCTCTAAATTATAGCGAATTCCCGCTTTAGGCAGCCTTTTTTAATTTTCTAGGCACTAATCAGAAAAACAATACCATAATTGTGATAATTCTTAAAGGAGTGGTATCGATATGGAGAACTTTTTGAACACACGTTTCTCTTAAACCAGTCATAAAAAATCTAAAAATTTAAACATCGTCAATTTAATGGTCATCTTTTGAATGGTAATAGTATAATTTGAAAAATACATATATACGTTCATCTTTATTGTTTTAGAAAACACATCAAACACTTGTTTTGTTCTTGGTATTACGTTTTCAGAATGGAGCAAAACGACATAAACACAACATGTTTAGGTTTCTCAATATTGTAATTGTACAAAGGAAATTTTGGTTGATTTTGGGATTTTGTTTTAATTTTTTGAATAATTTTTTAAAATCAACCAAAAATTCCTTTGTATTACTATAATATTGAGAGATCTAAAAACATGTTGTTTATTCCATTTTGTTCCAACAAGGTTCGGAAAGACACTTTATTTCATTCTCAAGAATTGGTAGAAAGGAGCAAAAACAATTGCACTAAAAAAACTGTTATATAAAATATTTCTAAATAATTTTCGCATTAAATTGTTGTCAATCAGTAGACATTATGTAAAATACCGTGGTTTTTTACAGAATGTTTTCAATGATTGGTTTAACAGAAAAACATTGCTGAATTCAGTTCTCCATATCGATACCACTCCTTTGAGTATAATACTTTGAAGAGATCTGGAAAATATTGCAAAATCCTGCATTAGATGCCATTTTGATTTTTAAGAACCCTGAATCACAAAAACAATACAATATATACATTAACCATTTTGTAGACAACTCACTTGGACATCGCGATATCTCTTCAATACGAGTGTACACAGTTCCTACATTAATATCTTCGGAGTAAGGAAATATGTTTTTCGGGTCAACCACGTCATATAATTCAGTTTTGCCATTCTTGTTGGTTAACGGAACCAAGAAAAGGAATGTATTGTTTTTGGCACGTAGTCGGTTGATTGAGTCCTTGGTGTCATCGATGGTGTTTGGTTGTGCATCTCCTGTGGTAAACAAAACAAGGACATTTGGGCTTCGATCATCATCGTCACCAGATTCGAAGAAATCTGCAATTGCCATGTTGATAGCTTCACTAATGCTTGTTTTACAATCTAAAGCAGTGTGATCAAAATCATTTATCTTGTTGATGACATCATATTTTGTCTGTCCATCCTCAAAGCCAATTACAATACGGGAGCTACTGTCAAAAGCAAGAAGGCCGAATTGACTGACACGAATTGGGCTGGCCTTTGGATCAGCAATCGTATCATTAAACATCCCAACGAATTTTTCCATGAACTCCTTAACGCCATTTTTCGTATCGTCTGAGATATCACACGAAGTATCAACGCCAAATACTATATTTGCACAAACTGAAATTAGAAATTGCTCTTCATTATTCCTTGTCTATCTAAAACCAGTTTCTACTCGTTATTGTCTTAACTCACTAGATCTAGTCTTCTTAGTCTCCCTGGTATGACATTTCTAGGACGTCTAATAAAGGAGCTGGTAGCACAACGCAGCGATAATTAAACTTATATTTACATCTCAATAGGTTCCATATTCGTTTTTATTCTAGCCATGCTCAATATGTATTTCTGGCTTTTAGGCTAAATTATGCCTGCCATTAGCAGGGATCAAAAATTTCTAAAAACTATACTATCCCATTTTCACAATTTAAGAATGTCGATTTAACAATAAAGAAAAGTATCAACTTTGAAAGAATTCACTATACTATTATGCCAATTATACGTAAGGTTAGAAAAATACAAATAAGTACATGTATCACTGTGTGGTCACAGTGAAAAACTGGAATTTATTATGACGAAATACCTACAATTTTGACAGAAAATAGCATTATACGAAACGTTATAGATTATGATGTACCATGGTTGCGCCAGACCTATGCAGAGGTGGTTAACATTGCCGCGGTTGTACCAGACCCGACCCATGCATTTGATCGTGCCTCATAGAAATTCGAATGAAAATGTTAACTCTTGATGAACATATCAAGGATAACATATTCCAACCTGAATGTCAGATTCCAGAGTCATACCATGAACTACTGTATATCATCCATCATCAGAGTGGGGTATAAAGGGCAAAGCATGCTTTTTGAAAATTATGTACAGCTTTCGACTTTTACTATTATTCGGTTTTTGCTGCCACTTTAATGTTGCGTGAAAGTTAAAACAGGGAGAAATGGCCTGATGGTAGGCCAAACCCTATTTACTTTGATTCTTATAGGCATCGTCAGAGAGAATTATTTACATGAATAAATGGAAAATGGAAAAAATGAATTGAGGGGATTTGTGAAAGCACAAAGGGCAACATTTTAAAAACAAAACATATCAAACCAATTAGATACAGGCTGTATAATGTAAAAAGGACACTATAGTCACTGCTATCTTCTTAGGAACAATTCAATCTATCTAATGGTAATTACAATGAATACTATTTAATAGACTTACTTGGACCACACAGAGCTCGAACATTAACTGCTCCTAATGCAACCGCAATAAAAGTCTTTAAATAAACTGGCATAACCATTGTCACGATTGTATGTTGTTGGCAATGGCAGGTTCATGTTTTATAATATTAAATAGCTATTTTTCCACTTACCAACATATATTTTATTTATTGAACAGGAAATTACTGTTGGTTACGAGAGTTATCTGTTGTCGTAAAGTTTTGATGATCTGTATGAATTCCAAGTGTGTAGCCATAGGTTTAGCCAGACAGAGGAGGCAGCACCTCACCAAAGTCAGTGTTTTATTCAAGATTTTGTCTACGCCCCTGAATATATTTCAAAACAAATAATTTAATATTAACTTCACTATATACTATTATTCAACAAAATAGTTAATATATTCTTGAAATAGCACGATGTTGATTTACTTAAACGTGTACAGAAGATAAGCATATGCTTTAATTGTTTTTTCTGTCAGATATCAAAATTATTAAAAACAATTTAATTTTGTTGATATTTTATGATGTTATAACTGTTGAATACAAGGTAGTTATTGCTACCTAGGCCTAAAATTACTTTACATAAAAGTTTGTATTTACTGTAATAAAATCTTCCTAACATCATTCTCCTTCATAATCAGGGATAAAATGTGGGTGTCACCGATTTTGTTTTTTACTTAAACCTAGAAAACATTTTGGTCCCCCATGTTTGGGTATTGGCGAGTAGGGGATCTAGAGGATGGAATATCTCAAGTGATCAGTTTTTATTTTTGCACTCATGTTTTTTGAAAATATAAAAAAATAGTGGTCACTGAGTTTTTTTTATAAACTCGAAGGGAGGGTATTTTTGGCCATTTTAGCATGATTTTGCATTTCAGTTCAATTTATTGAGTGATTTAGATTTATTAAACTTGCTATTATATAACCAATTTAATCTAGATTTAAGAATCCTCATTTATTGAATTGTTCATTATAATCATTATGAATTTAACATCATCATTTTTTGAAAGAACATTGGGCAACATTTGAGAAGAAATGCAGCAGGCATTTTAACCTGAAGCAATGACATGCGTCTAACCATCCATAGAATGTTTTTCTCAGAGACAACATATTTTTGAGAGTAGCGGTCAGTGTTTGGCATCCTTAGCACATATTACACAAGTGCTGGAGACATTTTGTTACGTAAATGTATTGTCTGTTCTTTGTAAATTCTTTATATACTTCACATTATTCACTGTTGTCGGATTTATGTATGTATTTACATATGATTGAACAATATATTTTAGATTATATTTTAGATTATAAAATATTGAACAATACAGGCCTGCTAGGTAAAAATGATTTAACAATTTCTAGAGGTATAGGAATGAGTAAATAATTCACTTAGGAGGAAGGAATGATTGAATAATCTATGTAAAAGGTAGGAATGATGATTGAATAATCCACATGAGAGGAAGGAATGATTGAATAATTCATTTGAAAGGTAGGAGTGAGTAAATAATTCACGTAAGAGGAAGGAATGATTGAATAATCCATGTGAAAGAAAAGAAATGAATGAATAATTCTTGTGAGAGGAAGGGATTATGGAATACGTCTTGGAAGTGGAAGGAATGTGGATATCATCCCGAAGTATAAAACCAATATACAATCCGGACCTGGGATGTCCTTTGATAATTCATAAATGTGCACAGAGACTACAAGATAAATTACAAGAGACGAAACACAATAAAAGTTCATAAAATACTTGGAGATGTGCACGAGGATGTATACGCTATGGCAAAACCTGAATATCATTTTTATCAATGTGTTTGTCTACCCCTGAGAAAGAACATATTTCGCAAATAATTTATTTAATATTTGCGAAACTATTATTAAATAAAGGCTCCATGCCAAACAATTTTTTATCATTATCATTTAAAAGTTATTTTAGAGATTTTCAGCTTTTTATTTCCCAAATTCAAATGTCCCGCCAATTTTTTTCAATCATCAAATATTTCATATATAGTGCGAAATGCGTTATATTTTGAGTACCATTGCTAAGAATGAACACTTGCCAGCAATTTATATGTTGAGTATGATTGAAAACAGTACATGTAGTATAGGAAATTGTTGTTGATTGTGAGTTATTCTTGGCAAACCCATTTCCAGATGCCATCCATGCTAACTAAATCTCGTATGCTCTGTTCGATTTCAAAAGGTTAAGCTATAGGTGTAGCCAGGGCGAGGCATGAGGCAGAGGAGGCAACACCTCACCAAAGTTTACAAAAATTAAATCTCGTTTATGACCCTGAACATGGGAGAATATATTTCAGAACAAATAATTTAATATTAAAGGAGGAGGGAAATTAGCGCAACAGATTTTAGACAGTCATATGTTTGATTTTGGCCATTTCCTTGGGATTTAAACAGGTGCATATGTTAGGCCAATGCATTACCTCCAGGAAAATCACTTCTAGAGATGATGAAATAATTTCATCCCTGCTTTTTAAATTTTTCTTGCATCAATATGTTGCCTTTTGACACACAGTTAATCCCTTAAAAGGAATAAATGATTCCTTTTAGATAAAGTGGAAAATAATATTTCCCATGTTATTTTCCCATAGGGAAAAATCACTGCTTTCAGCTAAGTTTGGTCACTCATAATGGGTATCTTTAAAACCCCTGAAGGAATCACTTATTCCTTTAAAGTGGTTAACTATGTGTCAAAACACAACGTATTGATGCAAGAAAAATTAAAAAAGCAGGGATGGAAGGGGTCGAAAATTAGGAAAACATTTCAGAAAAACATGCGGGCGGGTTGTTTCCATCTACCCTGTCTCAAAGTCAAAATCAATTTATCATCTCTAGAAGTGATTTTCCTGGAGGCAATGCATTGGCTTAACATATGTAATTGTTTAAATCCTCAGAAAATGGCCCAAATCCAACATATGACTGTCCAAAATCTGTTGCGCTAATTTCCCTCCTCCTTTGCCAAAGTATTATTAAGCAAAATAAATTATATTTGTGAAAAGGGATGGTGATTTGCAAATGGATACAGTTACCAAGTAGATAAGCACATGCTAAATTGTTTTTCTGTCAAATATCAAAATTATTAAAAAAATTAATCAATCAATATCATATAAAGTAACGTATCCTTGAACTTTTGCATACATTTTGTAAAAGAATATTGTTCTTCTTGGCAAATTTTTGGCAGCACTCTAAATCATTTGTAATACTGAAAACAGTTAAAGGAAAAAACCCAATTTTCATAATATCACTTGTCTTTATATATTTATTTAAAAATAAGATCTTTAATCTGTACATGTTGAATATTTGTATACAATTCAGATCTTTTTTAATGTTTATATGTACATGCCTACAGTGTAATCTCTAAGTGATGCATACTCAAACAAGGCAGTACCATGCAAAATGTCACAACCTGCCATTTTTTGATGCCATACAGCAACCGACGAATGCTACTGATCATCAATTTGTTTAAACTACATATACACTATGTATACTGGTGTTTATAACATTTCCACTAAATGTCATATAGCTAAATCGTCACTCAGATTCATATATTATTAGTTTTATACACAGGCCAATAGCCAGGATTTGCCAAGGGGGGGGGGTCATTTTTGAAAAATTCCAGGGGTTCACTTGTGACAATTTTGGTCCAAAAATGGCCAAAATCACTTAAAAAGTGCTCAGAATGGTGAAAAACTGCATGATTTTGAAAGATTCTTTTGCAAGGGGGGTTCGAACCCCCCCCCCCTGGCTACGGGCCCGATACATACATAAATATCTCACTTAACACAATTATTTTATGTTTCTGAGACATAATTCCATGTGCAAATACAGCAATTTTAATAAGATCATTATGGTAAAAATCATCTGTCATACTTTGTTAAGATTCTCTGTCAGAATATTTCAATATGGTAAAGATTCTCTGTCATAAGAATTTGTAAATATTCTCTGTCACAATATTTCAATATGGTAAAGATTCGCTCTCTTACAATTTCACATTACTTTTGCTCTCATCATTTTGTTTCATGGGTTATTTCTAAAAGTCCAATAGTTCTGATTTTATTGCAGGACAATGATTTGATTTTTAAGAAAAAGTGGATGTCTCATTTTTCAATCCCAATGGATTTGGACATTTATGTTTGCCAAATCTTCAATAACATTTCAAACCAATGAACCAATGAAAAAGGGGCAAGTTAAAAGGTATAATGTTATCTGCTTAAAGGAATATTCCTTGCCAGACCCTTTCTCTCTTGATACGGTAGCTATAATCATATATATAGTTTCCATATTTAGCAAAACATGGGAAAATGTTTAATATGGTCTATATTGATCATTTAAAAATCTAGTGCTTATTTCCAGTGAGCTGCCATCTTTTAAGATTTCTTGCAGGAAGTGATGTCATCAACTCTCAACTTCTATAACCTTGCCCATAACAGTATAGGAAAGTAGCACAAAATCACTTCTAGACAAGTGATCATTACTTCCTGTGCAAAAATATTTTCAGGGCTTGTCAACTTAGAATAAAACAAGAGATTTTCAGAAGGATTAAATAAGATACAAAGTTGAAAAAGAATATTTAGCTGGTTTTGTAATTCTTAATAGCTCCTCACCTAATGCTATATGCAAAGTTGAGAGTCGATGACATCACTTCCTGTGTGAAATTTTAAAAGATGGCAGCTTACTGGAATTGAGCATCACATTTCTAAGTGATCAAATTTGACCATATCAAAACATTTTTGCGTGTTTTGCTAAACATGGCAAGCATATATATGGTTATAGCTACCATATGAGGAGAGAGATGGTTTGGCAAGGAATATTCCTTTAAAACAAGAACTTTTTTCAGTGTCTTACAATCATCCTGTGTATCTCAATGTTTGTCATGTTATTAAAGTTAAATAAATTAAATATTCTATAAATAATCTGTAAAGGAATGTTCTTCTTTTATATATGATTGCATATTTTTCATACATATAATACATACAGTACTACTACCATTATAAGAACCATAAGTGTATACACTGTATATAAAATTGGAAAATAGTTCACTTAGTCTAGCATAATACAGGGTGGGCCAAAAAAAACACCACTTTTTTTTCAAGACACTACAACTTTTTTATTTTCCAACCTACATACCTCAAATTTTGCAGTTATATAGTGCCAAGGGTTCTTAGCAATAATTTAATGTAACAAGTCATTCAACTTGGAATATATTTGATCTAAAAGGGGAGTTCAACTGGTCCGGCACCCTAATTGATGATATATTTTAGATTTAGTCGCCTTGCTGATATTTCAGTATCAATGAAATGTTAGCTAAGTTTTTTCCAACCTGTCTAAATTCCCAGCTTTAGTTGAGTAATTTTCTAGATTGGGTGCCTTCATACAATCTCCTGGAACCTTCCCATACCCTATACTCACTGGGGTTTGCAACAGGGCTATTAGCTTGGCAATCATCAGGCCGTATCAGTTCAGGAATATTTTGCAAAATTATGCTTATTTCTCATGAAAACCACATGTTTAAGTGAGACGCTGGTGACATATTTTATTCAAGTAAAACTGTATAATTTATGATCCATGGCTAGATAACAACCTCAAGTTTCATTTGGTATGCAAATTATGATTTAATATCAAAAATTGAAAAAGTTATAGCATTTTGAAAAAAAAGTGGCATTTTTTTTTGGCCCACCCTGTATATACCATATATGGTAATATGTATAGATCAGACCTTTTTATCCAAATATGTAATAATATCTTCATATCCACAACCTTTAAGTTTTATAATCTATAGTTTTTACTCCCAAAAAGGTGTCTCTCCTATAAGGCCTTAGTGGGTATTATAAGGCCTGTTTCCACTAGGTCCCCCAGCTTGTTATCCAAGAGATCATCACATAATCTTGAAACAATACACTTATGACATCAACGTGCTTTATAAGAGCTGCTTACATAGTCTGCTCACAATGAGATCAGACAATATTCAAAATTATTACACAATTCTATTTCCATCTGAGCTAGTCTTTAAGTCCGTGTATATACGCATCTCGGATTCACAAAGGTCCCATTATATCCATGTAAAATCCAAAATCACCACATAATCTTCATAGCTAATGATCAGTCATTATAGTTTTACTCCCAAAAAGGTGTCTCCCCTATAAGGCCTTAGTGAGTATTAAAAGGCCTGTTTCCACCAAGGCCCATCTCCATGTTGGCTTGTAACTAATTGTCAACAACAAACCAACAACTAATTGTCACTAAAATTACAAGCTTCTTTACCATAAACATCAACATCTATATATCCATCATTTAGGGCCAATTATAAAGTGCGACTGCTTCTCAGTGTATCATGATTCAAACTCAGTTACTAATAAATCCATACGTGATTTATCTTTATGCTTGAATGCTTCCGCAATAGCTCTAGCGCAATCCTTGTGCTCAAGTCCTACTAATCTTCGCCCATTCACCTCCAAGATCACATGACCCATTTTCAAGCCTCCTGATTCGCTGGCTGATCCTCCGGGCTGAAACATGTTCCATGTAAATGTTATAAATCATTGCATAATTGCATAATGTACATGAATGACATTTGTATATTTCAGATTTTTTAGTTTTTTGTGCAATAAGCCTGTGCCGTCTTGTAATTTGAAGAATTTCAGCCATGTTAATCTTATTGAAAATAACATGGCAGAGAAGCATCCAAATAAGAGGCCACACACTTTATAAGCCAAACTAGAAGCAATCCAAGATATACAAATGTCATTCAAGTACAATATTTTTCCATATATTATTGCAAAATGATATTTTTATTTTTTAGCTTTTACTGACGCAGTTAAACAGTGAAATGGACTCTAATAGGACATCTCTCATTTATATTAAATAAGATATGGTTTAATGAAAAAAGAGATCTATAAAATTAATATTATTTCAACTTGCAATTCATCAAGTGAAAAGTTAAAAAGCTGGATATTTTGCATTTCATCTTTCTCAAATCCTACAGTCACAATAGCCGAGTATAGATTCATAAATTAATCCATATACTCAAGGGGCGAGGAGGAAAATTCTCAATAAATGGTGTATAGTTGGTTTGGCAGCATTTTCAGTTAGGGGAGAGTCTTGGATGAAACTTCCACCTAGGTGATAGCTTCACAGAGTGGTAGGAAGTTCTTTTTTTTGAGGAGTTAGCCCCCCACCCCCCCAAAAAAAACCACCCTGGGAAAAAAATTGTTCACACTAAATAACCTTAGATATTTTGATGTTTGTAAGTGACATACATAGATATTATATATATGAATCACTTGCAGTATAATTGATGCTGATAACTCCTAAAAATTTTGAAAATTAGTACAAAGTATGTACCCCAGGGGGCAAATTCGTGACTCATTTTCTTACTATTTTAATTCTAACTTTTCAATTAGACACTGTAAGAGGCTGGAAAAATTCATGTGAAGTGCCCAATAGCAGGGTTAGTAACCCTGAAAGATGCAAAGCCATGGAAAAGGTAGGAGCTGAGAAAAAAATTGTTGATTTTTCGAAAAATTTGACATTTCTGACAGCTGGATTTTGTGTATGACTATAGCTGACCCTTATAATTTCTAGATTCATCCCTCTATGATGATATTTATGGTTTTATAGTGTGAAACTAAGATGTAAAACATAATTTAGATGGATTTTAAGGAAGTTAAAGGTTTTAAACAAGTCCAAAATTTGAAAAATTGTAAATATAAGGTTTCAAATTTACGAATTCCAGGTACATGTATAGCCATGGCTGACCCCTATAGTTTCTAGATCCATCCCTCTGTGATGATATTTATGGTTTTGCCATGTGGAACTAAGATGTAAAACATAATTTAGATGGGTTTTAAGGAAGTTAAAGGTTTTAAACAAGTCCAAAATTTGAAAAATTGTAAATATAAGGTTTCAAATTTACGAATTCCAGGTATAGCCATGGCTGACCCCTATAGGTTCTAGATCCATCCCTCTATGATGATTTTTATGGTTTTGCCATGTGGAACTAAGATGTAAAACATAATTTAGATGGGTTTTAAGGAAGTTAAAGGTTTTAAACAAGTCCAAAATTTGAAAAATTGTAAATATAAGGTTTCAAATTTACGAATTCCAGGTATAGCCATGGCCGGCCCCTATAGTTTCTAAATCCATCCCTCTTTGGTGATATTTATGGTTTTGTAGTATGGAACTAAAGATGTAGAACATAATTTAGATGGGTTTTAAGGAAGTTAAAGATTTTAAACACAGTCCAAAATTTGAAAAATTGTAAATATAAGGTTTCAAATTTACGAATGTTAGGTACAGCCATGGATGACCCTTATGGCTTTTTCATCCATACCTCTATGATGAAACATATATTTTTAGAGTGTGAAACTAAGAAGTAAAACATACCGAAGATGAATTTTAAGGAAGTTTAAGAATTTTAACAAGTGCAATGTTTGAAAAATTGAGAAATATCAGGTCTCAAAGGAGCACGGAAAGTATTGCAACATATTTCAGACAGTCATATGTTAGATTTGTCTGTTTCCTGAGGATTTAAGCAGGTGCATATGATAGGCCATTGCATTACCTACAGGAAAAGAACTCTTAGAGATGATAAAATAGTTTGGACTTTGAGACAGTGAAGGTGCAAACAATCCACCCACATGTTTTTTTCGGAAATGTTGTCCTGATTTTCAAGCCCTTTCACCCCTGCTTTTTTCAATTTTTGTTGCATCAATATGTTGCGTTTTGAGACATAGTTAACCCATAAAAAGGAATGATAAATTTCTTTTAGATAAAGCAGAAAACAATATTTTCCTGTTATTTTCCCATAGGGAAAACTCAGGTGCTCCATTACTTTCAGCTTAATTTTGGTCACCCATATTTGATATCTTTTAAACCCCTGATGGAATGCATTATTTCTTTAAAGGGGTTAACTGTGCATCAAAACACAACATATTGATGCATGTGGGTGGGTTGTTTGCACCCTGTCTCAAATAGAAATTATTTTATCATCTCTATGAGTGCTTTTCCTGGAGGAAATGCATTGGCCTAACATATGCACCTCCTCAAATCCTCAGAAAATAGCAAAAATCCAACATGTGACTGTCCTAAATCTGTTGCGATACTTTCAGTCCTCCTTTAAGATTTCAGGTTGTCTTGGATGTCTCTCTTTTTGAATGTATGACTTTTTAGCTTAGAAATTAGATGTTGAAAATCTTGTGGTCAGGTTTGATCCATGTTACAAGTATTGTTAAAAGAAAAATCATTAGAGTTGAGGACCTTACCCTAGAGTTCCTAAGGGGATGAGAGGTTAATGAATCCCCCCCCATCCCTAAAGTGTAACTGCTCTTATGGATATCGTATACAGTGTAGTAACTGATTGATTATATGGATTATAACTAATTAATTATTATTTGATGATATTTATTATGTGATATAGCATTTTTACTTTTTCACATCAACATGTTCGATGTAATGTTCTACATTGTCAAAATACATAAAGACATGGTTAATATATATATCTATATCTATATCTATATTTTGTTATGCCCATACTGTAATTAAGCAATGATCATCTCCTAATACAAAATATTATTATAAATTATCAAATTATAATCACTACACTCCCAATAAAACAACTTGTCATCTGAGGCAACAGTAATTATTTGGGAAAATAAGGATTATAAGGATCATACCCCGCTGGGCCTAGAAACTCCCGTTAGTGCAATGTGCAATGAGATTAGGAATTCCAGGGTAATAGGGTCTTGTCACACTAAAATCTTCATGTAGATCAAAAAAGTATATATGGTGATATATATGATCAATATGTTTCAAACAAACAGACATTGTAGAAAATGTTTACATACTGACTTTGCAGATGACATTTTCTAGCAGTTGAAGAATTTTTTACATTTATTGAAATGATAGTCATAAAATTAGAATATCAGTGTCATTGATGCAAATTACTGCAGTCCCATATGTTCTCCTACTGAATGTAAAAAGAGTGAATAAGTTTAAAATCAGCCTCTTCAAGAGTGGAATTTAACAGGGGATTTCAGTTATCATTTTCACAGATATTTAAGTTCTCTCCAATAGTTCCACTTAAAACAATCTTGACATTTGGCACATTTTTAGAATGCTGCTTTATCAAATTTCTTTGTAATCTTTGAAAATTTGTTTTATATGACTTGGCCAAAAGGTATTCATATTTTTAGGTAATGGTGTAATTTCTTCTTTGGATTAAAGTTCAGTAGGGGAAGCATCCATTCTTTGCATTCTTTCAGAATCCTTTACTGATGGGGACTACTAGGAGTCTAATATGAAATCTATTCTTTGGGCTCCTTTACTAGATTTGATGGAGTAGTCAAATATAGCTTTTCAAAACTCTCCAAATTTCATCATATAAGTTAATCTTAATTTTCCTTTTGTCATTGCCATTGCATCGATCACGAAAGTTTTATCAATTTGTGGTATGGTTTCATCGATCTCCATTTCAAACCCCTTTTCAAGTTCTGATTTTACAGATAGGATAGATGATCATTGTCAAAGAACTGTTTGTATCCATATAAGATCATGGTTTACTCACACATAGCTAGGCAACATGTGTCCAATTCCAGTCAATTCAATACTTCATATAACTGCATTCCAATTTACTACTCTCATAAACCCAAAGTCAATTTTAGATTCTAGAGAAAGTAATGAAACCAATAAGCTGATCAATTACATTGACTAAAAATCTATAAATAGCATCATAGGGAATAGCATGCCAAGTGCTTGAATTTATGTGGATTACTCATTTGGTAGACACCTTTATCAAATCTTAAAGTGTTGTTGATTTTCAAGTTGTACAAGCAAAGTGTCATGGGTGCTTTTTTTCCTGACATAGTATTAACATTGTGGTAAAAATTATCAAATGCGCCTAGTACAGTAGTTCTAGTTCATCATCTTGTATAAATGATATATCATCAGTGAAACCTGTATATCCCAACATCTGACTATTGTGAAAACCTACCAATCATCCCAACACCTGACTAATCTGAACACCAACCAATCTGAACACTTTTCCCAGTCCAAGTTTTCCTCCCATTGACTCCTATGTTTAAAAAATTGAAATCTGAACACCTTTTACTTCGAACAGTGAACACTCATATTTGAAAAATTAACCTGTCTAACTTGAACGCTTTTTACCAAATATCACATATTTCTTACAAATTTCCTCAAATATTGTCAGTTTAACACTGAATTGTTATGATATCAAAACTTTTGAATTGGATTTTGGAATGCTATGAAGCTTTTTATGTGGTTAGTATAAATATTATTAATATTTTTCATTGAGAATGCATTCAAATTTCTTCAAAATCCAGAACTTGTATTGTAGATGTAAAAACCTCAAAATTCAAACACTCCTAATTAGAATGCTTTTAGCTGGTCCAAATACCAGTAGCATTCAGATTAGAGAGATTTTACTGTAGTTCACGACTTTTCACTCCATCTATATGCAGCAGACTAACTGCTGCAACAGGTATATATTCTACACCTAGTCTCTAAGCTATGATATCACAGTTGTTACTATTATGCTCATAACCTTCAATTATCAGGGCTCATTCAAGGCTGTACCTGAATAATGTGAATTTGAGACCAATTTTGAGATCAATTTTTCAAATTTTGAACTTGTTTAAAACCTTTAACTTCATTAAAACCCATCTAAACTATGTTTTACATCTTAGTTCCACACTATAAAACCATAAATATCATCATAGAGGATTGATCTAGAACCTATAGGGGTCAGCCATGGCTATACCTGGAATTCGTAAATTTGAAACCTTATATTTACAATTTTTCAAATTTTGGACTTGTTTAAAACCTTTAACTTCCTTAAAACCCATCTAAATTATGTTTTACATCTTAGTTCCACATGGCAAAACCATAAATATCATCATAGAGGGATGGATCTAGAACCTATAGGGGTCAGCCATGGCTATACCTGGAATTCGTAAATTTGGAACCTTATATTTACAATTTTTCAAATTTTGGACTTGTTTAAAACCTTTAACTTCCTTAAAACCCATCTAAATTATGTTTTACATCTTAGTTCCACATGGCAAAACCATAAATATCATCACAGAGGGATGGATCTAGAAACTATAGGGGTCAGCCATGGCTATACCTGGAATTCGTAAATTTGAAACCTTATATTTACAATTTTTCAAATTTTGGACTTGTTTAAAACCTTTAACTTCCTTAAAACCCATCTAAATTATGTTTTACATCTTAGTTTCACACTATAAACCATAAATATCATCATAGAGGGATGGATCTAGAAATTATAAGGGTCAGCTATAGTCATACACAAAATCCAGCTGTCAAAAATGTCAAATTTTTCGAAAAATCAAAAAAAAATTTCTCAGCTCCTACCTCTTCCATGGCTTTGCATCTTTCAGGGTTACTAACCCTGCTATTGGGCACTTCACATGAATTTTTTCAGCCTCTTACAGTGTCTAATTGAAAAGTTAGAATCAAAATAGTAAGAAAATGAGTCACGAATTTGCCCCCTGGGGTACATACTTTGTACTAATTTTCAAATTCTTTAGGAGTTATCAGCATCAATTATACTGCAAGTGATTCATATATATAATATCTATGTATGCCACTTACAAACATCAAAATATCTAAGGTTATTTAGTGTGAACAATTTTTTTCCCAGGGTGGGGTGTTTTTGGGGGGTGGGGGGCTAACTCCTCAAAAAAAAGAACTTCCTACCACTCTGTGAAGCTATCACCTAGGTGGAAGTTTCATCCAAGACTCTCCCCTAACTGAAAATGCTGCCAAACCAACTATACACCATTTATTGAGAATTTTCCTCCTCGCCCCTTGAGTAATATGATTTCTATAGATGTCAGGCAAGTTGTTCTTGCATTTAATCAAACTGCTTTGGGGCTTTGTAACTCCCCCTTCATATACTGAACTTCCGTGACAGTGTCTCTATATACAATTCTTCTTTTTTAGCCAAAGGAAATGTCACAATGTGATTCCAGTAAAACCTGCCTAATTTGAACACCACAGGACCAGTCAAAACTGTTTAGATTGGCAAGTGTTCACATTTAGAGTTTTTTTGTCATGGTAATCTATGACAGAATAGAAAAATGGGACCTAATAATGGATTCACATTGATAAATCATTCAAATTAGAGAGTTGATGGGTTATACAGGTTTTCCTGTGTCTTAAAATACACCAATACAGTACCTGTATGTTAATTATTCTTGGTAGAGGTTGTTTAGTGTTGGCCCCACCCTCTATTGCAATACCTAGTGTTGGCTTTGTCTTGAACACAGTAACACTGATAGCATTAGAGTACAGCTCATCTTCATTAGGGAACCTGGGAGATCTCATAGTGTTTTCTTCCTAGAGTGGAATAAAGAGAATGGAATAATTAGAATGGAATAAATGAGATTTCTAATGAGATGTCTTGAATACAGTAACACAAATAGCATTTGAGTACAGCATTTGAGATCGCAAAGTGTTTTCTTCCTAGAGTGGAATAAAGAGAATGGAATAATTAGAATGGAATAAATGAGATTTCTAATGAGATGTCTTGAATACAGTAACACAAATAGCATTTGAGTACAGCATTTGAGATCGCAAAGTGTTTTCTTCCTAGAGTGGAATAAAGAGAATGGAATAATTAGAATGGAATAAATGAAATTTCTCATGAGATGTCTTGAATACAGTAACACTGATAGCATTGGAGCACAGCTCATCTTCATTAGGAAACCTGGAAGATCGCATAGTGTTTTCTTCCGAAAGTGGAATAAAGAGCAATTAGAATGGAATAACTAGAATGAAATGAATGGGATTTCTCATGAGATGTCTTGAATAAAGTAACACTGATAGCATTAGAGTACAGCTCATCTTCATTAGGAAACCTGGGAGATTGCATAGTGTTTTCTTCCTAGAGTGGAATAAAGAAAATGGAATAATTAGAATGGAATAAATGAGATTTCTCACGAGATGTCCTGAATACAGTAACACAAATAGCATTTGAGTACAGCATTTGAGATCGCAAAGTGTTTTCTTCCTAGAGTGGAATAAAGAGCAATTAGAATGGAATAATTAGGATGGAATTTTTTGATTTTTCATGAGATGTCTTGAACACAGTAACACTGATAGCATTAGAGTATAGCTCATTTTCATTAGGAAACCTGGGAGATTGCATAGTGTTTTCTTCCTAGAGTTGAATAAAGAGCAATTAGAATGGAATAATTAGAATGGAAAAAATGGGAACTTTTGTCACATTTCCAGAAAACATTGTACATCAATTTTTCATCCAGATTCCTCTACTTTCATTTGATGATGTCTTTTGCTTAATGAGCACATTTCTAGAAACGCTGTACCAAGAAAGTGGAAACCCAACAACGCAGACTAACAGCTGTTGCCGTGCCAGACAAGCTATAATGAATGACAATCGATTACCTTTTAATTTATATATAAATTAGTTAACACTTCTAAGAGGCTATGAAATTGGGAGTTAGGGATGCCAAACTTTTGGAGGGGAGTGTACACTCATTGACTTACATTTGGGGAATGTCTACGTAGCTGGAGCAATGTCTCACTGGTTTTCTTCTTGGTTTCAACACTTCCCTGTTGTTCCTTGGCCACATGCTGTAAAGGAAAAATGCATTGATTAGAGCACTCCAAATTTCTAATTACAAGCTACGTTGCGTTACTGAGTTGAGGACGGTGTCCAGAAATGAGTTGAGGATGGTGTCTACTTATCAACAGTAAGTGGAACATAAAGCTAGTAATAATTTCAGAAAATCATCAATTACCCCCTCCCCCTAACAAAATTAACGTTGTTTTTCCATAACTGTTGATAATTGAACACCATCCTTAATATGAATTGTTATTATTTTATGATGCATGGGATTTAAACAGAGAGGGGTTGGGTCGACATGGCAAGTTATTTTATCAACAGTAATTCACCAAGGCAAACTTGACAGACAATTATTCCAGAAATTCATCACAGATCATAAATTGGTTTTATGCTGTTTATTGCATCCTTCAAGATCGGTCCTTCACTGCTTTCATAGCAGATCATGTATAATAGAATAATGTAATGCAATGAATTACTCTTGGGCCAAGGATGGTTTATTGGATTACATGAGTGTTCTTGATTAAAATATAAATTATCTGCATTATATGTATGTAATTACTATCTTTAATAATTCACCACTCTAGTAATGATACATGGTTATGCTGGTATATGCATTGATTTGGACATTCAAAGGGATGGAAAAAATTGGGGGCAATCTTTTAAAAATCATTATATCCCTATTCTCTGAAAAAAGGGATATCTTTCAAATAGAGAAATTATTGAACATCTAAGATACAAAAATGTCTGGCAAAAAATTGTTTCATAATCATGAAGTTTTCACCATTATTATGCCATATGGACATTACTTTTGTAATTCCTTTATTAGAAGCATGGGCAAAGAATATGTTTTGAACAATGGTGAATAATGGTTTGAACAAATAAGTGTTCACATTTCAAGATTTCTGAATAAGTGAGTCATAGAGGGGAGGATCTGTAACAAAACTGGGACCAATAAAAAAATTCACATTGAGAGGTGTTTGGACGGATTTTACTTAAATAAATATATACTTACATGTAAAGGATCACTGAAATTTTTCTTTCTTTTCTCATCAAGTTTGTTTGAAGATGTGGTCTGAAAATAAACAATCATAAAACATAAGAACAAGGCATTCACATGCAAAACTCTCACCACCTGTCATTTGTTACAGAGACGGAACACCAAGCCCCAAACACCAACCACCAAACACTAATTGCCAAACACCATCCACAAAAAAGTTTGAGACTATTACAATATGACACCACTTCTGGTGGCATAAAAACTTTATTCTTAAAAATTTAGGAATAATACAGAATTAAGAAGGCGGATGTACATATGCCTCAGTATTTATTGAATGACCCTCGTAGGTACATATTCACAGGTTTCCATCTCCACTACTGTACTGTATATAACAAACACCTCACTTAATATTAATATATACAAGTCTATAGAAACACAGCTGAAGGTGTTAAAACAATACAGACATGTTTGCATTGAATATTGTCAACAATAAAACACATTAATCAACTTTCGTATAGTTTGGAGTAGCATTTTCAAGTGATACTAAAAGTGAAAACATGTCATACCAAAAAAGATGTGTGATGTTTGATTCATTTGGCGCATACATACACGAAAGGATGAAATTGCACTCGCCCATAAAAATTAAAGTTATCTGTTGTTCTTAATTTTTTCTTAAGTCATTAATAAAATGAATGAGAAAAATTTTACATTTGAGATGTTATCAATTAAATAATGAAAAAAATCTTAAAATTGAGATTATTAAGATCTTTGTGTAATCAAATCAACGAAATTATCTGGTTCATTCAGAGTGTTGAAGTATGATTAGTTTCAAGGAATCCAGGGTAGTCAGATTTTAAGTTCTGCATTTGATTGCTGTATATGGTTGCCTTGTTCGATTGATTACACCAGAACAAATATTAAGACAAGACCGGATCAATATATACTTATCTGGAACATAAGACCTCTATATACACACTATATCAGTATAATATATTCAATTATATATAGGATGCATCCGAGAGGTGCTAAAATTAACCTTCTGTGTTAATTAATTGGCTAGTTTTACATTCCTTGTGTATAATAAAATAATGAATATTGTTACTTAATTATCTATCTGATAGATGTAAGTTATTGTGATGTAAGTATAGCTTATAAGCAATGTTATGTCGCTATTTGGTATTGTAAATTATATTGCAAGATTTCTACATGTTCATAGATGGGTATTGCATACTACTAAGGTCCTCTTAGAACATAAAAAATTGTTTCAAGCAAGGAGAGTCATCCTTTTAATGCAGACCTCCAGACATCATCTAATATGTTCCTTGAAGAAGGTAGGAACAAAATGATGAAATCTAGAGCCCTGCATTAATAATAGGAAGATGTGACTGGTGCCATGCCCATAGCCAGCTTTGGCACGGGGGGTTCACTTTCCAAAAATTTCCAGGGGAGTTTACATTAGACACCTTTGACCGAATATGACTTGTAAGTGCTGAAATGTTGAAAATGACATGAGTTTTAAGAATTTTTGTCTTAGGGGATATTTTCTTGCATACCCTAAACCTCCTCCCCTCCCCCAAGGCTAAAAGCCTGGGAGCCCTGTATTTGAGGGAAGATGCGACTTGGAGCCATATCTGTCTCTTATGAATAACAAAAACTGCATTAATTTACCTGAAGTGAACTGATGTTGTCATCATCCTTTTCTACTCCATTTTTATTAACTTGGGGTCTTGGAATTTTAAATGGCTCATAATCCAGGCAACTATCCATGATGTAATTATTTACTGTATATCCACTCTTAATCACTTATAATTATCAATCATACAGTATTACAGAATCATCTCAATTACCATTATTCGATTGATACATATTATTCCAATATCAAATTCTATATCTTTATTTGTTCATTCCATGGATCCAATAAGGCAAGGTAATATAAACATATCTGGCAACCTCGCTAGTGTCAATCATTTAATTCTGAGATTGCAATTTTATGTCTTTGGAATATTTAGTCATTTTGCAATATTCCATGTTAGTGTCCAGGTTGACAGGAATCCTAAGTTTTATATCACAGATACAATTGATTTCTTAATCTTGACAATCCATATTGTTCCTCACGATAATCCAGATTCAATGAGGTAATAACTCATAAGTGCATCAACGCCTAAGTGCATCAATGCCTAAGTGCATCAACGCCTACTTTTATATTTGTTTAATGAGTTTTTACATATATGTACACAGAGGTGACATTTTATGCAATACAAATATGTAGATGTCAGCTGAGTCTATTCATCATTATTATGACTTCATATCCATTTGGCTCACTCCATTTTCATGCAAACTAGATTAATCAAAAAATGCGATGTCATCCTTACACCTTTTCCGACAATCCTTTACTCGATTGTATACTTATGCTAATCAAACCAATGTCATGCATATGCTTTGTATCGTTTTCATCACGCTGTTATTGCCAGGACATGACTGATATTACCAAGTACATGATCTGATAATATTCAATCTTGCCTCATCTGATAGCATTGCTTAAAGTCAACCTTGTCTGATCTAAAAGTCAAGCTTGTCTGATCTAAAAGTCAAGCTTGTCTGATCTAAAAGTCAACCTTGTCTGATCTTAAAGTCAACCTTGTCTGATCTAAAAGTCAACCTTATCTGATCTAAAAGTCAAGCTTGTCTGATCTAAAAGTCAAGCTTGTCTGATGTAAAAGTCAACCTTGTCTGATGTAAAAGTCAAGCTTGTCTGATCTAAAAGTCAAGCTTGTCTGATCTAAAAGTCAACCTTGTCTGATCTTAAAGTCAACCTTGTCTGATCTAACAGTGAACCTTGTCTGATCTAAAACACAGCTTTGTTTGATTTAAAAGTCAATCTTGACAGATCCAAAAGTCAAGCTTGTCTGATCTAAAAGTCAAGCTTTTCTGATCTAAAAGACAACCTAGTCTGATCTAAAAGTCAACCTTATCTGATCTAACAGACAACCTAGTCTGATCTAAAAGTCAACCTTATCTGATCTAAAAGTCAAGCTTGTCTGATCTAACAGTGACCTTTGTCTGATCTAAAAGTCAACCTTGTCTGATCTAAAAGTCAACCTTATCTGATCTAAAACACAACCTTGTCTAATCTAAAAGTCAACCTTGTCCGATCTTAAAGTCAATTTTGACAGATCCAAAAGTCAAGCTTGTCTGATCTCAAAGTCAAGCTTTTCTGATCTTGAAGTCAACCTTGTCTGATCTAAAAGCCAACCTTGTCTGATCTTATACTTCACCTCAACTCAGTTCATCCCTTTATTTCACCTTGCAATTTAAATTATGTACAGATTTGTTGAGGGAAACCATATTCCAATGCAATTCCTCTCGCTTAGACTTTCTTTCTATTCATGCTTATTTCATGTTATTTCTCCCTAAAATTTGAATGACAAGCCTAAATTTCTTGCATTTTTATACAATTTAGAATCTGCACTATATGCCTGTTTCTTCTATTCCTCTCTAATTTCGCTCTTTTTCACTGTATTATGCATTTAAAATACACCTATCGTGACATTTTTCTCGTGGATTTTGCTCTATATTTCATCATTCCTCTCATTACATACCCTCATGCCTATACACTGTATTATTACCTCCAGTTGTACTTACAATGAAACAAATCATCCAAAAGATATCACAACAATTTTGCTTATTTCAATCATTTTTCAAAAAAATTTGAATAAAGTACCCAAAAATGTGGTCATAATATAGAATTTAATGTCTGGAGTTTATCCCTTTATACTTCATTTCTTGTATATTCCTCTATTTCCTACTGATATTGTTCATGAAAAATCATGACCGCAGATTTATAATTTGTAGAGGAAATTATTGATATCCATTACGTGGTGAATAAATCAGACACAAGAGCATTTATTGCACTTCAGCTTTCAGGGTATATAATGTATATAGGTATAAGTTAAAATAGAGTTGCTACCCTTGCCAAGAAGCAATTTCATCTACACTCTGAAAATCAGAGATGATTCTTTAAACTAGCTTTATCCATTCAGATTTCAGCAAAACAAGATTATCATTTGCACTATAGGTCTCAGGTATATAATGTACACGTCCAATAGAGTTTGCTACCCTTGAAAAGAAAAAGCTTCATCTGTACTCTCAAAATAAGAGATGATTCTTTGAACTCAATTTTGTCTAATCAAATGTTAGGAAAACAGATGTTTTCTGCCAGTAAGTAACTTTTATTAATTTCACATTCAAACTCCTAAAAGCTGCCCTGTTAACCCTCACGCGTTAGGCGTGATTGTCACGCATTTGCTGGAAAAATAGAAATCACGCATCAATTTAGCGTGTATGATCAAATATCACGCAAATCACACATTTTGTTGATAATTTTAAAAATTGTTTTTTGTGAAATGCCGATACGGTAAAATACCGAACGGCGAAAAAAAGCGAACGCATTCCCCCTCATTGACGGATTTGAACAGCGAGCTGGAAAAATTTTAGGTGTCCAAAATCGGCCAGTGTTCACTGAAGCTGTCGCAAAAGTTTGAAGGAAGGTGTTCAACATTTGGAAGTCACTCATGTTAGATGGTCACAAGTTGACAGCCCTGTAAAAGCCACATTATGACAACGTGTGGTACTTAGTACAAGAGACAATGTCTGCCATCTCTAAGCTCTGGGGTTTTCCCTCCTCTTATTTGGATAGGTAAATAATTGTATACAGTACCCATAACCCATGAATTGATTACAACATTACACAGTTCATTGATCGAGTAGATGAACCCACTTTGCACAATCAAAACAAAATTAATGAAAACTGCTTGAACAATTTTCCGATTAATATCAGCTGTAGAAAATGTTGGCAACCTGTGTAGATGATTTCTAATATCATCTGTAATAAACAAACTATGTATATTGATTGGCTTAATTCAAACTGTAAACAGAAAGCTTTTTTATTGCATTGAATTGGCAATAAGCATTCCAGTTACCATAGCAACTGATTGAAATGACAACTTCATTACATTCCACTGCAGAAATATGATGATTAAATATTCTGTATTCTACCTTAGGGTAACTAACCGAATGCTCAAAATGAATTGTTGGTCTATATAATTATACAATAATTATGATGTATCTCTTTTTTGATGTAAACTTTGCTTATTTCTGAAAACTGAATTTTCCGAAAGTGTCTCTAACAATTGAATGTATATCATCCTTAGAATTATTGAAATTTATATTTTCCAGAGCTTAAATAAATGTATTGATATAAAACAAATCCATGATAATTAAATACAGGATACACCATTCTATATTTTGTAAGGTAACTTGTCCTCTCTGGGTGACATTGCACAGCTAGGTAGCAAGCAATCTATCAGACACTACCCTTGGCAAGACTGGGACTTAATTAACTCTTTAAGAGAGCCTAGAACATTAGGCTTTGAATATGAGAATTATTTGCAAAAAGTTTAAATGCTGATCTAAATGTACCCGTAATTCGCTGTTTTTGCATTTAAATATTCAATGAGAGTCTCATTATGAAATGAATGTCATGTACTCCAGTGAATGCTATTCTAAGTTCTTATCTTGACCATATTCTCAGTTTCCTGATTGGTTAAGGCTAGACTAAAGGATTATCTCCAACTCAAAGAGTGCAGATGAAGATGTCTCCCATAGAGAGGCATAATCAATCTATGGTATTAGAAAGGGTAAATCAAACCAAATCAAAAGTCAGAAAATGACTCTTCAAAATATTATCTGATATCATGAGTTCAGTAAGATCCTTAAAGCAACAATACTTTAAAATCATCTGGGATAGTTAGAGGGATGTGTGCCTGACTGATGATGATTAAGGGTGACATTGTATAACTGTGAGGTAGCATCTAATAAGCACTCAGGTAAAACCAGGTAACATCACTATTCCCCTTTCAAAAAAAACTCAAAGAATTGTATACTTTTTGTGCTCTTCAGATACTCTGGGAAAACAGGAGGATACAGGAAATCACTAATTTATGGAACATTTGTAACGAGAGATCAACCGAGTTGGTTGCCTTATCTGCCTTGAGAGAGAATTTTACAATGTAATGCTGGAATTATTTGGAAGGTGTTACACCTACATAATGTTCTACCTTCCCATTATTATAAGGGTGTAATTTGTGATGATGTCAGCTGTCAAACTATACTTACATTGCTATTGACATAAATGACTAGCAATTTCACTGCTCATAACTATAGCTTCTACATTTCTGATAGACATTTTCAAATTAGGACTCGTGAGAAAAATTGTTGGTTTCTTTGACAGGCCTCTTAGACTTCCACTTACACGATCATCAGTTTCGACTTCGCAAACTGTTTCTTCCAAGGTTCTCACAATGCGAATAGCGAGAGAACGTAGTTCACAAGGTCGGAACTGATGATTGCGTTAGTGGAAATCTTGGAGGCCTGTTTTACCATGATATAAAGTTAAACAACTCAAGTTAAACAATTCAATCTATTCTGCCCACCTTAATGCCCCTTTCAGTAATGGACATCAAAACTGGACATCAAAACTGACTATAGTCACTTTTCAGAGGTCAAACAAAACATGACCTAACCTTTATATTTCACCAATGACCTATTTCACCTTGACCTTTAGAATTTAACGTTTCAGGTCCAAGAGATCAATCTGACCTTCGTTTGAATCTCTCTGATAAATTATTTAACAAGGTATACATGTAACTCTCATAATAACACTGCTGCATAAGCCTGACATCTTTCCAAAGAATTTGAAATTAGAAATGTACTGTACTAGTTGGTTTCAGCATTGAAGTTCCTGTTACCTCTCTGCATCAAAGCCAGTGAATAAATAATACCATAAATGAATTTTACTTACTTTGTTGGTTATTGCAAGTTTATACTCTTATTGGTAATTCAAACATGTATGTTTCTTGACAGTTGGTAGTCTTTATGAAGAGCTGAGCTGCCAAAAGAGATATTGTAAAAATCCAATACACACCTTTTCCTATTGAAAATATTGTAAACTTACCCCAGAATTGGTAGAACTTTCTGTCGTAATGCTATCAATACTTCTTCTTCGTTCAGGTCTGTATTTTGGAATGACAGGATCTGTTGTGGCCATAGAAACTGACGAATCTGTCCCATCAGGAAATTCATAGTCGGGAAATGAATCGTTGATTGTGATTGGCTGTTTTGGAGATATTGTAACCCTAAAAGTAAAAGTCAACTCATGAAGACACCGAAAATAATTTGGTTAAAACATTTGGATATGATTAGTTAATTATACAGAAGCGTCATGGAGAAGTACTACAGAAATTTAAGTTCATTTTTAGAAAACGTATCATAAGATCACCATTCCATCTTGGTATGACTGAAGGAATACACTGGTTTAACAGTTATGTCATTAACCCACAACTTCCTAATGAAATCCTAATGAATTTTGACTTTCTTTACATTTCCTGATGAAAACTGACATACTGACTAGACCCTTATCTATTTGCTAAATAAACGGTAAATTACAGTAAAATATGAAACTCTTTCCTGACCCACTGGTTTATAAGACTACAGTTTCAGTATCCTAGGGATGTGTTCAGAAGCTATTGCAGGTTTTATTGGAAGCAATAAAAATAAAGTAATGAAAACGAACTACACTCAAAAATTCATCATACAGTTTGGAATAAATTAAATGACATATCCCCATATCCAAACCATGGTGTTTTGAAAGCCCTATAGTCTCAAATATTTTGTATACTGTCATCCACTCATGCATGACCTCTTGAACATTTTCTTACATGCTTTATGTCATCAAAAGGGATGTTATTCTCTAGTTATATCTAGCACATTTAGAACCTGAATGACCCGAATGATGTGTATACATGTAAAGAGTCATTCTGGATTTAATACATGAGAATCATTTTGTATTTAATGTTATATTCAATCACTGACAACAAAAAATACAAAGTACATCATTGTTAAAACATGCAAATGATAACTGGAAACAAGGCACAGGACGTGAACGAGATCACACCATCAAATAGGCAGACACTATGAACCAGGAAAACTGTTCTCCTATTATGTTTACAAATTTCAAGAACAAGAAAAAAATGTTGGCTGTGGTCATATTAATCACATCACATCTCACATCTTGAGCTAAAATTTAAGGCAATATGACAAAGTGGATTGTTTTCGATGAGAAGATTTATTGAAAAACCTTCAAAATGGCCGCCAGAAAACAAAATGGCCACCCAAAATTTAAAAGTTCTAGAACTTGATATCCCCTATCATGTACAGGAAATCTGATGAGCGGTTTTCCTGAAATGGCGATGACAAGATTTTTCGAAAAACCTTAAAAATGGCCACCAGAAAACAAGATGGCCGCCCAAAAGTTTATCAGCTCTAGTACTTGATATCCGCTATCCTCTGTGCGAATTTGAAGGAAATCCGATGAGCGGTTTTCCTAAATTGGCGATGACAAGATTTTATCGTAAAAGCTTCAAATGGCCACCAGAAAACAAGATGGCTGCCACAAAGTTAATCAGCTCTAGTACTTGATATCCTCTATCATGTGTGTAAATTTGAAGGAAATCCGATGAGCGGTTTTCCTGAAACGGCGATGACAAGATTTTTCAAAAAACCTTCAAAATGGCCACCAGAAAACAAGATGGCTGCCCAAAAGTTAATCAGCTCTAATACTTGATATCCTCTATCATTTGTGTAAATTTGAAGGAAATTCGATGAGCGTTTTTTCTGGAAAGGCAATGACAAGATTTTTCGAAAAACCTTCAAAATGGCCACCAGAAAACAAGATTGCCGCCCAAAAGTTAATCAGCTCTAGTACTTGATATTCTCTATCATTTGTGTAAATTTGAAGGAAATCCAATGAGCGGTTTTCCTGAAATGGCGATGACAAGATTTTTCGAAAAACCTTCAAAATGGCCACCAGAAAACAAGATGGCTGCCCAAAAGTTAATCAGCTCTAGTACTTGATATCCTCTATCATTTGTGTAAATTTGAAGGAAATTCGATGAGCGTTTTTTCTGGAAAGGCAATGACAAGATTTTTCGAAAAACCTTCAAAATGGCCACCAGAAAACAAGATTGCCGCCCAAAAGTTAATCAGCTCTACTACTTGATATCCTCTATCATGTGTGTAGATTTGAAGGAAATCCGATGAGCGGATTTTCTGAAATGGCGATGACAAGATTTTTCAAAAAATCTTCAAAATGGCTGCCAGAAAACAAGATGGCCACCCAAAAGTTAATCAGCTCTAGTACTTGATATTCTCTATCATTTGTGTAAATTTGAAGGAAATCCAATGAGCGGTTTTCCTGAAATGGCGATGACAAGATTTTTCGAAAAACCTTCAAAATGGCCGCCAGAAAACAAGATGGCCACCCAAAAGTTAATCAGCTCTAGTACTTCATATGCTCTATCATCTCTGCGAATTTGGAGAAAATCTGATGAGCAGTTTTCCTTAAACGGCGATGACAAAAAGCGGGACGATCATGATCACAATCACAACCACGATCACGACCACGACCACGATCACGACCACGATCACGACCACGATCACGACCAGTATCAGCTCTACTACTTGATATCTTCTATCATGTGTGTAAATTTGAAGGAAATCCGATGAGCGGATTTTCTGAAATGGCGATAAGATTTTTCAAAAAATCTTCAAAATGGCTGCCAGAAAACAAGATGGCCACCCAAAAGTTAATCAGCTCTAGTACTTGATATTCTCTATCATTTTTGTAAATTTGAAGGAAATCCAATGAGCGGTTTTCCTGAAATGGCGATGACAAGATTTTTAGAAAAACCTTCAAAATGGCCGCCAGAAAACAAGATGGCCACCCAAAAGTTAATCAGCTCTAGTACTTCATATGCCCTATCATCTCTGCGAATTTGGAGAAAATCTGATGAGCAGTTTTCCTTAAACGGCGATGACAAAAAGCGGGACGATCACGATCACGACCACGATCACGATCACGATCACGACCACGATCACGACCAGTATGACGACTATATCCCACCGATGGTGTGATAAAAACATTAAAATACCCCAATTATGAATTATGAAGCTTTTGTATTGTTTTGAGCACTTTTCAAAGAAGAGTTTGAATTATATATTGAGTTATATTCTTTCTTGTGATATATGTCAATAGGTAAATTGCATTAAACTCAATTTCATTATTGCACTTTAAAAAACAAAACAACAACAAATAAACACAAAGCACAATATGTTTTACAGTTGTTATCCTAAAACACAATTAACTTTTACAATTTCAAGCTCATTCAAAAACAGTGCGTGGAGTCAGCATCTAGAAGCGTGCGAAAGGACACATGATTAAAACATGTACGGAAACTGAGTGATAAATCAACCCCAGCATAAGTACTTAGCTTATAAATCGTGAATGCAACTTTGGCTCTTGGTTACTGGATTAACCTATCATTTTATGGGCAACTAAATATGAATAGTATCTGCCAGTATTATCCATTCATATTTAAATGACATATCATAAAATAGAAGATTAATCCGGTAGCCAACAGCGATTATTTGCATTTGTGAAAGTTAGCAATTGCATCTTTATTGCAAGAGGCGAACAGATTTTCAAACAAGGTATGAGAGTTCTTGATTTTGAACAAGATGCATGCAGCATCCAGTTATTATGGAGATTATTTGGTTGATATACCACTAGGTTTGGATCAGGTGTCAAGCAAAATCAAACAAATTTCCCACCACCAACCTTTTCATTCGTCGACCCGAAGGAGTTCTAACAGCGGCACTAAGAAAACATATAAACAATATTTAATGTGCCATCGTCAGCATTGTAATGTGACATAGAAGGTGAAATAGAAGGTGACATCAAAAAAGTGTATTTTAAATTCATAAAGTCAATGTTTAATTTGACTGTTAAGTTATTATGCTGAATAAAGATACATGTAATATAACTTTGTATGTTAGGGAGTTTTGACTGAATAGATTTTTAGGTTAGGACATTTTGGACTCTAAAGATAGCTTAAAGTTTCAGTACTGTGGGAGGATTCAAATATTTACAAGATCAATGTTTTTCTTATGATGCAAAATACTTACTCATCTGGTGATGGGCTAGGAGAATACTTTTGTTGAACTTCTGGCTGAGAAGTGGCACCATGAGGAGACTGTTGCTTATAATCCACATCAACAGATAAAGGGGATGGGGTTCTGGTAATGGGAGATGGAGTTCTGTACATTGTATATGATCCATCCTTAGAAGTTGATGGCCTAGGTGATGGTGCCCTTGGGGAAGGTGCCCTAGGTGATGGTACCCTGGGTGGTGGTGGTACCATCTGTGGGGGTACCATTTGTAGTGCTCCTCTGGTGTTAATTGTCTTAGGTGGCACTATTGGTTTAGCTTGCACTTTTGGAGGCGTGACTTCCATCATTTTGGGCAGAGTAGTGTTTGGAGTAGTTTCCATTGTTTTGGGTGGAGTAATATTCCGAGTTGTTTCCACTGTTTTGGGTGGAGTAATATTTGGAGAATGAGATCTGGGTGATGGCGTTCGGGATATATTTGGGGAATGTCTCAACAGTTGAACTCCCCCATTGTTCACTTCAGGTGGTTCCAATGCTTCAATGTTAAACTGTAGTGTATGTGTACTTCCAGGCGTTTGTATCACACTCGATTTATCAATATGTTTATCACTGAGAAATTTTGATTTTTCTTTCGCACCACCATTTTGGTGCAGTGTTGCATTCTGGGAGGTATTGTTTTTCATAAAGTGTTTTGTTGTCTCCATAGTGATTCTCCCTCGTGGGGAAGTGTTATTTTCCCCGCTAGAATGTCCATTCATTTCTACACCACTATCTTCACTTGGACTTTTCGGTTCATCATACTGAGCCTGAAAGTGGAGTTAATTACTTTTACAATGTATTTCAATCTATGAAACATATTTGTTATTGTAAATGTATTGTTATCTTCTAAACCATACATGTTCCAGGCTGCGGGAAATATACTGAGGGAAAGGTGAACATGTATTTACCTCATATAATGGAATATTTGGTAGATATTTACTCTTGTGGATAAAAATGATGTGCCATTAGATAAAATTTCAATTTATTACTATTAATATGTTATTCTTACATGTTAGGTACTGCATATAAAGATTATGTAACTCAGAATATATATTCAGAATAAATATTGTAGATTATTTATTTGTATTATTTATCTATATGTGACCTTATTTTCAAGTTCTCAAAAAATTCTTGAATGTTTTTTATCGCTGAACAAATATTACATCCCTACAACTTGAATAATTGTACAAACCCTCTGGTTAACAGTGCTACTTCTTGGCTGAGAATGCACCTCAGCAACAACAACATTTCTTGGAGATCTCGCCCGTGTTTTGACCCCATTTTGGTTCACTTTTACAGCAGGGGGTGGGGGAGGTGGAATTTTTGGCTTTTCTATCGATGATTTTTTCGTTGTTTTTAAATTTTGTTGCATCTGAAGTTTTGAGCGTTTTTTGATGCGAGGAGGGGCTATAGGATCAAGCACATCCTGAAAATAGCATTGTTTGACAATTTTGTTACCAACAAATATCCGATTTGAATCCAGAAAACTTCCTTGCCATGTAATGTTGATAAAATATTGATAAACACAAATAAGTAAGACATGCATGATCAAAATAAATATGTATCAACTTGAAATAAAAAATGTTTGTGCTTCTCGTAGGAAAATTCAAAATCAAACAAAATTATCAAGATATTTATATATTTTTTATTGTTCAACATAAAAAAATCATCTCGACCTTTGAGATAAATAAATGAAAGATAAGAATTCAGCAAATTATTATATTAAATACGACACCCCTTCGTTATATTTTGTTGTATTCAAAACTTACATCTTTTATGTATTCTGGGAGGCCCTCTGAGTCGTCATTAATCTGCTGGATGGCAAGCAATAGAGGGTCGCCATCATCTTCATCTTTAAACTGTGCACAATAAATATAAATCAGTGAAATGTGAGTGTATACTGTGTAAAGAATTTTGCAGTTTTTACAAAGTGAACAGTCATGTTCATTCATTCATTCATAATAAGTTGATGTCCTGAAACGTTGTAAATACAAATTAAAATAAAATAACAAAAGTTGATTTTGAAAATAAAAGTGGTGGTATATGATGCAAATGAATAATGAAATGATGACAAAGTGCATTTGTTTTAACTTAAAATTAAATAAACAAGAATGCTTAAAATGGTTCAGGTTTCCACAATCACCTCATTCAAGCAAATTTTTACACATTTCAAGTCCTCCTCATCTGATCTAATTTTATACAACCCATTTTAATCTCATTTAATTCGATCATAATTTCGACCCGGTTTAAACATTTGTGACAATTCTACGTCCCCCTTTGTTCTCAATTATCACTTTATATAGTCTAACTAAGAAACTAGTTATTTAAATACTGGTTGAATCCCTGTAATGTTTGCTAAATACTTGGTGAAATGTTTACTTGAAGTTTTGTTAACTTTGCTTGGTAAAATTTGATTACCTTGCTTGGCTTGGTGAAATGTTTACTTAGATATATGTTTACTTTGCTTGGTGAAATGTTTAATTTGCTTAGTGACATGTTTATCTTGCTTGGTGAAATGTTTAATTTGCTTGGATATGTTTACCTTGCTAGGTGAAATGTTTAAATTGCTTGGATATATGTTTACCTTGCTTGATGAAATGTTTAATTTGCTTGAATATATGTTTACCTTGCTTGGTGAAATGTTGGTTGGTATTGAGGGGGCTGCCACCAGGATGGGAGGGGGAGGTATATATTCTATTGAATCCTGGAAAAATTATAAAATAATAGAAATAAATATATATAATAGGCTTTCACCAACTCCCTGGTCACAGTTGATATAGGCAATAACATATGGGCTTAATGTAAGTCTAAATAAATAATAATTTTTACAAAAAAATAAAAAATGCAATTTTAAATTGCAGATCTATTTTTCCCAAGGTTGTCTAGGTGAACTTGATTTACATCTTGACCTCCCAATGAAAAGAAATAGTTTAGGTGGCAAGGAAAATGCATATGGGTATTGAAATGCCATTATATAGTTTTTCCTTTCTTTCCCAATTATATTGATATTTGACCCAGAAGAGTAACAATCTAAGTACAGTAAAATCTGTCTAAGTGGAACATCTTTGGTACCGCTAAAAAGTGTTCCACTTGGGAGGTGTTCCACTTATAGAGGTGTTCCACTTTACAGATTTCACTGTAATATTTCTTATTTTTTATTTTGGTGTTGCTTACCATTACTGAGCTACTACTCAGGCTGTTAGTAGAGAGGGAACTGTCAAGTGAATTCTCCGACATTCTATCACCAATAGGGGGAGCTGGATTCTTTCCCTATATGAAAAATAAAGAGAAGTTTTACCAATGTTAATCATGTTATCATGATTTTATCTTAAATCTACTATTCCTCTGAACTGTGGAAAGAAAGAACAATTATTTGTCTATAAATGCTGTACATGGCAGAAATAATCTAATTTCAAAGCAACATCTTGAATTAGAGAAAGAGTTATAGCATGAAACTAAAATGACTGTTTCTTTTTCATTTTAAGCAATTTCATTTCCTCATTTTTTCTCTCAAAGATCATGATGAAAGATTCATTATAAAGTATGTGTACATTAAGATTCATATTATAAAGTATTTTAGGTTTTTATATTGCTTTTTGTGTTTCACATATGTGTGCATGCAAAAATAATTTAATTGAAAAGAATGCGTGCACACAAGATTAAATGTATGAACAACAATAGTGACAGTAAAAGAAACAAAACAGTTAAGGAAAAAAGTTGATGTTGAATCACAATAAAGCTTTAATGTGAATACTTGTCTTATGCGAACACTTCAAATGTGAACAGTGACTGCATCTTTATAAGAGTACTTTGACAAGCTTAACCAGAATGAGGAAATCAGAGATGGTGTTTCATTCAACGAAGTGCCCACTTTTACACAAATGAAATGAATTGGATGTATAAGGGGAATAAGGTGCAAGCAAAAATGTTAATAATTATCAATTTAATTCAAAATAGAGACAGTTTTTAAAATACATGCAATGCAGATTTTGATGTTTACCCTTGAGATCTTTTTACTCCTCTGATAAATCAAAAGATAAATTGATGTTATCATAATGCATATGTAATTTTGTATGCTTATATGTTTTTTAATTGAGGGAGCATTTCAAGATAATATAACAGATATTAATAACCAATACTAATATACTAAAATGATTCAACTGTATTTCCATATCAACATCATTCTGGTATGGCATATATTTTCCCTGATTCTCATCATTGGATGTTTTTACCCCCCCTCCCTAAACGAACATTTCATCTTTCTGATCCACCAAATGTCTTACCTTCATGGCCGCAACTTCTCGCTTGAGGACCATACTGTCAAACTTGTCAATGTCTCGGGGTAGGATTATGCTTCGGATTTCTGAGAGGAGTGTAAACTGGAAGAAATAATACATTACAAAAATGTAATATGTAACAATGGGTTACAGACTCTGGTGACCCATGATACCAATATCAAAAATTGGTGACAAGAACAGTGTGGAACCATTGCAATGTTGTCATTGTGACATAAAAAAAGTTTTTTTGACAAAACAAGAAGCCAAGTGTAATTCTTTCTTTTTACAATAAATCCAAGTTCTATTTTCCCAAAATATCTCTCAGTTCCAATATACAATATACATAATATGTGGGTAATACAGATTTAAAATACAGTCTAAAATTTTACTCACTTTAGCATGTGTATTGAGTAACTCTAATAGCGCCATAACAATCCCTTCTACAGGAATAAGTCCCTTTTGATACTCTGTCACATAATAATTCATTGTTCCTTTCTCGTTCTCATTTAGCAACAACCTAGCCTGCTCCTGGATCATCCCCCAGTGTTGACCACTCATAGAGCTGTTTAACATTAACTGCGAACCTGCTCCCTTTTGGAAAATGGGTTCTGATTTGGAGCTTCGCATACTACTATCCAGTGGTGAGCTAGTGAGGTTAAATTTAGTATCACTGGAATGAAATAGAACAATTGTAAATTAAGTCGTTGAAAAATTGATCAACAAAGCATCAAGCCAAGTATCAATCTGTGAATATTGATAACAGTTCCAAAAATTGCTCCATTTGAGAAAAATTTCCATTCATAACATTTCATAGGTAAAGCGATTTGAATCCAAGGTGACCCAGATCTACTATAAGCTGATGTGATTCACATACAAATCTATAAATCTATAAATCTATAAATGTTCCTTCACATTTTTTTTCTATTGATTGGGTTTAGGATCCGGTACAGCATAGTATGTACAGCATAACCTTTAATATGATTGGGGATATATTCGTATACCTATGAATCTGTTTGTTTTTTAAACTCGGTGTGGACTGCTCACTTCCGCTACCCATAATCCATTGTGGTTTGTCAGATAACATACGCGAATGAGGCAGTTTGCGGACATCCTTCAGAGTGACAACCATACGCTTGGATGATTTGATAATCTGCACCGCCTCTGCATGAGTGATGTCTAAGAAGGTGTGACCGTTGATATCTAGGATCTGGTCCCCGACCTAGAATACATAAAAATAAATCAATTCAAACGTCATTTCTCACAAACTATTGTTATGATTTCGAAAACTACATGTAATACTGAAACTGTCATTTTCGCATTGTGTAACAACAACTGAATTTCCAAATTTTGGAACTTTTAAAATAATCGATCCTACCATCAGTGTGATAAAAATGATATCAACAAAACAATTTACTTAACCATCCATATGAGTTCAAATAATTTTTGAAAACAACTTATGAGTTAAAATAATTTTTGAAAAAAACTTACTTTCAGTCCTGCGTGGTCCGATACAGAGTAAGGGGTAACCCCTGTTATATATATCCCCAGTCCAAACTCACTTCCTCCCCGTATCATTAGACCCAGATTGCCTCCTTTACTAACCACTACATTCACCTGCAACATAATGCACATAATATGTTCAATGCAAGGATAATGGTTTCATGTGCATGATTACAAATCCACTACAAATCATCAATTTCACTGTGGTCTTGAGGATTATTTTAAATGTCAAAGAGCATTTTTCAGTTGATCCAGACAGGCAATGAACTATGTACATGTATACATGCTATACATACATACATTCTTACATGCTCGGATATACAAGCTGAATAAAATATTTTTGTTAATCTAATCTATCTGATGAATGTAACATAGTTACTGAGCAATGTGTAGATATCTAGGGGTGTTAGACATTATTTCTTTTTGCGTCAGATCTTAGATATGGATATTGGGGGTTGTTTTCCTTAAGACTTTTTAAGTTGCAAAAGTTTTCTTTGTTTTTAAGCGATTGCCATACTCTTTTGTCTCTTATTGGGTCGTACCTACATATTTGTAACAATATACAATCTACTGAGTCACTTTAAGTGACCAATTTACATAATTTAATGTATTTAGGGAGTCTAAACTCCTCTAATACTTCAAGCACATCTCTAAAGCAATTCAAAACAAAATATGAAATAATTTCAAGAATTCAATCAATAAAGTTGAGTCTTAATCACATTCAAGCTAAATGAGGTCATTACAATATATAGTGTCAGGTAATATGCTAAGGACTCGTTGTAAATAGACAATGTTTTGAACCTGATTTGCGACAGCTGTTAGCTTTTACTGAAGCATTCTTGATTCAAAAATTGATTTCCAATATGTCAGTTTACACACAGTACATTATTCATAAACATTCTTGATTTAATGCTGCCAGACTTCAATGTTTAAGATATAGTTTATACAAATGTTATATTAGTGAATCTTTAGCTGTAAGGCATGACATTGGTTTTACTAACTTCACATACAGGGTGTCCGGAAAGTAAAGATACAAATACTCTAATTTCAAGAGATTTAGTTTTTTTGTCATGAAATTGCTACAGATTGTAGAGGAACTAAATTACAATACATCTACCAACTTTTATAACATATACAGTAGTCTAAATGTGTCAAAGTTACGGTTGTCATGGTTACGGTGGCGAGGGGTATGCGGAGCAGTTCCAGGATATCGCGAAATTGTGATAATGCTAAAATATAACCATTTAAAATAGTGTTTATTATTGAATTTCTTATCAGTTTTTTGTTTTGTTCAATATTGTATTCTGGCTGCCATAGTATTCTCATTAGTATAACAATATCATTGATACATATCAGAACTATGTAATGTCACCAGTATAATCAAAGAAAGGGAGTATATAAGTGCTTAGAAAAAGGGTCCCTGGATTAATAGGAAAGTCAGTAGTGCACCTCCACAGTCAATGCTCCAATGCACAAAGCAAAGAAAACAAATTTTACAATTGAATGTCTTGACATTAACCTTTTTGTACAATGGCCCATATTTCCCTGATAATGTCCTGTTGGACTTCTACATTAATGAATATGTTAAAGCAATATTTGTGAGAAGTTCAACATAAAAATAAGACTCGGCTGGAAGCCAATGTTATCAGCAATCTTAGAGATTGACAGCAAATGTTTTGTAAGGTCTTTGAATCCCCGGTCATAATACACCAAGAATGTTTAGATAAAGGTGGAAAATACATAATACTCAACAGTAGTAATGTCAAATGATTAAATAATGTTTCAGTACTAATCCTTTTGCTGTTGTGGTACATAATTTGATGCATAATATAGGGCCGGAACCAACTATAAATTTCGGAGTCGACTAGTTGAGGTGTCTTAGTTGAGTCGTCATCGATTAGTTGCCCCCTGGCTTCGGAAAAAATAAAATATTTCCTTTATCTGTCATCAGTTTTTGCCGCATTTACAGATTTGTTTCTCCTAGTACTCTGTTTCTTGTATAAACAATGTATCAAATATAATAAATCGATCGTTTTTAAAGTTTATATTGTGTATTTGTGTTGTTTTATGCAATAATTCAACTAGAATTTATCATTGTTGTAAATAAACGTCTTCTTCTATTTACTTCCGCTGACCTTGACCGTTACCGGAACTACTTAGTTTGAATTCGCGCAATATTTAAATAAAATGTCAAACTCAAAAGGGAAGTCTCCCATATGTGAATACTTTACCCTAACGGTCACGGGTGATCATTGCGATTTGCGATGGCACATATACCCATATAATTTGCATGATAGCACATTATAAAAATGATAAATGTGTGGGACTATATTCTTGCCAATTAAAAATGAAGTGCTTCCGCGGCCTTTAATTGATCGCTAAAAGTAAACTTTTTAAAAGTTAAGGACAGGGTGCATGTTGGGAAATTTTCTGCATTCCTCAATTGAGTCACATGTTATTTTTCAAACAAAAATAACTCCTTCCCCACATTGTCTACATCTTCCAAGTTTGCACAAAGAGTGCACTTATGTGCCTAGAAAAGCCTTGTGAGAAGGTTTGTTTTGTAAAATGTATAAAAAAAATGAGAAAATTCAGTGAAAAAAATTTCTGAAAATTTTCTGATTTTTTTCACTGAATTTTCTTGTTTTTTATACGCTTTATCAAAACATCCTTCTCACAAGTCTTTTCTAGGCACATAAGTGCACTCTTTGTGCAAAACTGGAAGAATAGACAATGTGGGGAAGGAGTGATTCTTGTTTGAAAAATAACATGTGACTCAATTGAGGAATGCAGAAAATTTCCATCATGCACCCTGACCTTAAATAACTTCAATTAGTATCGAATAAAGAAGTGAATCTGTTTATAGCATATGTTTGAAGTGTTTTGAAGAGTAGAAACATGCATTTTGGGCTGGATAAGTAAGGAAAATACATAACAACATCACAAAAATGAGGTGAGTGAACGTTTATTTATGAACTTTTCTTCACAATTTTTCCCGGGGATATGTCTTCGATGATCGATTTTTCCAAATCAAAGTCGACTATCAGCCCAACTTTCGTCGTATCCAACTAGTTAGACTAATCGTTCCGGCCCTAACATAATAACAACAGACGACGGAGTGTCAAGATGATATGAACAGGAGAAAAGAATTATGAAACAAAATTGTGACGTTGCTCCACATACCCGCGACTCCTGTTACGATAACAACCATAACTTTTTTATTTTGAAACAATTTGTCATGAGAGTTGCAGGATAAATTGTTTCAATGTCATTCTACAATCTGTAGCAATTTCATCTCACAACAGGTAAATCTAATGAAATTAGAGCATTTGTATCTTTACTTTCCGGACACCCTGTATGTGCCAGGCTTCTTTTCCAGAGAATAGAATTCTAAATCAGGCTGGAATATCGAAGCTGTCTAAAATATACCAATGATCGGGGTATGCCTAAAAATTTTGAAAATGATCATCTTAATCCGTATTTGATATATAAAATGATAAATGGCATCTTTAATAATATTTCAAGCTTGAAAAAATATGGTCTTCATCGAAATCTGTATACCCTCAAATGAATGGAGAGCTCTTTACCTAGACGCAAAACAATTTTTGGAACTTTTTGAATTTACCTTAAGTGAAACCTACTATTATTAAAGACAACATTTTCAGTTTATCATCAAATATTTCTATTTTTGAACATCTTGACCCACTTCAGAGAGGTTTTATTGTCCATGTTATTGTATGGTATAATCCTTCACAACTTCAGTGTATCAATAAAGGTAATGCTAGAAGAGATCAATAAGTTGAATATTGCTTATCCAAATATCCATACAGAAGCATGCCTTGAACAATAGAAGAGCTATAAACAGGGAATACTGCACAATGCCTACGTATACTGCACAATAATTGAGTTATGGATTCCATGGGGTTATGTTCAATCACATATCCTTGGCAAATGATTGGAATCGAATCAATACATTACAGTTCAATACACTATTACACTATTATGAGGTGTAATGTTGAGGCAGCGGTAGCACCTCAATAAGCTGACTGAGATGATCTGATCGCATTATTATATTCAAACGTCCTTGTATATTTTTGTTAATATATTATCATTGTAATACATTAAAAGTATGTACTCTCCATTCTCCAATTTATGCGAGGTAATAAAGATTACATAAACATAATACAATATATGTTATATGCTGTGCAAGAGTTATAAGCCTGCAAAAATCCACAAAATCTAACAAACTTATTAAATGCACAAAATGGTACATTCACAATTCAATCATTTTAAAGCCATCATTTCATTTCTTTGTAAAGGAGTTTTTGTTGGATATAAAAAGTGTTTGGTTTGGGTTATCATATTAGTATCTCAATCTTGACAAAAAGCTAATTCATTATTACTCTATATCATATCATATCATCTTCAAAAACATTTTAATTTAAAGAGGCTCTATGCCATAGGATAGCACAATCAAGTTATTCTCAAGATATATCCATGGTATGTGAGATATTATATGAGCAATAACAATAGGACATCATTGATTGTCTGGGGGAGAAACCTATGGCATAATGCATCTTTAACTACTTCTGGATTGATTGTATTAATTTTTTTAACATCTATTATGCTACCCACCTTTCTTTCATCACTTTCCTTCAGCAGTATATGTCGTCCACTCGTCGGGTCTCCCGCCACCTCGTACCTGCCAGTCCCATCTACTTCAGGGGGTGGGGATGTTGCTCTTCCCTGTGGGTCAACCCATTTGTAGGTCTGATGAGTCTCGGAAGATCCCGGGACCCGCCCGATGTTCCGCACTTGAAGCTCTAATCTTAATGCTGCTTTTATAATCTGAAATTATATAATGTTTACTTGTGTAGAAATTATACTGATTTGCGGGACATCTGATCAGTTTGAAAAGGAATGCTTTTGACAGGCATAGAGAACTTGTTTATCCACAGCTTAAATTGAGAGCCAGGGGGGCTGTTTCATGTAAGACTGATTTAGAGAGATGAGGAAAGGGAACTGGACGTTCATTATGCAATGATAAATGTAACCTACATGTATACCATAGATTGCTCAGATGCCTTTTTTTCAGGGATGTATGCCATTGCCTATTCAATATCATATAATACATGTTAAACCTAGTAAGAGCCTTTTACAATAAGAAATAGCATATTGATGCATATTTCATTTTATCATTTCCTCATCATGCGCTTTTTACATAAATCAAGGGATGTTTCAGAAGAATGATTACGGTATAATCTTTAAACGTTCATAGCGCTTCGTATAAACAAGGCAATGTTTGCAAATCTTTATTACACTGAGCTTATAATGCAGATACCATATGAGTTACTCTTCCTTGGATATAAGTATTCTGTTCTCCTGTTTTTGTAATTATTTCATCATACAGGGTGGGCCAAAAAAACGCCACTTTTTTCAAAATGCTATAACTTTTTTAATTTTTGATACAAAGTCATAATTTGCATACCAAATGAAACTTGAGGTTGTTATCTAGCCATGGATCATGAATTCTACACTTTTGCTTGAATAAAATATGTCACCAGCGTCTCACTTAAACATGTGGTGTGCCATGGGAAATAAGCATAATTTGCAAAATGTTCCTGAACTGATACGCCCTGATGACCGCCAAGTTAATAGCCCTAATGCAAACCCCAGTGAGTATAGGGTATGGGAAGGTCTCCAGGAGATGGTATGAAGGCACCCAATCTAAAAAATTGCCCAACTAAAGCTGGCAATTAAGACACGTTGAAAAAAATATAGCTAACATTTCATTGATACTGCTATATCAGCAAGGTGACTTAAACTAAAATCTATCATCAAATAGGGTGGCGGACCAATTGAACTCCTCTTTTAGATCAAATATAATCCCAGTTGAAGGACTTGTTACATTATATTATTACTAAGAACCCTTGGCACTATATAACTGCAAAATTTGGGGTATGTAGGTTGGAAAATAAAAAAGTTATAGTGTCTTGAAAAAAAGTGGCATTTTTTTGGCCCACCCTGTACAATAGAACCTGTATATGGTGAACACATTTATTAGAACCACAAAAAGCGTTCTGTTTGTTTAAATATGTTCACTTCAAAGAATGTTTCCAGAGAGAAATAAATGAATGAATGTTCAAAGTGTACATTAGGTTCTCACTACAGAGAGATGTTCACGAAGATATGTATTCAATATTTTTACAATAGGAAAACAATTATTCATTTTTCTGATTCTGCTGGAAGATTTTCAGTAAGATAGTCCAATCACCCAGACTCAAATTTCTACTTTCAAGTATAAGTTGTCATCCTGCCATAAGAATATAGCCTTTAGAATTTTCTGTAGGATAGACTGGATGGTATACTAAAACTTCACCAAAGCGCAATATCAACGCAATGTGTCAACCTTACACGCAACCTAAGAAAATGTTGCCTAGCAACAGAATGCCAAGGGAATTAAAATACAAACAAAAACAAGTGAATCATGAAATACAACATTGTCGAATTCAAGTAAATAATTCATACTTATTCATGAATCAATTCTATTTAATTCCAAAAGATACTCTATTTTAAAACTGACTTTTAGTATACAACAGATAACCGGGCTGATAACCCTTATTTGACTTCTCTTATACAAAAGACCCATATATTTTTGTTGTAAGTATTATAGTATGTAAGGATTTCTTCATTCAACTTATTTTGTATTCTTATTGCCCTTATTTTATACAGAGTCTGTATAGAGACTGTTAAGTGGCTTAAAGTATAATTTGAAGAAGTTACAACGATTTAACAATATTGGATGAGGATTTCATTCAGCTTTTAAAAGAAATGGTTTTAAATCCACTAAAATTCTCAAATCACAATGCCATAATGCTTGACGGTATATAGCTAAAAATATTTTTCGTTGCATTGATCTTTCATTTTTTCAAGGTCATTCTGTTTCATTAAGTATTTGAAAATACATGGTATTGCTTTTAAAAACTTTATGTCAACATTTGATAAAGTTCAAAACAAATTGAACAGAATATAGGGTATTGTGGTCGATTAACAAATATAAGTCTTAGAGGATATTGTCGAAGAAGCTGTATATTTTTTTATGTCAAATATCAAAAGCCAAAGTAATTCAAGAAGCAAAAGAACATATCCCATATATAAAATCTCAAACCAATTCATCCAGTTACTGAAAGAATAAAGTAGAATATTGGGGAAATGATATGCGCAGGTAAAAATGACAAGATCTCAATATAGAAATAAATAGAACATTGAAGGAATTTCTAAGAGAATTTGATATATGAAGCTAGATTATGGAAATCTCTACGAGTGGCAATCAATCCTTGTTATTGATTTAAATTTCACAAAGATCAACATTGGCTAGCTGTTATTGAAATTAAATGGTGTATATTGATAATGAGTAAAACAGGAGAAAAGGCTTCCAGGCTCTTCAGTTGTAGATCAGCTCTTAACCGCTCTTAACCGCTCTAAAGAATATATTTGCATTTTATAACGGTTAATATAGACAGGAAAATAGTTTATTAATCCTTAATTAATCATATTGGCATATTACTGCACTAATGTTTGTTCATTCATATATCAAAGAATATTAATCTAATGATCTGCAAAAGAAAAGAAACTCATGTATGATATGAAAGAATTCTAAACATAGTGAAACTCGTATTTTCTAAACTTTTGATTTCAAATATCACCACTCAAGATGGATGACCATACCCTTCCAAAGACTGTGACAATGTCTATAATCCTCTCTAAATTAGTTTTTTCATTCATTTTCCCTAGTCCAAACATAAAATATAGTGAGAAGATAATATATACAGATACAGATACATTACATACAGATACATACAGATACATGTCTTTAAGAAACTAACATTCATTTCCCATAAGTCGCATGAAACATACATGCTACAAGTTTCATTTTCAATCTCCATATAATGGAAAACAAAGATTCCAATAAAGACAAAAAATAGAGAGGATAACAATAGAGAACAATAATAATGTTATGATGACTCATTGTTAATAGGAACAATGAATTAACATGCAAAATGACACTACCTGCCATTTACTACAGATGCCAAACACCAAATGCCGAACACCATTTACAAAATGTTTGAGACAACAATTTGTCACCACTTGTGATGCTGACATAAAAAGAAGATCAGCCTAACACAAAAATTAGAAATTCAGCCATGTTTTCTTTAAATTCAATGCGATCTGTATGTTCCAATATGCAGAAATCATTGCTTGTATGTGTACATATTAGTCTATAGTTTGCCAGAAAAATTGATCCACTATTGATGTGCTGCTAATCCCACAAAACAGCATTTTAATCAAGTTTATCATTTAATTAAGGGGATAATAGTAAGATCAATATTGATGTTGTCAAAGGTGACCTGACAATACATGAGAAATTCATGAGCTATATAATGTACTGCTTAATAGCCCCTGTGGGCTTTCTGGAAGGCCCATGAATGTTTCTATTGTGGAACGGAAGTATATTAATACAAGTTTCTCTATGATATATTGTTAATCAATTATGTATATAATAATTTGGTTGATTATTGTCTTCCCACTGTTGAATCGTATTTCTATCCTGATTATACACCTCCATATTCCTGGTCTAGGATATATATTTAATTTATAGTATCCAGTAAAACGTGTCTTAGTGAACACCTCTCTCTAATGAACACCTGTGTTTAGTAAACACTACTTCAAGACACATTTTACTAAAGGACTCCTGTATAAAACTCCCTCTCTGTAAGGAACACCTTCCTACAGTGAACACTTTTTTGTGGCTCAATTGCAGGTCTTACTGTATTGTTGAAAGTAGTCTCTGAACTGAACACCCCCCCCCACAACACTTCCTGCATAGTGGGATGACAGGGGCTTAAGGGGCTTAAAAGGCTATCTATATTCAGGTATTGTCTCTGATGTTTGAAAAAGCATACAGTTTTTTTAATGTTAAAGTGTGAAAAAGACCAATTAAAAACCAGAACAACGGCAATTGCAAAAGCATTTTTCAAAATGGCCGCCTGCTACCCAAAATGTCATTAGACATTGTGCCATGCTTAAGTAGTATTCACATACTAAATATAAACAAAATCGCTCCACTACTTTTTGATGAAAATGAGTTAATTTCTCGAGCAAAAGTTTAACCCTAAGGTGTTATTTTATAATAAAATTGCGTTAGAGAGGGTTTCAAACGACATATACATGTATACGCAATTTTATAACAACACCATGAACACTGTGCACTGATTTTCGGCAGCATGATTTCCTAAATATGACAGAAATACGAGCGACTTCTTGATTTAGAATTGTGAACAATTTACAGCATTAAAAAAACTTTAAACATTTAACTATTTTATTAATATCTCCAAAGAACGAGAATCAAATTGACCCATCTTCACTTTTTGATATGTTTGGATGTTTTCTAAGAGGTTCAGGTACTCAGACCTTCACAATTTAAAGATCTTAATCAGTTCAAAATGTTCGGGGTTTTTCTACTTTTGCCATTCGGTAAATTATAACCGCGTTAAAAGTAAGCTTGGCTTTACTTATACAGTGAAACTTGACTTAGAAAACACTCTTCTGTAAGGAACACCTGCTTTACAAGTTATAGAACGTCTTTCAAACTATGCATAAAATTTCAGTCAATTTTTTCAGTCTGTGTCAGAACACCCGTCTATACATGTCTGTAGTTCACATATTCATAATCAAGTTTTACATCTTTTTTATCTTGTGTTATATTTTCATATCCCTATTTATCAATACAATTCATTACAACACTGCAAACATCTCATTCACACGAGCATTCATATTTTAAAAATGATCTCTTGTTTTACTTTGTATACTTTTTTTGTAATAATATCAAAGATCAAGCAACATAATAAGAATAATGTACATGCAGATGCTAAAGGTGAACTTATAATCACAATCATAAAAAGTGCAACACAATTAAACTGGTTCTAGAATCGATCCTTTCTTTAAGATCTGTATAGCCAAATATAAAAATAATTTGATAAAACACAATAAAAAATAAGATTTATTCACCACAAAAGGATCTCACGAGCCATTTTATTGGTTTGAAAAACCAACAAATATGAAAGGGATTTCGGGATCTAAAGTTTGGTCTGACAACATAAAAGGGGGTTTATTCTTGTCAATATTGTCTCAATGTATTTGTGCCACTAGTGATCCTAACATACGACGTTCTTAACCAAACAGATTGGAAAATTACTTAACATATTGTTAAACCATGTAGATTAATTTTCAAACTTGTTGGATGAATGTAAACTTAAGAATAAAACATGAGATTTTGATTGTAAGATTTTCAAGTTTTGTTAATACTCTAGGATGACTTCTGGTTTTGGAAACTGTCCAAATATGGCCTTATTTCATATAGAGAGTTTACCTTAATCGCTGACATTGACGCTCATGTTAAATTGAAGAAAAACAATGTTTGGTTAACAAAACTTTAAAACATGAACTTGATACTCAGTTACATTAAATCTTTCAAAATAATTTCTTATCTCTTTTTTTAACAAATTATTGTGTGGCGATTGATGATAATTTGGCTAATGTGAGAATCTACAAGAGAATTGACTGGATTTACAAAGGGCAACATTCACAAAGAAAACAATACCAAATAAGACCCCTAAAAACAATATAAAATGATGTTATGATAAGGTTACGGCACATGCACTCAACTAGCATGAAAACTCTCAATTAATTGCCAAAATAAGGCCAATTAATCGCCTAATAGAATAAAATATTAATGAGATCTACCAATGCACATTTAAAATATTGATGAGGTGACCTGTAAATGAAATATCAAGTTGATCATAATTTTAATGCATATTACTTACAAAGCTTGAAAATAACATTGAGAAAATCCTAGACACAACAACACTCTGGCTTCAATAAAAATCAAAATCAAAATTATTTTTAATTAGATGAAAGAGAAAAAATACTGAATATCATAACGCGATTAATATCTTTTGAATGTTTTCAGTTATATGCTCAGGTATTGAAAACAACAATTGATTAAATCCCAGTGAAGTCAGAACACCATGTTTTACCTATGTAACAACTCAATGAAAAAACAATATATTGATTTCTAGAAGAAATGCCATTCTACGAGGCAAGATAAGGGACTATTAAGGGTATTCTATGTTTGCTTAATAAGACATCTCTATTGTCTAGTCACACCTCTGACGGCTAAATCTCAATAAATAAAGGTATGAGAGATGTGAACTTCCTCACATATTTTTAGAAGCTATACATTTCAAAAGATAAATTTCATGCATTTTTGACCTTCTAATGTGTCATAATTTGTATATTTAGTAATTTCTCAGTAAATTAAAACAATTTGATCAAGTGACATCAAAAATCTGGAGCCATCTCTCTCATTTGATCAGGGTGGAATGGTTCAATATTCTACTTAATATGTTTATTCTAAAAAAACATTTATAGACTTATTTTCCGGCATCTACACCTAGTTCAACTTTAGTGAAAGGTAAGACTGATGAAATATATTGTCTTTCCCATAACATATCCTGGTGCATTGCAAGCGGTCATTAATAAATGATTTAAAGCCGACTATACTATGATGAGTAATAGTAGGCAAAAGTTTAAGTAAACTTACATGTAATCCTAAAGTTTACACTCACATGTAATCCTAGAGTTTACACTTATATGACATAACCTTATAAGTTCAACACTTGTATGAACCTGTAGTCCTTCTGTTTTGAAAGACAGGAGATTTAACTTACGTAGGGTACATTACGTTCATTTTAAGGTTACATGATAACATGTATAACATTATGTACACAAAGTACCAATGAAAAGTGCCTGCTGTGTAAAGTACCTGTCTGTTTGTACATCTATTATGTGTTGGAGGACAAGCTATAGGCAAGAACTTACTATAAGAGGGAGCAAAACACAACTCACCTTTGCTGCTTCCGAGTGTGTTATTTTACTGAACTCTATATCATTGACACTGAGGATCTGATCTCCAGGGGAAAGACCTTGTTGCTCAGCTTGGGACAGGGGTTCAACTATTGAGATATAAATGCCCATGCCATGTTCAGCCCCACCTCGAATTGAAAATCCAAATCCAATGTTAGGGTCTCTTGAAGGTGCGAGTTCAACTTTTCTTATATCGTTATATTCCTCATATGGTGAGATATGCTTATGTAACCCTAGTGATGGATCGGAGTGCTGCGATAGTGAAGTATGTTGAGATCTAGGGCTTGGGGAAAGAGAGTTTGAAGCACGAGAATTGAGGATGGTTGCCCTGCTTGGTGACCTCTGCACCAATGTAGTGACTCCTCGTGGTAATCCATGAAAAGTTGAATATCCACTTTCTTTATGTATTGCTATACCAAGTTGAATATTATGACCATGTACATACTGATCGTAACTTTGTTGATCGGATCTTGGAATAACCTTTCTGAGTAATGGTAAAATCTGTCTTTTTGCAGGTGTATCCAAAATAATTTTGAGATCCCGAGCAAAACCATACATATTCCGATTTTCGTGAAAATCACTGAGTGCTTCAACGAGATCTGAACGTTCCCGATCATTGAGAAATGTTGTAAGAGAGTCCTGAAGTCGCCGCACATTTAATGACATAGTGCGTTTGGGTAAGCTGTGATCCCTGCTTACATGTCCGGGAAATCCATGAAATGCGTTCATTTCAAACTCCATTTTGATGGCTGTATTGTTTGTGCTGTTGTATGTTTATCCCATTTTTATCTTCTGTAAAACAGAAATATCATTGTATCAAATATAAAATTAAATCCTATAAGCACATTTACATAAATACAGCACCGCATGTACACCATAGGGTGTACATGTTGAGGTGCTTTTAGTGCTTCTAAAGCATGTAAGACCCATATATACAACTAAAATGGAATGACAAATTAAAATATCTGCTTACTTACCTGTTATTTGACTTACCTTTCTTAAAAGTCAATGAACTCAAAATTAATTCAAACTGTCAAAAATATCTCCATCTTTGGCATAAAAATGATCAGTAATCTATTGATGAAAAATGAAAAACTGTGTTCCAAATGAAATTTGAAATATCCATTGCAGCTGTGCTTTCATATTAAACATCAATAACTGTTGTAATTACCTTTCTGAATGCTTTGAAAATTGCATCCAAAAATCAATAGTTGACAACAAACTGGTCACGTGATCAAGCTTTTATCTTGGAGATCGAAAAATGTGCATCTTGTTCGAATGGACCATGTGGCAAATTCACGATGTTTTCTGCAATAATCTTCACAGTATTTAACATAGATAAGTTTATTTAGTTAATATACATAACAATACTGTTACCTTATTCTCTATAAACCGTCAAAAAACGAAGAATAATGATTGCCCACCTGTCACTACATTTTGAAAATTGTCTTTGTGTGTCTACAAACACCAGTTGAAAATAAACATAGATTTTGCTGACATCTATTTAATGATACTAAAACTAGAAGTATGTTTGAGAGAACAATAACCATAGATCAGCAAAGATCCTTTATCCTTGGTTCATGGATGAATGTGTCCAAAATAATTACTACTGAACTCACAAATTCACAATGTGGAAACACAAAGGGCAACATCTGAAAAACTAAACAGTCAACAAACCCCTATAAATCATAATGAAAACAATCATTAACTATCTATTTCATTGACTTTTTTCTTCAGGTTCGTAATATAACATTTATGGCCTTGAGAATAAAAGACATATAAATTTATGCATAGATTCTCTGTTTAAACTTGGCATTCTACTTTGTATGTGTCCATGACTAAACATTGACTCTATGATATGTGAAAAAAAATATTCAGCTCTATGATATGTGAAAAATATTTTTCAAAAATTTGTAATCATGCATGCACACTCAATTTTCAGTTTGATTCAAATATCACAAATATCAGATCTTGCCATTCAAATATTACCTCAAAACATATTTGCTACTCAATGTTTGGCATGGGGAGGGAGGGTTTGTGAATGTTTGTAATATTTTATTGTTATCATTAATTTTAGAAAATTCAAGAAATGCTCAATTGCATATTTTGTGGGAGGAGGTTATTTTGATTAAATTTGAATTTTTTTAGACAACTGAAAATAAAACATTGAATTAAAACAAAAAAAAATACTAAGACTAACAGCTAATTATATACCTTTATACCTTTGGTATAAAGGTATAAAGGTATATAATTAGCTGTTAGTCTTAGTATTTTTCTTTGTTTTAATTTGCTTTTTTGAATAGTCTATGATTCATTGAATGTAGACCAAAATGATAAGAATGATTAGATTATTTCCAAAATGATTGAAACTGCTCTGTACAATTTAGGTGTTATGATTTTAAACAAATGGTCAATAGAGCAAGCCATGATAGGTTCAAGTAAACACTTTGTAGATGTACAATTTAGAAGACAATTGAAGAGAGACTTAATACTTTGTACTTTAAGTTGATAATAAACACGATGTTACTGATATAAAATTACATAAAAGTATTGCATTGTATTTCCATCTTTTTGTATATATTCTAATTGGTATTTGCTTACACCAACCACTTCCGTATCCGCCATTTATTTTTAAAAGTTTTGAAGTTTTGCTTTCGAGTATATTTTTTCAAATATACATTGTTTACGTGGAACGAAGACATTTAGAAACAAGATTTTGGATACGTGTAAGTAGTTAGATTAGTATAGAATCATAATTTGGCGTTGTAGCATTGCTTACTGTAGTAAAAATCAGTCGTTTCTATGCAAATTTCAAATAATTTTTTCTTTTTCTAATTTCTAATTTTTGTAGCCCCTTTGTTGGCCTTCTTGGATTTCATCCATGATCTTATCTCATGAATGATCCTAGACTATAATGTATGTTTTTGAAGGTTTATAAGCATATTAATTGTTGCACTTTTCTATTAATATCTGAATACCTACACGAGACAGGGTTAGTCTATTACCCAGATTAGAATTAGCTTACTCGAGTCTCTGACCGGCGTGTCATAAAATAAAATTTATTGAATATTCTAAAAATCGCCTTATAATTAAATCAATAATTAAAATGGGACCGGCTCAGCTCCTTGATGAGATATTGCATGATTTCGTCAGAATTTCGTCTAAAATTAAAAGAAAATGGCTCCAAGAAAACTGGACGAAATGTCGTGAATGTCTGACACTAGTAACTGGCTGTAAATTCTAAGTTAGCGATCCAGAAGATGTGAACTAATACATTGATCACTTCATGTGTGTTTTGGAATTTTTGGTGAGGTAATAAGACCAAAACTCGCAATTCAAATTGTGATGCAGAAAAATGGCGGACATTTGATTTCAAATTTTATGATTACGACATGACCTGTTATACATGCAGGAATTTATCTTTGGACGAAGGCCACGATACAGTGGCCTAAAAATGAAAAAGAAGGTAAAGAATAGTGACTGTGTAGAGTAGGTTGTCTAATAATAATCTCTCTTAGTTTTATTGTTATCCTATTTTATACTCTCAATTCTGGTTACTAAGTATCATAATTGCATCTGAGAGTCTATCAAACAACGAAATGAAAGTAATAAACCACTGGCTCTTGAAAACCTTGGTGAATCATGGTCTTTCTTAGAAATCTAATTGAAAGCCCATGGGTGAATGCAGTCAAATTTAACTAAAAATACTGAAGGGTGGACAATGTTACCTACCTAATAGTTGATATTCAACAAATGCACCCTTGGTATACGCAGCTAATGAAAATTGACCGGTACGGGTCAAAAGCTGGACCGGTACGGGTTAACGGTTTTATTTGAATTTAAAACAGCCATAACTTGCTCAATATTGACTTCCTCGTGTCTAATTTGAAATATATGATGCCTCCCGATGCTTTTAAGTACCCCAATTTTTTACAGATTTTTAAACGGACCAAAACTCTCTAAATGCGCATTTATGCTCTTTTCTCTCGAGAACGGCTGTCTCATTTTCACGATAACTTTTATTTAGTACTTCTAACATATAAGATATATTTTTCCCCATCAAGGTATGATGTAAATGACATGCTATTTACATCTTGTGAGTTTCAATGACGCGCGTTTGATTTTATAAAAAATGCCAAACTTTGTGACAAAGAATTTCATCCTGCTTGCAGCGAGAAGACGGACCAGTTCGGGGCAATCTGCTTGCAACGAGAAGACGGACCGGTTCAGGGCAATAGCTGATGCGCGTCATTGAAACTCACAAGATGTAAATAGCATGTCATTTACATCATACCTTGATGGGGAAAATAGATCTTATATGTTAGAAGTACTAAATAAAAGTTATCGTGAAAATGAGACAGTCATTCTCGAGAGAAAAAAGCATAAATGCGCATTTAGAGAGTTTTGGTCCGTTTAAAAATCTGTAAAAAATTGGGGTACTTAAAAGCATCGGGAGGCATCATATATTTCAAATTAGACACGAGGAAGTCAATATTGAGCAAGTTATGGCTATTTTAAATTCAAATAAAACCGTTAACCCGTACCGGTCCAGCTTTTGACCCGTACCGGTCAATTTTCGATAGCTGCGTATACCAAGGGTGAAATGCCTCTTAGGATACAAGGGGAAGCTCAACATTATACATTATATTAACATTATACTATTACATTGAGGTCCTTTGATTGCACATTTTTTAGGTTTGATTGACTTGCATTTTCATTACCTCGGACGCTATTTTTTTGTGGTTGGCATCACCTTTCATAGTTCAGCTCTCACAGCTACCCCCCCCCCCTTGAATCTGGGTTTGCCTTCACTATAGAACCTATTCGAAAACCTTGAACTTAAACATAACCATGACTACAATTCAATTCAAATAAACAGATATACCTCAGTAGCTGGATTATCTCATTAACTTGTTACAAAGGAGACAATTTAGCCCGGCATCCAAGCTTATTATTATCAAGAATTAAAGAATAAGACATTGAAACGAACAGGTAGTCTAATAATACATTTCTGTGAAATCGGCAGCAAACTTAGTTCTTTCTGTTTTGCTCAAGGCAATGAATTTAAACATAATTTTCAAAATGTTCATTAATCCTATAAAGTCCAGGACACAATACTTGTTATGAATACAAGATTATAGCCCTATTTAAGACTGAATTCCAGTCATTTTATATTGTACAAACATGGCAAGCAGCTACAGATCTCTTGTCAAAATAAGTTATACTTTCTGGTAATCCGTATTTGTAGAGAATATTGAAGCGACTTAGAAGTGTATAAATTTGACATTCTGAAATTATATTTTTTGAATTTGAGTATTTGCATTTGAGCCTACTCTATAAATTTGAATTTGGCAGGCAATGAAGACTCCTTTTAACACAATTGCTTTCTCATGTCAGAGAGACATATGGCATATACATGATTAATATTGATGGCCATTCTTTGATACTGAGTCATTATTAATTAGGTCTATGTAGCAAGTTAGTTTGATAATGTAGATTAATTAATACTGAGTCAGTGTTGAACATTCTGTTATACCAAATGATCCCTTCTTAAAATAAGATTTATAAAATGTGTCTTGTTGAATACTTTGAATATGTCTGTGATCTCCCCAGCATTAAAGCAAGCGGGCACAGCACCCACCTGAGATTTCATTTGCACCCACTTGAAAATTAGAAAAATCATGTAAAATGGGCATATTTTGAAAGATTTTGGACTTAATTGTGAAAAGTAGAATTTTGCACCCACTTGAGAAAAAATCCTGAGGAGATCACTGTATGTGCTCTAATTGTTTTGACTGGGCAAAAAATCCATCTTGGTTAAAAATAAGTTAATCATATTTATTTTTCTCCTATTGACTTGACCCGGGACTTGACATTGGTAAAGTTTTGTCTAAGGCTCGACTATAGTCACATGAAATACTGTAGGACCAACTATAATCACTAAAATTACATAAAAATTCTCATCGTGTGGATTTACCTTAAGATTGTTTTTGTCTCAATTAGGCCCAAATGCTTTAAGTCACTCCAGGGCATGGTGTAGTGTACTATATATGGAACTGACAGGTACATGCAAATTTCCACTTATTATTTATCAATCGTATTAAATATATACCCAATGAGTGTAATTAATTACAAGATAGTCTCTTAGTAAAAAACACTTAAGCGTGCAAGAATGAAATGCCTCATAAGTGGAAATATTTGCTGTGGTTTTAATGTCGCCATTTTCGATGAAACATTGGACATTTTGATCAGATTGCTATACCCACACACCCATTGTCTTTAACTTTCCTACACAAGAAGCAGATAAGAGGGGGGTCCGCTAAACCAGAATGTGTAGAAATAAGTAAAAGGAGAATTATTTGCTCATTTTAGAAAATTCTGAATAGAACATGCAAACCTATTATTTATCCTTGTGTAATCATAAAATGAGACCTCCTTGGTAGTTATTGATTGTACGATTAGCTGAGTTGTAAATCTATGTGAGTTCATTAACAAATTGGTTGGACTGGCAGACTTAAAGGGTGTTCTTCATTCGAATAATTCATAGAATAATTGTTACATACTGGATAACAAATATGACTGTTTATTGGGCTCCATTTGTGAAATGATCATAGCCTACAATCACTGGTGATCCACTTGATTACGCTGGTTACCGAAAAGGTTAGTTTTGGTAACAAAATGTCGGAACGTCGAAGGTACAATTTTTCTTTTTTCCTTATTTCACACGTTGTAGGCAGAATCCCCACGACGTTTTTTCTCACAAACGTATACATATCAGTATCATATGTTTTAGAAAATGTTCATGTTTGCGAAAAATAGCTCAGAAGACAACAGAATCGTCGATTTAAAACGGTTTGGGTTAAAAGTGCAGATCTTAACTGTTTTTCAAAAAACCGTTTACGTAACTTAAGTGAAGAATTTAATCGACGATTATGTTGTCTTCTGAATTATTTGTTCGCACAGATGTACATTTTCTTAAACATATGATACTCATATATACCCATGTGTTAAAAATGTCATGGGAATTTTGCCTACAACGTATGAAATAAAGAAAAGAGAAAAATCGTAACCAGCGTAATCGAGTGGATCACCAGCGACAATTTGGTTCTGAGACACCTGAGTTACTAAAGGAGTAGAATGAATACATGAGTATGTAAAACTTTTGTGTTGAAGTAGTTTTGTATGAGTTCAAAATTTTTAATTGGGTCAATTACTGTGATGATCTTAGAGTGTGGGTCCTGTTGTATTTTATACAATTATTTTTTTAATTGAAATAGATTTATTTGAATGACTAAAGTATATTTCTCTAAATTCATCAGATCGGTACTGTATTCTGTACTGTATTTGAAACCAATCAAGATGAGTATTTTAATAGAATCATATTTTATGTATTTTCAGGTTAATTTCATAATGGTTGGATGTCTCCATAGTAACAATACAGATGATATGATGTTAAGGTGGTTACAATGTTGTCACAGCAGTCACTGATGTCCATCCATGTTCTAGTTCTGGTAACAACATTGCTGTTGCTATAGTTACTATACTGATGTTGCTGTTGTAACCATGGCAACTTATGGTGGGGAGGAAGATGATGATTTCGAGGTTGATGAATATGGCATATACAGAGAGAGGCAAAAGAAAGGTACATTTTCATATGTAGTCTCGAATAGGTTAGGGTAATTTAAATAAAGAAATAACAGAGAGTAATTTTTGTAAAAGTTTAGAACACATTTGGAACCTAAAAGGTGTTCTACTTGGGATGTGTTCCACTTAGTATTAACATCTGGTTTAATTTAACATTAAGTCAATTGGTCATGGGACTCTGAATAGTGTTCTACTTAGGTGTTGCTCCATTTACAGAAGTGTTTCGTTCTATAAGTTTTACAAGTTTCTAACTATAAGTAAAACTAGTATGAATCACCCAAGGAAGTAGTATGGTTATAAATTCTTGCTTTATTGCACTATCATAGAATTATTCATAAGATGAAACTTTTTTGATTGAAGTAATCTTATGGTTGTTTCTTTATTACCATGATTGACAATCTTCTTGAATTTTGCTGTTTTCGCTGACCATAATTTTCAATGAAATTTAGAACACAGTGAAATATTAATAATCTAACCAATGAAAGGAAATCTGACTTTGGGATATCAACTCTCAATCAAATGAAAATGCTCTCTCAGCAAAATTAAACACCTGTAAAAGTGAAGGTGTTACAGAATTGATCTGGTATTAAACAAATATTTCACCATCTCAAAAGATGAAATAATAGTTTAATAATTCATAATGCTGCGCATCATTCATTTATGCATATATGCTTGAAGCAATTATAATTGCTGGCTTTTTCTACTTCAGTCTTATGTTTTTATTGGCTTGGAACATTGATAGAGAAATTGTTATCAGTTTGTGCAAATACCTTGGAAACAGGCACTTACTGAATCTGGTATCGATTGGTTACAAACGATGAAATTCAGAATTCTGCAATGTTAAACATCTTTTGTGGATTTTCCTAGATAAACTTCAGTATACTGGTTAATGCACATGAAAAAAGTTCTCAGAGGATATATTCAGGCATATTATAGAGTTAAATGCAATGATTTACCAATGACATTCTTTACTGCATATGTTTTGATTTGGATTATAACTCGAGTGAACCAGAAATAAGTTGGTACAGAAATAACCAAGTGTAAATTGTATCATATGGATTGGCTAATCGGTTTATTTCTTTTTGGATTGCTCATCATTCTCTTGAGTTTTAAAGAAATAATTCTTGGAATTGTTAAAACATGTTTATTTGATACAATGGAATTTCATGCTACAGGTAGGTAGATTTTAGGTATACTGCAGAAACCCTGTGAAGTCGAACACCTATTTAATTGGAGCACCTCTGTTAGTCAGTGGAACACCTATAAGTAAAACACCTTTATAAGTGGAAAACCTTTGTCTGTGGAACACCTCTATAAATGGAACATCTAGGAAGTGGAAATAATTTTTTTGATCCATTGAATGATTGACTTAATATTAATCAGACCTCTATAAGTAGAACACTTCCTAAGTAGAACACTAGAGGAACCAAGGGTGTTTAACTTGCACAGATTTTACTGTACCAAGTTGTTCTCATCTAAGAAATAACCAAACCGAGTAAAACTTATTTGCAAAGTGGACTGATCACGTTTTGAGTTGAAATACTGTCTTTTTGGCCATATATATATAAGATTTTATAACATGTAAAATACCTTTAAGTGTGTTCACTTGGAAGGCCATGTAAATAGTTTTTGCACAGAAGATATTTGATAATAGTCTTAGTTATAAATATATCCATAATTCAGATGTGAATCTTTTTATATGATATTTAAATCCTGGACTAATACAAGTATACTATTCACATAGCCACTACAAAAATGAGGATTTACACTAAAAGTGAATGACATGACGCTAAAAAAGCAAACATTTTGTTCAGTTATTTTAAATCAAACAATGTGTGGCCGTATTACATTGTAAAAGATTGGTCGATATTGATTTTTACTTACCACCGATATACTGTACCAGCAGATTTGCTTATTGTATTTCAATAAAATACCAATAGTTTAATGATAATTCACAGTAAGAAGTATTGAAGGACATTTATTATTTACTCTCTCAAAGCATTTATATTATGCCAAAGACATTATATTGATGAATTTAGGGAGTCCATGCACAATCTTGTAGAGTTATAACAAATGATTGTGCACTTTAAAATGAGATAACTTAAATGTGATTAGTTTGTGAATGAATTTTATATCAACAAACAACATCAATGGGATTTTGGAGGTAAATTAAAGTGTATTTTATAAGAGACTCTCTACATATAAATGTGAAATGAAATATAAATTCGATTAAAATTTGATTTCAGGGATCCCAAACTTGGATGAATTTGGAATTCTACGAGATGATGGGGAAGATGCATTAGAACCACAATATACACACCGAACTGCAGACTCAGGATTGGGCTATGAAAAAACATCCTCCACCTCCACTGTTCGATCTCGTCAACCAGACAAAATGGCCGATATTCATAGTGAACAGAATGACTCCCATCCTCTTGATGAGCAGAGTCTGGGCTTAAGTGATTTTGATCCTTCGTTCAAAGATGAAATTTCTTTTGACCATGGCTCACTTATGAGTAAAGATGAAACTGAGCTCCACTTTAATGATACTGTTGAAACTCATGATATATTTGGAGGACATGTGACCAAAATGGACCAATCAGATTTGTTTATGGATAGGGGGTCATCGAATGCCAGTTTAGAACAGTATTACGGCTCATTTGCTCAGGAAAGTCATCACATACCCCTAGAATTAGAAAAGAAAAATTTAGTCGGAAAATCGCAAAAATCATTAATGGAATTTGAACAATTGGAGTATGAAATTGAACAAAATGAGGACTCTGATCATTTAGGTGAATTTCTTAAAGGAACAGTCAGTACAAGTGAAAACATTGAGTCAAATAACCAAGGATTCAATCCCGATGAAGCCCAAGAACAGTATGACACTGACAACGAGATGGAGGAAATTTATAATGCAAGTAAAAACAGTCGACCTTCTGAAGAAGAGGATCATCAATTATTTGGCCAGTTCAGTGAAGAAATCCATGACATTCCGAAAACAAAAGACCTCAGTTACCAGGACTCAAATCACCAGGATTTGCAATATGAGCAGGATTTAAATCATCAGGAAATTTCATTACCAACTTCGAGGTCTGAACTTGATATTGACTCGAGGGCTTCCAAATCTGAAATGATTACTGATCAATCTTTCCCTAACAGTCACGATATTACTGAAATTTCTTCCCCACATAATAACACTATCATAGATCTAGACAGTCAAAGACCTTGCACACGAAATACTGAACAATTTTCTGAACCAGGAGAAGAGTATGCTAGTAATCTTGTCACGGACAGTGAAGTGGAAATAGCATTTAAAAAAGAGCCTAGAGAAATGCATATATTTGATGAAATCCAGAATGATTTTCATGGTGACACTTTGCCTTTTGACAACACTTTGCAACAGAACGATGCTGATCTCAATGTTTATGAAACTCAGGAGAGTTCACAATCACAACCCAAATTTAGACCTGAATTGTATGAAGACGAAAGAAGTAAAATTCCAATGTTTGCCAATCGACCTCCTTCAATGTCTCCTCCAAGGTCACGACCAGGGTCAGTTTCTCCTACAAGGTCAAGAATTGGTTCTTCATCTCCAGTTAGGGCTTATACAGAAAAATCCCAAAGGAATACTCCCAGGTCACATAGGGAATCTCCTGTATCACACAGGGAATCTCCAAGGTCTCGAAGGGAATCCCCAAGGTCAGCTAGAGAATCCCCAAGAGGTTCAAGAGCCAGTCAAATCAAATCTCCATTTATCCGTCCAGATTCACAGAACTATATATCAACGATGAATCCACTCTCAGACGTTTCTGAACAGTCACCTGAAATACTCACAAAAAGTCAACGGTCTCATAGTGTGACATCACAACAATTTAGCAGCAGGACGTCAACTCCGAAATGTGTGGATGTCGAAGTTGAAGAAACCTTATGCCTGTCTCCAAGAATAAGTAAAACTGGTAAGAAATCTACATCTCAGCCACAAAGTAGGTCACATACACCTAAAACTAAACAAAAGCCTCGAGCTAGCTCTGTAGTCACAATAAGTAAAACAGACAAAGAAAATGATGTCTCAAGTATACTCAAACCATCATCCTCAGATTCTACATTAAAATACTCAAAATCAAATGCTCAACAGGATTTTAAAATTAAATCCAAATCGCAAAATGTTGTCGCGAAACAACAGCCAATCAAAGCACAGATTGGTGTAGTGCCAAATGTGGACTATTCAACTTCTCAGGAAAGTTCAGACCAGGATGCATCTTTGTCGAAGCACGAGCTATCGGTTCGTCTAAAATTGGAGCATTCTCAACATAAAGAAGATCATCGTACCATATCGACTCTTCAAGAAGAATATGATAATCTCCTATCAAAATACGCTCTAGCAGAGGTCACAATTGACCAATTAAAACTAGGTGCAAAGGTCAATTTATATTCTGACTCGCCAGCGCCAGGTCAAAGTTCAACTGGAAAAGTTACGCCATCTATCCATCATCCACACACTATCTCCATGGGAACCAAGGGGCAGGGAATGCTGGGTACAGTGTCCCCAGCAATGCAGGGAGTGTTGTCCAGCACCACAGGATCAAGACGAACCTCAGCTGTTGGCTCTGGCCAGGGTAAGTCTTCACTAAATGCAAAATCTTAAGATAAGCTAAATCCATTACTCTTGAACAAGTAACCTAAAGTTAATAGCAGGAATAAGGCCTGTAGCAAGACTTTTGAAAAGGGTGTCAAATAAAGGATGGATTTTAACTTTTAGAGAGGTGACAGAATTATATTGCTCTTAAGGATATTTGAAGCATCCCCCAGGAATGTTTTTATGTTCCTTGTGTTTACTTACAACCAGTATATTTATAATCAGAAAGATGACATTAGTAGTTAAATACATATTTGTCACTTTCTAACAATATTTCTCCTACATTAATTTAATCTAGTTGAAACTGGAAGCCACTGTTTTATCACTGCAGAACATTTATTGACAAATTGATTTCAAAATGTCAAAGTATTTAACTTATTCTCTGTACAAACAATTTTAATGGATGAGTAAATATGACAACGGAAACTTGTGAATTATATTATTGTAATCAAATTCTAAGACTCAAATAACAGTTTTTCAATAACTGCTCTTTTCTTACGAATGATATAAGAGATATTACAAATGGTAATTTACTAATTTGACCCAAGGGTTCACTCAAAGATTCTTGCAAGATCCTTTCTTTATTTTAGCGATCCTTACCATAATCTCTCCAATAGCAATGCATATCATTATTGTAAAAATATGCTGTACTTTGTTTTGATGTTGTGAATAAGGCATTCTTGGCAGGAAAAATTGGGTAAATTGCCATGCATGAAATTCACAGGGATTTTTGACTTCTTTCATGGGCACTTATTAGAATGGTCTCTGGGAGCTAATTACAGAGATATGGTAATTAAAATATTTTGAACTATGTATTTTACCATAATGTGTAAATATCCAAATAAAATGTGCACAATTATTTCAATCATTTCATTTATCATTGGTTAATTATAATTTTTATAGCTGATATGGGCAGTGCACCCATCCCTGGGGCTTCCATTGGTCAACTAGAGAGCTCTTCAATGGTTGATGGAGGAGGTAATAATCCATGGTTAACTACTACCTCCAGTGGGGAGAGCATGAAATTAGGATTGGTGTTCAAAGCCTCTGGACTGGCTGATCAGGTTAGTTTCCCAATGAATTCAAACAATTTGGCACTGCATGGTTATAAAAATGTTCACATTCAAAATGAGTGAAAGTTTTATCAATGTCACATCAATTTTAAAAAGTCTTTGCATGCTGATAAGATTTAGTAGTTTGAAATCCAGAATTCAGTCCCTTGCCCAAAAGGGAACTGTTTATCCAATTCCAAACTGGTAGTCAGGAATTTGTGAGTTTTGAACCTTGAATGAATATCATGCAAAACCTAACCCATAAGTAAATAGTAAAATATAACTGTTTTTCCTGTAAATTAAAACTCTTTTTAAAATCAAAATATTTCTCCTGCTTCCATGGAAGATGTACAAAATTCCATATCTTGTGATATCATGATATCATATTTTTCTTCTGTTTTCAGGTTGACTCGTTCAATGCATTAATAACAGAGAACCAGCTGTCTCCTGAAGAACAAAACAAGGTTTACAACCAGCTTAAGGAGAACTTCGCTAGCCTGCAGAAAGATTACCTCACCACAAAACAAGAACATGATTTGTTACGTAGGCAGGGGGTGCTACCAAGTGGTGGATCAAACGAGGAATTTGACGCTGATCGATCACTCGAGGGTGAATTATTCAATCTCGGAACCCAATTGGACGATCTACACGAGCATGTGGAAAATAAAGCCATTCAAATAGCCAATCAGAGGACTCCATTTCAAGACACTGCGCTGCAGAGGGAGGAAAATGTAACACCAAGATCAGGAACGCCGCTATCTCGGAAAATCAGCGCCAATGGATCTCTGCTTCCTGATCGGGTGTCTACACCCCAGACAACAAAATCAACATCTAGTGGGCAAAATATTGGCATTGGGAGTGTAGGGAGTGTACAAAAAGACCAGGATGTTGAACGACAGGTGCAGCATCTACAGTCGGAGTACAACTCGTTGATTGATCGTTACAGACGATTGAAAGAAATGCCACGGTCTTCTGATAGAGATAGAGAGATCCAGAACCTAGTTGAGGTATAATTGTTGTTTTTTAAATCGATTTTTAGCTTTTTTTAACATCCATTCAAGCTCCGATGTATGATAATGCATGCCCTAGTTATATAAACTTAATCTCATAAAAAAAACAAGTTTAAAAATTTAAAGTAAATGTAAAATATTGTTTTGAAGCAAACAATGTACAGTTCATACTTCCTCCCCCATAAAATAAAATAAGAAATCTAAAAAAGATGATTTGTGCAAACCTTGCTACCAGTTTTTGGCTCATTTTCATTTAACATTGTTTCTTTCAACTGGTGCCATCTCCTTGACTTTCAGGCAAAATGAATGAAAACATCAGGCAAAATCATTAGAAGTTACAATTTTAGTAATGTTCATTTAAACTAATAAGCAATTTTGGTAAGAACAATAGGAGACTATCTATAGACCTGTTCCATACTGCTATTAAAACCCCTGGCACTGTTCATCATTGAATTATTAACAAAGAAGATGTTTCAATAAATAACACGAGATATTGAATTCACTGAAGCCTATCATTATTCCATTTTCTCGTGGGCATATTGTGTTCACGTCAAATTATTGGATTTTCTTGAATTGATGCGATAATTATCTATATTTAAGTTCAGCTGAGGTAGATTTACAACTGATTAATCCATATATCGTTGATATGGACGATTTATTGATTTTAGAAATGCTTGGAATAAGCCTATGATAGTGGTAGGGGTATATAGATAGGAGGCTTTTTCAAAGGAATTGTCCCAATGTCTTTATTTATTAAATCATCTTAAAATAATAAATCAGGGTGGCAGATCTAAAGTCTCATCCAAGGGTTGCCCTTTCAAAATAACAAACATATTTTACATTTGATAATAGAAAGTACACCTTATTTCTAATATATTCAATATGCTTTCTTAATAGATGTGCTGAAAGATTGCAATGTTGAACATATGAAATTGATTTCACTCTAATGTATAGCAGACCCATGATCGCCTTTGAGGGGCAAACTTTTGTGAATGTATTTTTAGAGTAGTATTTTTAGACTCTTAGTATCCAGTCAACCCTATTTGTAGTAAATGTTTTATTTTTTGAATGAAGCTATGCTATTTGTTTTACATTATCTGTTCTACTTCATTATTGAATTTTAATGTTCCAGAACTTACATACAATATGTGCACAGTCACCAGATGGAGCAACCAGTCTGAAGGTTCCAGCAGAAGTTCTGGATGAGTGAGTACAGTTCTATTTTTCTCATTTATTGATAAATTATTTCTTTAATCTCCTTTTTAATTGATATCCATGATAAGTATTGCATAACAAATAAATGTAGTTTTCTAAAATGTATTTGAATATCAAATGTTAGTGAAGTCAAATAGTCAATCATTTGTGAGGCCTGACATGATGTCGATAATTCCCAATACAGTATTCATAACTAATGACTTTGTCAGACTGTTTAGTGCCCCATCTTTTTATCATAAAAAGGTTTGTAGAGAATGGGTCCTCAAAACATGGCATTAATGCAAACTCAGTGTATAATTTGTATTCCAGTATTAATGTTGCTGAAGATAAAGATTACAATGAAAAGCCTGATGAGGAAGACTAGGGCTGTAATGCAATCCAATGTTGATGTGAAAAACTCAATTTTGTTTTTGTAAAAAGCAGTATGTGTACATGATAGAGCAGTCTAAGGGTCACATGTTCTAGGTCAAAGGTCAAGCGCAACTACATGTTTATTTTGCATTTCAGGGACAATAAATTCTTTCTGTCTAACCTTCCAAAGTTTCTGTAAAAATGAGAAAAAGGGCATTAATGCAAACTCAGTGTATAATTTGTATTCCAGTATTAATATCGCTGAAGATAAAGATTACAATGGAAAGCCTGATGAGGAAGACTAGGGCTGTAATGCAATCCAATGTTGATGTGAAAAACTCAATTTTGTTTTTGTAAAAAGCAGTATGTGTACATGATAGAGCAGTCTAAGGGTCACATGTTCTAGGTCAAAGGTCAAGCGCAACTACATGTTTATTTTGCATTTCAGGGACAATAAATTCTTTCTGTCTAACCTTCCAAAGTTTCTGTAAAAATGAGAAAAAGGGCATTAATGCAAACTCAGTGTATAATTTGTATTCCAGTATTAATATCGCTGAAGATAAAGATTACAATGAAAAGCCTGATGAGGAAGACTAGGGCTGTAATGCAATCCAATGTTGATGTGAAAAACTCAATTTTGTTTTTGTAAAAAGCAGTATGTGTACATGATAGAGCAGTCTAAGGGTCACATGTTCTAGGTCAAAGGTCAAGCGCAACTACATGTTTATTTTGCATTTCAGGGACAATAAATTCTTTCTGTCTAACCTTCCAAAGTTTCTGTAAAAATGAGAAAAAGGGCATTAATGCAAACTCAGTGTATAATTTGTATTCCAGTATTAATATCGCTGAAGATGAAGATTACAATGAAAAGCCTGATGAGGAAGACTAGGCTAATTACATGATAGAGCAGTCTAAGGGTCACATGTTCTAGGTCAAAGGTCAAGCGCAACTACATGTTTATTTTGCATTTCAGGGACAATAAATTCTTTCTGTCTAACCTTCCAAAGTTTCTGTAAAAATGAGAAAAAGGGCATTAATGCAAACTCAGTGTATAATTTGTATTCCAGTATTAATATCGCTGAAGATGAATATTACAATGAAAAGCCTGATGAGGAAGAATATACTTCAACCAGCCCTGAGCCAAGAGGTAAAACATGAATAGTCTTCAACTTTTGTCTTAAAGTTACAAATACTACCTACCATTAGATGATTCTCTTTTATATGTCTTGAAGTAGTGGATATATATGATATACATTTTAAAGGTTTTCCCCTTTGAACCTCTAGTGTTGAAATCTGAAAGCTTGAAAAACATGAACATTAAAAAATAGCGCATTTATGTTTATAACAATTCATAAAACTTCAGGGCATTCTGATACAGTTTTTGGCAAGGCTTTTGTTTGATACAGTACTGCCATCTTTTCATCTGGTTTTTAATTGGTGTTCACAAAATCCTTTCTTATATCTTGGCAACTGTTTCAGGCACAAGAGGGTCTGGTATCCCAAGATCTACAAGGAAGCTAAAGGATACAAAGAAGACAAAAGAAAGTGGAAATCTAAAGGATGGCTCGAAGGTATATTTGGTAAACTTAATATGAAATTGTATGTGTAAAGTAATTAGTAATGTCGTCAGTCTTGTCACCTTGGTATATCAGATACAACATAGTGCAGTGTATAGTCTGTGATATTTAACAGTGGTCTGTCTGTTCTTAAAGTAGCAATACCAACTTTGATCTTGTGACGCTAGGAAGGGCATATTTTCATTATTTGAAAAAGGCCACATTGTGTACAATAAAAGCTGTGTAAATGGGACATCTTTGGTACCTACTATCTACTTAAGCAATGTTCCACTTTCAGCTGTACGTTTTAACAAAAGAAAAATTTGTCATGGTACTTTGGAAGGTGTTCCACCTACAGAGGTTCATTTAATGTTATGTCAATTGTTCATTGGCCACTGAAAGGTGTTCCACTTACAAGGGTGTTCACTTTACCTGTTTTACTGTATTTCTTTACCAGGTTGGAGACTACCTTGGCAGTCACAGTAGTATTCCTGACAGTGGTCTGTCCACACCTTCAGGAAGCAGACCAGACAGGTACAAACTACGACCTCATGGAGGCAGAGAGGGGGATATTGACTCTGGTTTTATGGGGAGTGAGAGCAGTAGGCAATCTCTTGCTCAACATCCACAGAAAAAACAGCCTGAAACTGAACCTGGCTTGAGAAATAAACGGCAAAAAAATATCCAGCATGTGACAAAAGGTTGGTTGATTTTTTGTGAGGTTAGGATGATTGTATTTTTTGTACTTTTTGTAAATTTTAGGGTTATATGTGAAATATTTTAGAAATTTCAAAATGTTTTTGAACATATTTTTGTTTAATACATGGGAAGTAAAAGGAAAATTTAAAACATAATTAGGTTTTAGTTTTTCATCTTAAATTGCAACCAATGAAAATTTATTGTAACGTCATATTAACCTTTTGAATCCCAGGCTCTAAAATTGGTTGAAACCAGAGAATTTCTCATTTTTGCCACCCTTTGACATTTTACTACAAACCTATACACCTTTAGATGCTCAACTTATTTCTACATATTTTAAAACAATTTTTGTGTAAATTGGATAAAAATTGTTCAAATAAGAGCAATTTTAGTTAAATTTTTTGTGACGGATTTTCTCGTCGCTCTGGGTTTCAAGGTAATTTCTGAGGTGACAAGAAATCTCGTCACTCCAGGTAGTCAAGAGTTTAATAATAATGTTAATTCTACCGATGAACTGCTATAAAGATAGAAAAGACAATCCTGTGATCACACTGACATCTATATAACCTGGCAAAACTTTATATCAATATTTTGTAGAAAAAGATGCTCAACCAAATGGCAAGTTACGTCAACCTAGTAAAATTTCCTACCCACATGGTGGGCAGCGCCAAATGGGACACAGCCAGGGGCAACTCAACCAAGGGGACCACAGTCAAGGGGGCCATAGTAGTGAAGAGGAAGCTCCAAGTTTTATATCTGCTGGGTCAAGGAGTAGTGTCAAAAGGTAAGCTTCTCCATTCCAAAAAGTTAAAAAAGCTAAAAAGAGGGACAGAGGAATTATAGTCATACATTGTACAATCACATTTTATTTTTTTATTGTGGAATATAAAATTCATACCTCCTCCCCTCCATTACCTTTAAAAACAAGCCACAGAATTGATTTTTTTTTCTAATTGAAAGTCAGGAAATGAATGGTACTTACCAAATGAAATTGGCTAATATGGTTTACACCCCCCCCCCCCCCCCTCAGATATTATCCCTTATTCTGCATCATCCATGTATGCATTAAATTATTCCAAGTGAAATGTGAGCTGGAATTATGGTTTATTTGCACCTTTGGGGTAAAATCTAATTTTTCCAGGATGTTTCTGTGCTTTTCAGTGAACAACTCAAAGCCTTACAAGAAGAGCTTGTGAAATTGAAAAATCAAATGAACCAAAAACTGCAGCCACAACATAATGGTGATCAACCGCAGCCAGGACAAAATGGTACAAATACCCCTGAGAGCCACCCTAACTCATACCAGGGCAGAGAAAAACACCATCTCAGTGCAATCCCAAGGAGACTTCAGAGTCATCATTCACAGAGAAAACCTGAGCTCTCTCGGGAAGGTTCACTATATAGCGAAACAGGAGCCCATTCTAATACATTCTCTAATGTCAGTGGTAATCGTCCAAATCAACGAAATATACCAAAGTGGCAAGGTGGGGTGGGCTCTAGAGGATCCAGCCAGCTGATTGGTCAAGAGGATCCTGTTGGTTCAGTAAGTCAGCAAGGGTCACGGTATGGGTGTTATGAAAATGATGATACTTTTAGAGATGGAAGTGACATTTTTAGTCAACGTGGGCATATTGAACCAAATGAGAGGCTTAGTGAACAGTTAAGTAAAGATTTGCATGTCCAGCCCCGACACCCACGTGATAGGGACAGACTTTATCAAAAAACAAATAAAGATTCACGTACCAGATATCGTCAGCCAGAGGATGAAGGCCTAGATGATAGATACTTCACAATGACTGATAGACCAATATATAACGGAGGTCAAGGAGATATATTCCCAGATGAATTTGAAAGACAAGCTCCTCGGTCAACATACGAAGAAAATACAAATTATAAGCCTACTGAACCATACAGGAGACACCCCAGTGATTCTAACAATGATAACCCACCAAGATTATCAAGACATGATTTGGGTGAGAGTTCACAGAGGTCATACTTGCCGTCTGCTAGATATGAAAATGAGGCTGGTCCTAGATATAAACCTAGACACAGTGAAAAAGAGGCGGGATATGAAAAAGAGGCTGGTTCTAGATATAGACCAAGATACAATGACTATGTCCCTAGAAATGAAAGGGATGATTATCTCAGGACATCAAGAGATTATCAAGACAATCGAGTCTCATTTTATCCACCTGAAAACAATAATCCACCTAGTATTATAAGAACATCCCACCACAATAGACCTGACGTTAGGCAGCGGCATTATGATTCCTCACCCCAAAGAAATCCACACAATGATTCTAGATATGAGCCTGACCCACCTTTGAGGCAAAGTGAAGTTTATGGAGACTCCTTTGTTGGGGCATCCCCTTATGCTCCAAGAGCCCAATCAACTAGGCCTGTCCATTCAGTACCTTATCCTCTGCCTGATGTGCCCCAAGCAACTCCTATGGCACATCAGCAAACACCCACAGTGCCAGCTAACTATAGCCCCATAGTGCCTCAGACTCCAATTGCCATGCATCATTCTACCCCTACAATGCATCAAAATACCCCTGCTGTGCCTCAAGCTATCCCTGTAGTGCCTCAGTCTGTTCCTACAGTACTTCATTCAACCCCAATAGTACCAAATACAACACCTATAGTGCCAAATCATATATTAACCACACCTATAGTGCCTACAGCTCCCCAAGCTTCATACCAGGTACCCATTGCCCATATCCCCACCCCCATGGCCCAATTGCCGACTCCTGGACTGCCCCAAACCACTCTGAACATCAGCACTTCTGTGTGTCCAGTCTGCAGCGGATCTGGCCAGTGTACTCATGCAGCATACACACAGACACAACCATCAGTGCCATCTGGTGATCCTGCCCCACTTGCACAGCCAGGTGTTACCAGTACTCCAACACATGTCATTCACAGGTAAGAGACTAGTTTGATATTAATCTAAATTTAACTTCATCAGATCAATTATTACATCTTTGTTACATATAATTTAATCAGAATACAATTTACATTTACCATGATGTTGACAAAAATTAAAAAAAAGAAATAATTTTGATTATAAAAATAAAATCCTTTCAATTTAATACATTTCAGTGCCCCCAACCATGACATCTCAAGAATTGCCCATATTGCCACCCCCAGGACTGGAAAATTAACCCCCAGGGGCTCTAAAGTGCGCTACTATGTGCGGGAAATACATGATTCAAGTTCCGGACATGATACAGAAGAAGTACATTATACATTACATAGAAGGTACATGTGTGTCCCTTGTTATTAGTATGCCAATTTTGAAGGAACTGAGCATTTGGAAATGTGACTCGTTTTTTGATAAATTATACCCATTTTGAGAAATACCGTAATCGCTGTAATGAGGGCCCACCCCTAATAAGCGCCCACCCCGCTTCACAGAGCTCAAGAAATATCAGTATTAATGAATATATCAGAAAAAATCAAATTTCCAATGAAATATAGTGGGCGATAATAGAGTACTTACACTAAAATACAGAAAACATGACGCATTTTGTAAATCGATGCATCCTCCCGATGAATATTTATCAGTGGTGCTTCCCACATCATACTAAGCCTCAAATAGTCCACAATGAATGAAGGAAATGATCATGTTTCAGAGATTTGTTTCGACATTTTACTAACTCTGCGATCGTCAAGGTCGTGAACTTTCTTGTTTCTTTTTAAGATTTCTCAACTTTTACATGACTTTTACACGAAAAATTATGATCTGTCATGAAATTAAAAAAAACAAGGTATAACTTTAGGTCGATATCTAACAGTCTATAGTGGAAATATTGAAGATAATCGCGGAAAACAATTCCTTCACCTCAAGGGGCTCTGCTGGGGAGTTCTTCAATCACTGTCAATATAGTTAGATTCTTGCTTTATTTTAGCGATCTTTACCGTATTGTCTCCAATAACGATACATATCATTATTAAATTTTGTTCATATTTGATATGTGAATACTTTAAGCATGGCACATTGTCTAATAAAACTTTGGGGAGTAGTTCACCCTATGCAGACAGAGCCTGTGGGAAATATTGGGTGCGGCGCAAATGAGCGGAGGGTGCGGAGCTAACGGTCATTTTTGAATTTAAAATTGGGGTATTTCTAAAACTAAGCCGTTTTGGGACTTCAAATATACCAAGATATGTGTATTTGACACCAAATATCAATAAAATTGTGAAAATAGTAGTGCAATTCATTTTATAGCGACGCAGTATGCCTTAAACATTTCCCAGACCTATATATTTTGAGACTATCCTTTTAATACTGCGTCCCCAGCATTCATAAAAAATGGTGTTCAAGATACACTACCCATGCAAATTATTTTTGCATCTTGGAAGCCAGGCAGTATCTGTCTGATTTTATAAAAATTCGGAAATGTTCTTCAGATATGAGCCCCCTCTAAATATTGGGTGCGGAGCTACGTTTATGGAGCTGCTCCGCACCCAATATTTAGAGGGGGCTCATATCGGAAAAACATTTCCGAATTTTTATAAAATCACACTGATACTGCCTGGCTCCAAGATGCAAACATAATTTGTATACAGGGTGTCCCGAAAGTATGGGGCCCCCCCTAGGCAGACATACACCAATGTTCCCATAGTATGTTAGTCAGGTTTGAAGAGGAGATAAGTTCACAGAATATTTCAAAAATATATAGAAGCAATCTTTAGGTGGATTTCAAAACTTCATACCATCCTTTTGAGAACCTGAAGTGGCACCAAGCAATCTATTGACTGTTTCACCAAAAATCCAAGATGGCCGCCACAATGTATCGACAAATTACTAAAATTGACTAATATCATCATTTAATTTGTCAAAATAGTTAAATACTGATCAAACATGACTAATAATAGTACCTATTAGATGGTCATATGCATTTAAAGTCACTGGATTATTTTTGTGTGAAAACTGGAGTCCCACAAGGCTCAACTTTATGTCCCCTACTTTTTTAGTCCAATGACTTTCATTGACCATGGCATTTGTACATTGCAATGTATAGAAATCCATTTTTGTAACATGTGCACCTGGGACCACATTTTACCTTGCACCCAAACTTGACCAATGCTTGGCATGCCTTAGCTGCTTGAGGAAGGGCTGTACATGGTGGCATCAGGAGGGACATGTCATTCTGCCAGCCACATGTTGTGAACTCGATAATCATTTTGGTTATGGCACCAAACTATACCGCCTTGGTTAGCAAGTTAAGATTTTCTGTGCAAGGGCTCTTTTTGTTGATGGTATTTTTTCAATGACTGTATGACCGTTACAGAACATAAGCCTTCGTGCTGCATTGATATCTGTCTGGTTGCTGGTTCAATCATATAATAAAACAGTAAAATGTTCCAGGGACTGAATGGCTTGAACTGACAAAGGCAGGTTTGTTGTAACCATTTGTGCCACTTGTAGAAAAGCTGGAGTAACTTACTTGAACACATTCCATAGATTGAAGGGCAGATTCTTAGCTATTGGCCAAAGAATGTTGGAGTTAAATAATATATTAATACCTGTAATTTTTGAGAGGTCCGAAGGCAATCCAGATTGACACCTATTGCGCCCTAATGCTGCAGCCATGGCAAGAGAAACAGACATCAGTATCTCCACTTCTGATTATGAAGTATTTTTTCACCTTCTGAGGTCATCTGTTTTATATGAACAAAGAGCCTAGTGACAGCTTTTTCATGAGTACAAGGTTCAATCATTGCTGTATCTGGCAATTGAGGAAAGCACTGAAGAGATTCCCAAATAGTAGTTATCATTTGCTTTTCATTAACATCAACCTCAGACATAAAGTTGGCCAAAAATGCAAACAGCCTAGTCTGGTTCCATTGGTTGTTAGAAAGGCTGGTCAATTACCCAAATGCGAGTAGGTAGTTACCAGTTTCACCACCAGGTGGCTGATTCGGGTCAATTAACATGGCAGGTATACAAGAAAGTTCCCTTAAACTTGAATATTATCAACTTAAGTGGCTCAATTTTCATATAACCCTTATGCGTCTGATACTTATACAAATGAAAATATGTCCAGTAAAGCAAAATATTATCTGTCCACTAAAAGAAAAGATATTTCATTTTTAGTGATTTTATAGCATGGGGTCTATGGGGAATCTCCCCGAGCTAGAAGTCACATTTTCAAAGAAAATTAATTTTTCAAAGTTGATTAACACTTTTTAAAACCACATTTCTAGATGTAATTTTAGATGTAGATTTCAAATATGATATTACTTTGACTGAATTCTGAATTTTTAATGACGTAAATCAAGATTATTTCTACTCGCATCTGGGTTATTCTTTGGCATTTGTGCATCTCTGCATATATCATCCTTCTAGCACCAGTGCCATGATAAATCCTTGTTAGGGACTTCTCACTGTTTTGTAGGTAAACATTTCAGATACTTGGGATGAAACACCAGAAAGGAGCAGTCTATTAAAACTGCATCTGCAGGTGGCTTTTCCAATACTTTGGGTTCATCTGGCTCAGTTTCTAGGCATTTAAGTAGGTCATTTAGTTGTAAGTCTCATGGCTCCATGCTTAGCTAGGGATGGAGGGAACTCATGGTTTTCATGTTTGAAAAACCCAGACATGTTATGTGTCTTGATTGTCAAAGGCAAGCAATATAGAGCATATATAGCAAAAAGGTAATTTTCTTCTCTCAGTTGCTTGACCTCAGGAATCACTGCAGACGATTCTTTGTTTCTAGCTCCCTAGACCACACCAAGTGCAAGCAAGTTAATCCTGAGAAATGATTGTGACCTTTTTGCTATTACTCTACATTGCATGCCAATCAAGACACAATGACATGTCTGAGTTTTTCAAATATGAAAACCATGAGTTCCTGCCATCCCTAATTAAGCATGGAGCCATGAGGCCTACAACAAAAGCAGACTTACTTAAATGTCAAGAAGCTAAGCCAGATGGATCTGAAGTATTGGAAAAGCCACCTGCAGATGCAATTCTAATAGATGGCATCATTCTGGTCCATGAGATGCATCCTGGTGTGGCTACCAACTTCCAAGAATATGGTATCAATGTCTCATCCCAAGTTAAGGCAGCCTATGGAAGGTGTTTCAAGATTAGATATTATCTGGGATATCTACCTATAAAACAGTAGGAAGTCCCTGACAAGGATTCATCATGGCAATGGATGGCTTATGCAGAGAATGTGATGCCCCAAAATTGGTTAGGCTTTCTAAGAAACAACCAGAACAAGACTGAGCTATTAGCATTCCTGGCCAACTCTATTTTTGAGGTTGATGTTTATGACTATTGTGGAATCTGTTAAGTGCTTTCCTCAGTTTCCAGTGACAGTAATGATTGAACTTTGTACTCATGAAGAAGCTGATACTACACTAGACTCTTTGTTCAGGTAAAACAGATGACCTCAGAGGGTAAAAAAGACTTCATAAACAGAATCAGTGGAGATACTGGTGTAGTTGTTCTTGCCATCGCTGCAGCATTAGGGTGCAATAAGTGTCAAGCTGGATTGCCTTCTGACCTCTCAAAAATTACAGGTATTAAATTATATTATATAACTGCACCATTCTTTGGCCAATAGCAAAGAATCTGCCCTTCAAGCTATGGAATGTGTTCAAGGAAGTTACTCCAGCTTTTCTACAAGTAGCACAAATGGTTACAACAAACCTGACTTTGTCAGTTCATGTCATTCAGTCCCAAATACATTTTACTGCTCTAGTATATGATCGAACCAGCAACCAGATAGATATCGATGCAGCACAAATGCAAATGTTCTGTGATGGCCATACAGTCAATGATAGAATGCCACCAACAGAAGGAGCCCTTGCACAGAACATTTTAAGAACTTGCTAACCAAGGTGGTATTGTTTGGGGCCAACTGTACAATCTCAATACAACATGGGGCTGGCAGTATGACATGTCCCTCTATATACAGCCCTTCCTCAAGCAGCATGCGAAGCATTGGTCAAGTGTGGGTGCAAGGTGAAATGTGGTCCAAGGTGCACATGTTACAAAAATGGATTTCTATGCATTGCTATGTGCAAATGCCATGGTCAATGCAAAAAAGTAGCGGACATAAAGTTGAGCCTTGTGGGACTCCAGTTTTCACACAAAAATGATCCAATGACTTTAAATGGATATGAACTTCTGATAGGTACTATTATTAGTCATGTTTGATCAGTATACAAATATTTTGACTAATTAAATCATAACTGTAGACATTTTTGATGATTTTTTGATACATTGCGGCGGCCATCTTGG